AAGATGGTTGGTGTAACAATTTAACAGCTGTTTTTGCCATCACCTACATAATTCAAGTAAATTTTGTGACCCAACTGTATTTTTTCATCACTGTGGCACTTTGCTGTTTATACAACACTTTTCACACCTGTTGTCAGATGTTTGACGAGCTTTTATTTCAGTAGCGACCATCATGCAGGTGTTGGTCCGGGACTTTATCTGTCCAGAGTCGAACAGAGGATAATGGTGATCTATAACACACCAGGGTTATCTGTGAGTCCGATTTAATAACCTGTAGCTACAGAGTTCACCTGAGGAACACGTTTGACACAGCGGGTGAAAACAACACAGCAACAACCCCATTCACAGATGATCAACACAGCATACGTCAGGTCTTTGTGTGAAACAACAACATTTTGATGCATTATAGGTCCCGTTAACCACTTACTGTGCTGCATTACTCAACTCATTGGTACAAAAGTTGTTTTCTTGACTCCACTGAATTTAGATTATCTTAAATTTGGCAGCAAGCTACTTATTAGATCCACTTTTATTTGAAAAATAGGATTAATTTTGACACTGATCCAGTATACATTCATGTGTTGCTGTGGTAGTTTGCAAGACTACCTCACAGTGTGTGAATAAAAAAATGTCCATTTCTATGTAAAAAATGAGCTCGAACTTTATCAGCTGCAACAAAAATAGTGATGGACTGTGAAGTATAAATGATATGATAAATATCCCAAAAATAAGCCATTCTGCTGAATAACAAACTTTTGATCGTGCCATGAAAAGTATTGGTTGCTGCACTTGTACTTTTTGCTAGTGATTTTCATCTAGGTGTTTAACTTGGAATTGTATTTCTACACTTTGGGATGACTGACTTCTTTTAGGCAGCTTAAATACCTGAAAAAAACTATTTCTCTGTTCTTCTTGGTATTAAATTGTGACCCTTTTTTTTTCAACAATTAATCTGAAAATGCTTCAAAAAGCTGCATTTACATAAAGAGTGATAACACTTTTCATCTGGGGGAGAATTACCTCAGAACCTCCATGTTTGTTTTTTGTTTTCTTCTCATAGTCGGTCCATTTACACTGTTTACAATTATATGGATAGCTACTCTCCAACTTAATTTGTGTGTCAAAAGTGTTCAGGTAAAAGATTTTTTTTGAGCTTTTATCTTTTTTCTATCTAATAACTGACCTGTTCTTTCATACATATCAATCTGTGCAATTTCAGGTATTTCTTCTTAAGCCACTGCCACTCTGTACCGCCTCACCTGTCCCCCTCTCCAGCCCGTCTCCTCTGCTCCTCTTAATGTTTCTGTTGTTGTCCAACAGATCATTCTTCTGGATGAAGCCACAGCCTCCATCGATGCAGAGACAGACGCTTTGATCCAGAACACCATCAAAGAAGCCTTCCAGGACTGTACCATGCTCACCATCGCTCATCGGATAAACACTGTGATAGATGCAGATCGTATCCTGGTCATGGACAATGGAGAGGTAACAAAGAGGGAGCACAAGCAAATGAACATAAAGCTTAAGGTGATTTTTGATGCAGACTGACAGTGAACTTTGTGTCCTACAGGTGGCAGAGTTGGACCATCCTGATGTGCTGAAGCAAAAACCGGACTCTCTTTTCTTCTCACTCCTGAATGCTGCCAACACTGTGAACACCTAAACCTCAGAGGCCCAGAGACTCAACAACAACACAAACAAACAACGAGTCATTTCAACTTAACTGGAGTTATTTATTCCTGCCACCATTTCTTAGCTTAAGTGGTGTGCTGGTTTCAGGTTTCACTCAGCTGCAGGAGGCTGTAAGGCAGGGGTGGGCAATCATGTGCCATGGAGGGCCGAGAGGCTGCAGGTTTTCTTTCCAACCCAAAACTCCACCAGGTGATTTCACTGATTAGTCCCTCTCTGCTTGGAGTTAGGTAATCAGTGAAATCACCTGGTGGAGTTTTGGGTTGGAAAGAAAACCTGCAGCCTCTCGGCCCTCCATGGCACATGATTGCCCACCCCTGCTGTAAGGTAAAAGAGGAAGAATACCACAGTTTTAATGTAAATAGTGATCTGTTTATCTCTACTGTGTCTTGATACAAATATGTGCACTGGAAATGTCCTTTCAGAGATTTGCCAAGTTCATAAGATGTTGAATATTTAAAAAATTTATTTATTGATCTTTTGTGTATATTTTCTGCCACTTGACCAACTGCATTTGCAGTTACACTTGAAATAGCTGATGGAGGTTGTGATTCTTCATTTCTGTCTGTAGAAAATTTGGTTGTGATACAAACTGAGTTCAGAAATGGGAATAAAATGATAAACATTTCAAAGTTTGGGTTATACTTTATTTCCCATATATTTCTTTATCGTTTGTATTAAGAAAGTAGTGGACTACTGAGACTGCTTGATAACTACTGCAGGTTTATTTGTTTACAGAGTAAAGTCCCTCACAAAGAAAACACTTATTAAAGGGTGGACAGAGGGGAAGGCTTTTGTGAAGTCATTGAATTTAATGGGGGTGATGGGGGCACTGTGTATGCATTTGTGGCTCTTTTAAAAGGAGGATTTCACATATGCACATATTTCATCCATACATTCAAAATAATTCTGTTAAACCGTGACATTCCTCTGTGTTGTGTTCAGAGTGTTTAACCACTGAGGCCTCACTGCAGCCTGCTCTTTGAATCCCTCCTTATCTCTCCACTTTCCACTCACACTCAGGATAAAATTCACTGAGAGTTAATATGCATATTAGCATAATCTGACCTTTGCTGGAAGATAAAAAGAGATGCCTTACTTTACAGACAAAGCATTTTAAGAACTTATTTCACTGCAGAGGTGTATCATAGGGGGTAGGTAATAAATAAAATTTCTTTTGTCGAGTAGGGTTTTCTTTTTGATCAAAAAAGGGCACAGATCTAGAGATTGTTGTCTTAAATGATGTTATTTAAGTTGGACAACTCACCATGTGTTCATTTTTTTTTTCTGCTGCAGAATATCATCTGTGTTTGACTTTCAGGTTCTGTCCAAATATTTTAAAAAGCTGTTGAATCTGAACTGCAGGCAGAAAACTTTAGCTTGGCTGTGAGCTTATGAAAAGCCAAGTGATCAATAGAGGATGAAGCATCCATGATAACCAAGAAAATGTAAAATTTTGATATGTCAGACCATAGGACAGTTTCCACTTCACTTAAGTCTATGAACAGGCTCAGGCTCAGAGAAGTCTGCAACATTTCTGAATCAGGTGAATGCATGGTTTCCTCTTTGCATGGTACAGTCCGCATGTGGAGACGCAGTGATTTCAACTACAGAGTTATGTGTGCTTGTAGTGCTGCCTGGAGGCCTAAAGAATCAATACTACAGCTTTGTCTCTTGTGCACAGAGATTTTGGATCTTTGAATTTTTACTGATGGCATAATCCTAGAATTCTTTGCAATACCACTCTATTATTGTGAAACTGTTGAACTATTTGCACATGCAGTCTCTCACAGAGTGGTGAACCTCTTATCTTAAATAAAAAAAAAAAAGAAAAAAATCAGGATTTGTATGATTTGTAAACCACAAAAATCTGTTTTCAATTGAAAATCTATACTGGCCTTTTTAGGGGATATGGGTTGCATAACTAATTGAAATTGTAAGTCATTTTTACTTTTTAACTATTACCAGACGGTTTTCTTTCTTTCTTTCTGTCATTCTTTCTTAATCTCAAAATTTAAGAACAACTAAAACAAAAAATTATTTGCATGTTATATAAATAATCAGTGTTATAATATTCAGAATTAATATTACTTCTATGCAATCAAGTATATCTAGTATGAAACCAAATGTTTTTGTTAGTTTACTTATATTTAATTCCTGAATCACATTAACCTGTGGGGGGAAACAGAGAGTCGGATACGGACTTTTATTTCTGCTGTGTCTACCAGTTGCTCCAGCTGTAATCTGATTTACGAACACACGATGGCGCCAGAGGGTCGTCTCTTTTCTGCAGTCTTCACAAACGCTTAAAGCAAGACATTTTCTAATTTAGTTTAGATGAACATTTGTATGTGTTACTTCAGCGCTAAAAAGCCATATGCTGTTGAGAAAAATTATGATGGTCTGCTGAGTTAGACGACCGCCATACTAGATACAATCCAGGATATAATCAATATCCCTTTTCACCGGCAAAAAAACAAAACAAAACAAAACTCTTTTAGATTAATTACTTACTTTTCAACAGTACAAATGATGAATTAATGATGATTTTTTTTCAATTAACAAACTCAAAGGTCTTTAAAAAAGAACTTTTGAAACGTTTGGAAAATTTCTGTGTATGAAACTGTGTCTCTTACTGATTATGTTAGTTATGTTGAGGCTAAATGATCAACATGTCTGCACAAACGTTTCAATAATACTTGATATTTTTCTGCTGCTGACACTGAATGTGATGGTAGTAATTGGGTTAATTATGCACAATCTCTTACACTGACAGATAAGTTTGCATTACAGCAGACTGCGAGGAAAAATTGCTTCAGTAGGAGAAATCCCTGAGCTCCATCAGGGACCATCTCTGTTGTAGAGGGAGCTCGGCCTCTGACTGAGCAGAGCCTCATAAACTTGAACCTGAGGCACTAGAATCATAAGATTTTTCTGTTCTTCCTCCAGGCCAGAGCTAAAAAAGTCTCAATGCATCTACTATCAAGCTGGGGTTGTGTTAAGTTTGCTTTGCTGAGCTGTTAGATCATCAAAAGTTGAAAATGGTAAGCCTATGACACCTGTTCACAACGGCCGATTAGTAATTGTTAATCACAACACAATCACAAGTTTTTCCGATTTCTGATGGGAATTTTGAGTAATTATTTAATCATAGCGCGTCATTCATATTTACGCAACAATTAAACATTATAACGTATTTTAATAGGCCTACATGACACCAACCACATGTATCATCAAGCACGTAAACATACCTCCCCTCGTGCACACGATGAGACAACCACAAGCGCGCGGCCGCAGCCTCATATACACACACTGTGGTGGGCGGGGCGAGGCTCGCGCTGCACCGCCACTGAGTTTGTTAGTTTCCTTAATGTAGCGGATCTTGGTGTGTGTGTGTGCCTTCAGGAGACACTTAGAGAGGAAACTAGTGTTATTTACTGAAGCAGCTGGAGAGCGTAGTGGTAAGTCAAGCGAACTTTACTGTTTTTGTGTATAAAATGTTCTGTTTTCTCTTGATCTTCCTGAGCTCCATCGACTGACAAGAGTCACTACAGGGTTTCGTTGTTCATGTTAACACATTGTAGCCTGGCCCTTTTGAAGCGACATTTCCAAAACAATCTGAGGCACGACAGCTCAAGCTCTTTCCACTAACAATTTTAATAATGTACAGTGTAATGTCAACATTTGTGTAGGTAGAGTTTAAAAGTGCTCAGTGTGTGAGTGTGTGATAGAAGAGGTAACGGTATTGTAGATATGATGAGTCGAGGTGCTTTGATAGAGAGCTTGATAAAACTTTGATAAACACCGTTAGCTGTGGTTTACTTTCTCCATTGTCTCCTACTATGATGTACTGTTACAGTAGAGTCTGGTCTAGGTGCCCAAGAACAAAGTGCTGTATATCCGTGATAAATATTTCTGTAAATAACTGTACAGAGCTGCTTTAACCAAAAGTGATTTACACTTCAGCTCCTATCCCACAGGAATGTGACAGCACCATAACTTCATAGCATTAAATTCATTAAAGCTCACATGAGGAGTTCTGAACTAGTTATGAAACAGGCTGAAATTTTCATGGATGTCTCTTAAGCAGATGCAGTGGCAAACCAGACCATCAGTGTAATGATGAGCTACTGTGATATAGGCAAAGCTTGATGACAACTTGAAACTTCTTCCACAGAGTAGGTGTCAGGTCAGACTAATAACAGCAGACTGTTTACAGCCTGTTTTGGCAGCACAGATTAACAATAAGACACACGTTTGAATGTCAAAAGAAAGCATTTTAAACTTGATACTCAATTTAATGCCAGACTTTCACTTGTGCTATGTCGGCTGCAGATCCAACCATATAAAGACTTTTATATTGACTCGGAGTAAAGTCACTCACTCATACGGTTTAATCGCGATATGCGAAACTAAACAGCCGCGATAATGAAATGGGAAGGTACTGTAACAATAGTTCCACAATTATAATTTAAAGACGAGTGTCAGCGTCACTTAGCAGAGGCAAGTGAAGCCGAGTACTTACCAACCTAACCCGCTTGTAGTCTTACCCACGGTGTCAAAGCCTCGGTAGCAAAATGTACTAACAAGCTACCACAAAAGTATTCCGAAATCCAAAAAAACTCTCGAAATAAGTACATAAATGCCAGCCTAACAAAAACGGGAACATTATAAGAGAGAATGAAGAAATTTTACAACAAAACGCATGGCCACCCACAATGCATTGCGGCCACTCTAAGCACTGTTGGTCCACAATGCATCCCATCCGCTCATTAGCTTCTTAAAGTATATGATCTGATATTTAAAAAAAATATCAGATCTGATATTTAAAAAAAACACGAGTATTAGATCATGACAACATGTCAAATGGAGCAGCAAACCTTCGTTCTGTTTTAATGTGTCCCAAAAATGCACATACAGAGGTGTACTTGGGTACATAAACTGTACAGTAAGCTGTCAAGGTAGAGAGCATTATATTTTCGGGACAGCAAATATTTCGAATCAGAGGACGACTTTTTTCAGCTTATCTGAATAGTCTGAATGAAATCATTAAAGGCACACGCTTTTGAATCCACCCAACGGTAAGGAAAACTTTGATTATTTCACCTTGTTATGTACTTTTAGCCGCGCTCCCGTCAGGGGTGCATTCAACGGCAGGGTTGCATTTTACAGCAAAACACCGGATCAAGAACAGTCGGAGACTGAGAATGACGAAACACCTTGGCTGTATCCTCCTATTAAAAAGGTTTCGTCTGCAGTATGGACGTTTTACAGCTTCACAAAACAGACGAAGCAGGTAAACCTGACAACAATCTGCAGGTTATGCCGTAAGGAAGTTGCAGCCCCATTGGCTAACACTTCAAACCTACGTGCCCACCTCCGTGAACACCATCCAGCATCGTTCGCCCAAATCAAGGTAAAAACAACATGACCGCAACAAGTTTGGTCCACTCTACTGTTTATTATTGACAACGTTAGTGACGTTTCATCTAACTTTAGCTCCAAAAAGCTAATGCTCCCAACGTTGCATTAGCTGCCTCTTGCTCATATTGTTTGTGTGTGTCCTGCTGTGCACAGAGGAGTGATTTCGCAGTTTTTTGCCATTTTTTAATAACGTTGAAAGCAATGCGCTGATATTGTGATCATATCGTGAATCGTGATATTTTGGGCCACCAATATTGTAATATCAAATTTTTCATATCAGCACATGCCTACTGTCAAGCTTGACAGTCATTACCTTATGAGTGCCAGACCTCTTTCATGATGCACTTGCTCTCTCCCTCAACCTTCAGACACCTTCTCCCCCCTGCTGCTCTGCCTGCTCTCCCCTCTCTCCTCCTGCTCCTCTTCCTGCTCTTCTGTCTCCTCCTCTTTCTGCTCTCCCCTCTCCGTCTCCTGCTCCTCTCCCTGCTCTCTTCTCTCCTTCTCTGGCTCCTCTCCCTGCTCTCCTCTGTTTTCCTCCTGCCTCTGATTTGCAAAAACTTGTGAAAGAGATCTGAGAAGTGTCATAGCAGGTAAAAGTTTTTTAGTTTTTCCCAAAGGTTAAAGCTGGTTGACAGAAACTGTGGCCCAGTTTCTGAAAACTAAACCCAAACGGAAAACAGTGAAGTACTTTGTCAAAACTCAACAAATCCTCTACAAAATAAAAGGAAACACTTAAAACTATGTTCTCTGCTCAAAACTGATTCCTTCCTACAAAATCAACCACAGCTAAGAGCTGCTGCAGAGCACTGAACCATCTCTAGTGTATAAAAGGACCCCATCATCTTCAAGTGTTCACATATGATTTGTCTTTATGAAGTCTTGGTACTGAATACATGCAAGTGTGTGGAAATTATCTAACTCCTCACAGGAGCTTTCAAATCAAATCAAATTTGATTTAGCGCCAATTTGTAACAGTTGTTATCCTAAGACACTTTCCAAAGAAAAAGAGCAGGTATAGACCATGCTCATTGTTGCTTTAAGAGTTGTGTGTGTAGTTCAACCCCTTTGTTTGTTTGAAAGTGGAAAAATATGTACAATTTTGCCAAAAGAGTGATGAGTTCAATAAATCAGTTGAGATTACTGACCATTTGGATCACCGGTATTTGTTCATTCATTGTAGACAGTGATCTCTGAATAAGACTTATGTACAGTGAGTCCAAGAAGTATTTGATCCCTTGCTGATTTTCTTTGTTTGCCCACTAATACAGATGTGATCATTCTGCACGTTTAATGGTAGATGTATTCTAACATGGAGAGACAGAATATCAAGACAAAAATCCAGAATATAACTTTAAAGAATATATTTTAATTAATTTGTATTTCATTGAGGGAAATAAGTATTTGATCCCTCTAGCCAAACACACTCAATACTTAGTGGCAAAGCCTTTGTTAGCAAGCACAGCAGTGAGACGTTTGTTGTAGTTAACCACAAGTTTAGCACACACACCAGGGGGAATTTTGGCCCACTCTTCTTTGCAGATCCTCTCTAAATCAGGAAGGTTAGTGGGCTGTCGCTTGGCAACTCTGACCTTCAGCTCCCTCCATAGATTCTCAATCGGATTGAGGTCCGGAGACTGGCTGGGCCAATCCATGAGCTTCATGTGATTTTTCTTGAGCCAATCCTTTGTTGCCTTTGCTGTGTGTTTCGGGTTGTTATCATGTTGGAAGACCCAACCACGGCCCATTTTCAGCTTCCTGGCAGAGGGGAGGAGGTTGTCCCTCAGGATTGTACGGTACATGGCTCCATCCATCTTCCCAGTGATGCGGTGAAGTAGCCCTGTACCCTTGGCAGAGAAACACCCCCAAAACATTATGCTTCCACCTCCATGCTTGACGGTGGGCACAGTGTTCTTGGGGTCATAGGCAGCATTTTTCTTCCTCCACACATGGCGGGTAGAGTTGAGGCCAAAAAGTTCAATTTTGGTCTCGTCTGACCACAGAACCTTCTCCCAATAACTTGGTTCATCTTTCAGGTGATCATTGGCATACTTAAGGCGCGCCTCCACATGTGCCTTCTTGAGCAGGGGTACCTTTCGGGCACTGCAGGATGTTAATCCATTGTTGCGCAAAGTGTTGCCAATTGTTTCCTTGCAAACTGTGGTCCCAGCTGCCTTCAGGTCATTTACCAACTCCTGACGAGTGGTTGCAGGATGATTTCTGACCGTTCTCAGGAGCATTGTCACCCCACGAGGTGAAATCTTCTTTGGAGCACCGGGCCGAGGTCTGTTGATGGTCATGTTATACTCTTTAAATTTTCTAACAATTGCACCAATAGTTGTTACTTTCACATCCAACACCTTGCTAATCTTTTTGTAGCCCATTCCAGCTTTGTGGAGGTCAACAATCCTGACTCTGAGGTCCTGAGACAGCTCTTTGGTCTTACCCATGTTGGAGACTTGAAATCTGTCAGATTGTCTGATTCTGTGAACAGGTGTTTTTCACACAAGTGATTAGTGAGAACAGGTGGCTTCAGTTCAGGTAACAAGCTGATTGGGAGTGTCTAACTGGTCTGTGAAAGGCAGAACTCCTAATGCATACTGAGGGATCAAATACTTATTTCCCTCAATGAAATACAAATCAATTAATATATATTCCTTAGATTTTTTTCAGGATTTTCTTTTTGATATTCTGTCTCTCCATGTTAGAATGCATCTACCATTAAATGTGCAGAATGATCACATCTTTATTAGTGGGCAAACGAAGAAAATCAGCAAGGGATCAAATACTTCTTGGACTCACTGTACGTCTCAATGTTCACTTTAACCTGTTGAATGATTTGGCAAATTGTGTGTAGATAAGTTTGGTCATGGTGCTGAATAAACAATTTTAAGCTAGAGAAAAAATGCTCCCAGGAAGAGGTCATCCAACACTATCTCAAGCACTATGGATGGAGCGATTAGAGCAGTTATGACAGCTCTAATCGCTTAGTTAGATAAACACACTCAAGCAGCCGTGGCCATCTTGTCCTTTCAGAATGATTAGCTATAATAATCACAAAATCTGAATCAATTTCTTTCAGTGTGTATTTATGTTATCTCCAGATGAACTGATGATAAGTTTGTGGTGAATAATAAACTGCCCTCTTGGCAGGAAGTACCACATAATGTGTGCTGGTGCCGTTCATGTTCAGCTGCTCACTAGTGTGACAGCCTTAAACTGATAAAAGCATAACTCTTATTATTTGTAGGCCTGTTATTGATAGTTTCTCTGTTAAACTCAGTGGGCTAGGTATTGGGATTTAGAACCAAAGCGACCTATTTGCAGGTATGTTTTGCAGAAAAAAGGGTCATACCCACACATTTCAGCTACATGGTCTCCATGTTTTCTACCTTTCAACAGCTTTGGATTTCGGGCATTATCTTACTTGTGTTTCCAGAGCTAACTCATACCCAGCTGCCTCTCACAGGAAGCATGTAGGCCACCATTTCAACCAGCTGCATGGCTGTTGTCTGTCATGTCAATCTCACTGGTCAAAAAGGAGAGATTTAAACATGATCTTTTACCCTCTCCTTTCTTTTGATCAGTTGATTGCAGCGTGTCTGTCTCCATCTTTTGGGGTCAGATTGGTATGTTTGGTACATTGACAGAATGGTGCTAAAAAGAAGGAGCTGCACCATACAGGACTGCTTGGTGGAAAGCAATTTTTTTGCAAACACTTCTAACTATGAACAGTAACTGTCTCTGTTCCTGAAAAATGCAGGTTTGTAAAGGAGCTCATCCTACCAACCAAGATGGAAGGCAGTTACAGAATAGACAGAGCGTACCTGTCCCAGGAGTTCAGGCCTCTGTGGTGCTCTGTAGCCTTTTCCTGCTTGTTGTCTTCATATTTCATTAGCAGGCTAGCAGCATGTAGCATCAGCTCCAATTATCCTCCCTGTCATCGGACTGACAGTGGCTGTCTGCTGGCTTTAGCGATTACAGCCTACAGGGGACAGGTAATCAGGTCATGGATCCACTGCCACCCTGTCAGACTGCTGAGACCACAGGGAGCAGGAGGGATGAAGAACTCACCCATCTCTGCTCATAAATCTATTTTTGTTTTTGTCTATGTCTGCAGCTCCTTTTTTATCAATACTGTATGGGTTACATTCAGATATTTCTGTATGTTAACCACCTTCTGTAACATTCACAGGTTTACATTATTTGCCTAACAATTCATTATAATTTCTTTGAATTAACACAGTAGCTATTTCACATGATATGTGTCCAACAGCCAAATACTTAGGCCTGTCACGATAACAAATTTTGCTGGACGATAATTGTGCCATAAATTATTGCCGATAAGCGATATTATTGACCCCGTTTTTTAAATTATAGATAGTGATAATATATGGCATAATAATGCGAGCACACCATGTCAAAAGTGATAAACTTTAATTAGTCAAGATTAAGAACTTTGAAATAAGATGAACAAATATAATAAACAAACAAGACAACCAAAAAACAATGAAAATAAAATGGACCCACATTCTGTTTTATCAAAAACTGCATTCAAATAAAAACCACAATCACAACTACAAACAATAGTTGGTAAGGAACAAAAACTACACCCCACACATTACTATTAAAACAAATAAAGTGGACTCTCGAGTCTGTAAACAAAATTGCACTAAATAATTAGCATTGGGTGCTATTCCTCAACAGGTAAACAAAGAACAACATGGAAACATAAAACTGCAGGCTATCCATAGGCCATATATGGAAATCTCTAGTTTGGCATATTTTGTGAAAGGAACACCAACATGCTGACCTTGTTTGGTTTAAGGCAGGATCTCGCCAGAGTTGCTATGTTGCCAGCTATGCTAAACATTCTCTCAGAGCTGGTGCTTGTTGCACAAATGCACATGTATTTTTGTGCCAGCTTGGCCATCAACGGATATCTTCTCTGATTGTCATGCCACCATATTAAAGGATCAGAAGATGCTTCAAGTACATCTTCCTGGAGGAATTTGGTCAGCTCTGCATCAGCCTGCACTCTTTTTGGAACTGCAGCCTGGGTCCGTCTTGTGAAGAATGTCACTCAGCCTTTTCTTCTTTGTGGGTGCCAGAAGTTCATCCTCATTTCCTCCAGCGGCAGTTCTGCTGCAGGTCACACCACTGGTACCTTCTCCACCTCCCTTGGGCTCTTTTAAGTCTAGCAGCTCTTGCACAAGCTGATGTTTGACATCATCCAGTTTGTCTTCCATGGTGCCACGATACCTTGGATCCAAGATGGTGGCCTTTATTAGGAGGATTTGAATTGCAGGTGAGCAGTATTTTTCAGTCAAGACCCTGCACATGTTTTCTTAAACATTGGCCGTCAGTTCGGTGTCATCGCAGCTTGGAGAGAGAAGGTCGCCTTTAATCAGTTCCAGCACAGGCTTCACTGAGGACACTGTGACATATTTTTCTCCTGAGAGGATGTCAGTGAAATCAGACAGTGGCTTCATAGCTGCATTGATGGACTTCAGCACGGAAATATCCTGCCAGGTTGGGTTGAGGTGGCCATGTTTCCCTCAACGAGGACACGTCTTATGGCTGGCAGCTGTTCCAGGAACCTCTCTACCATCTTCTGTTTAGTACCCCAACGTGTTGCAACATCCTGGAAAAGAGTTAACATTTGTTATTTTTCAGATATCTAAATTTTTAAACAAACAAGTTTCTTTTTCCATTCCCGCTATTTACCATATATATTGAGATACACACACACACACACACACACACACACACACACACACACACACACACACACACACACACACACACACACAGTGTTCATATTAAAACTATCAATGACTTAAATCACTCACCAGTATGAGACTGTGTTGTGGAAGATTGGCCTCAGTCTGTGCCTTCCTCAGGTCTCTTTTCTTAATCCAACTCAAGTTAAATGTGTTCACCAAACTCCTGCAGAGGCCTATGGCACGGGCTGTCTGGTCTTTGTTGCTGTTCAGACCATGGGACACAGCAAGATGGAGGTTGTGCCCAAAGCAATTAAGCCATGTCCAGCCAAGATTTCTTATTGCGACCACAATTGTCTGTAGTGATGCAGACTAGCTTGTCAGCATCCAGTCCCCAGTCTGCTAAAGCAGACTTAAGGTTTTCTCCCAGGATGTCAACTGTGTGATTCTCAGGCACATACCTTGTCTCTAAACACTTGGAGGACAAGGTCTGGTCAGCAGTTATGTAGTGTATGGTTAGACTCATGCAGGGGGTCATGTTTGAGCTGGACCATATCTGTGGTGAAAATGCAATGTTTTTGATGTCGTCCAGTACATCCTTTTTCACTCTGTTATAGAGTCCAGGAATTGCTGTTTGTGAAGTGTAAGTTTTTCCAGGCAATTCGTACTGTCTGTCAAATGTTTGTAACATTTCTCTAAGTGCTGGCTTTTCGACCGTACTGAATGGTTGCATTTCTTTTGCAATGTAGTGAATGACGCTGTCTGTCAGCGCGCACCATTTTGCACTGTTTTCTTTATATTTGCTTTGCTTACCAAACGCTTCAGTAAGGGGTACCTGTTGGGACGATGGCTCCGCAGCACCTCCGTCGGTACTTATATTTCTCAGTTGGGAAAAATGGCGGGGATGATTGTGCTTGAGGTGTGCATGCATGTTCGTCGTATTCCCCGTCTTTGTCACCACAACTTTCAAACAAATGCAACATATTAGCTCGTCTGTGTTCGTGGCCTCACCTCTTTCATTTTGTTTGAAACCGAAATGTTCCCACACTGGGGCTGTTGCATTGGGCCTAGACACCAAAGCTGTCGTTTCATCATTCATTGCGTTTGCTCGCTTTTCACTCACAGTGCTCACTTGAAGCACTGTGTCCGTAAGTCTGTGTGTCTGTGTGCACCAGACTTTTATCACCAAAACAACCAGCCAAAACAGATGTTCTGATGAGGCAAGCAAAAACTGCAGTCAGCACGCACTTCTCTGGATGAGAGCCAACAGGTCTGCAGTCTAAACATATTTCAATACAACAGACAACGATTTTGCATAGTGTGTAATGCTGAAATCTCAAGAGGGGGTGCACTTGCAAAGAGTTCCTCATGTCAGGTTAAATTAATCACCTAAAATCCAAACATCCCAATCACCATTCTGAATATGAGAAAAATGCGGCACAGACCAGGAAAATACGGATGTTGTAGCCGAATACACAAGCAGATAATTTATGCAATTGCGATGTCTTGATTTTAGTGAAGTTAGTACACAGTCATAGCCATAAATGCCATGGTGCTAACAATTGGCATAATAATTTCTTTCAGTGTTTTCAGTTTTTGGCCTTGGTCTCCTTGTTTTTGGTTTGGTCAAGAATTTAATTTTGGTGCATGCCTAGTTAAAACAAATAAAAGCCCCAACCTATATTTAGGGATTTGCAGCATAATTTAAATTTGTATATAATTATCAAGTTATAAAACTTGTTTTGTGTGTGCTATCTTAGAATGGGCCTTCTATACATATATTAGAGGCAGGTCCCCTTTCCTAGATGCCCCCAACTTGCACTGTGCCACCTTGCACTGCCGTGTTTCTACCACAACACAGAATGGATAAACTATTGTAGGGTGTGCAAGAGTAATAAACATTCATATTTCTACACACTGAACCTTGATTTATGTGTTTCTAGCAGCTTGGCGGACTGGCAGCTGATGTCTCACCTTCTCCAGACTGGAGCAGTTTCTAAAAATCATTTTGGGTCCAACTATTTCCATATTATCACATTAGTCTGTAAATGTTTGCGTCAGATAGAAGAAAATGCCGTGTTTGTACGATGCTCATTTTAGAGGGCAGGTAAGTACTGTTGTGGAGGTCAAGCTTGGTATCATGACAGTCTCCTTTGTCAGTGAGGTTCCTCTGTGTGGCTGTGTGGAGTGTCTGTGTTCCCTCCTGGTATTTCCTTCCCCTCCTAGTTTTCCTAATGATAGAATTTTTGGGGCCTTGTGGTAAACAGAAATAGCAACACTTCTGAAGGACAGGCTGCTCTTTTTGCACCACATGCTAAAAAAATTGAGGCTGCACTGCGTGTGTGTGTTTTATTGAGAGGCTATTTTGGGTTCTCAGCCACTGACTGACTGACTGACTTAGCTTTTTTTTAATTAGCTTGCTTTAGCATTGAACATGCTAATGCAGACTGCCACTGTGTGGACTTAGTGCATATCTGATCCACTTTGGTGAGCTGAGGCGATGCACAGCCGAAGCAGAGACATGTATCACACTGAGCAGAGAAGATGAGAGCTTTAGCTGACTTCTGACTGTGAAGGTTGGTGGTTGGCTTGTTATGTGTCCTTCTTAATGCTAACATGCAGACTGATGTGATTATGGAACAGCACAGGCTTGTTTCACTGAAACAAAATCTCGCTGGGTTCAATTTTCCGAGTCACTAGAAATGACTACATTACGCTAGCATGATATCAGATTTGGAGATCATTTCTTCAAAGTTTCACTCATAGTTTCATGGCATCCAAATGCTTTATTAATTACAGATGATCTCCACACAAACAATTGTGTGTTTGAAGAGAAAAACAATCTGCTCTGTGTGGGAGAAGTTCGTAACCACTCTAATTTGATATCCAAAGTAATGAAACAAGACTAACACAGTCAACATTTTTGTTGGTTGCAGATAGAGCTTACATTTTAGATTTGAATTTTTCAATTTCGCTTTGATCTTCAAGAAACTCAAACATAAGTTCATGTTCTTTTCAGATTCTTGGAGGTAAAGAGAAAAGCACTACCTGAAATATCATCTCTGTCAAAGTCTGTTATCCTGTAACATTATAAATTAACCAGGACACTTGTGGATTAAATCTCGATGTGCAAAATGATGCTAGTTGGGGTATTTCTTGAAATTCTTGCAGCAGCTCCAGCAAAACCTGCAAAAAAGAGTTCTAATAAATTTTTAATCACAGGCCATCCTTTTCTGACATAGTTTGACTGACTTGTGTCTCTTTTTATTAAGGATGTGATAAAAAAAATCTCAGTTTCTCATCTAATCTCATTCAGCTGTGTTTTTTTTTAGTCTCATAAAAAATGTTATGTTATTCAGGTTTTTAAACTATTGTGAACATTGCAATCATGGTGTAATTTTAATAGTCAATCACATTATATCTGATTTTTAGTCTCATGTTTAAAACTCAGACTTTTACGAATCTTACCAGTGTCTTGATTCAGGAGTAAAATGACTGCAGTAAATTGGACTTAATGATCCTGACTTTGATTCATTATTCAAATTAATGCTCAACACTAAACCTTAATGGAAAGAAAAAGTACTTGTTTGCGGAAGAGAGTTGTTTTTCATTCATTATCATGAATTTATTTTTCAGAAGAACATTGCCCCCCCTACTATTGTTCCTCTGGATGCTTAAGTATGTCACGCATAACATGCCAACCCGAGAGCCCCCCTTAGACCCAAGTCCCTCACAATGATAATCTGTCTGCGGTCAGTGGAAAACTATGAAGCATTTGCTGTAGCCAAAGACCTTAGTGAAGTTTCATCCACAGGTTTGTGTAGATTTGTTCACTCCATTAGAGTGCTCGACTTGAGTTTGTGATGCAATTGCTCACCGACAGTCTGATTAGACCTGTATGGATAAACTCTGAGTCTTCTTTAACATTTTAGTTTTCAAGTGAAAAGTGGTTTACAATAATGGTAGGAATTTTACCACAGTGTGCTGTAAAAGTCAAAAAGGCTTGGATGAAAATGAATTACCAAATAAATTAGCGTTAATGTCAGACCTGAACCACTTTGCATTCAGAGCTCTGTGACTTATTGATACAAAAGACAGGACACTCAGACCCCATGAGTCCCTCTTCAGCAGATTATTTATGAAAATATTCAGAGCTGCATGATGCAGTCTTGGTTTTAATGATTGAGATGAAATGGAGGCGGTGTTGTTGAAAGGTCAGAGGAAATTTTAAGTTTATTTTGTCAGAAATTTTCCTGTTGTCCTCCCCTCTCCTCTCCTGTTCTCTCCTCCTTTTGAATAAAAAGAGGAAATCTCTTGGACTTGGTTTCTCCCTCTTCAGGGTCATTCAGGTAATCAGGCCTGAGCTGTTCCTCTTAGAGCAGCCAAACCTCTGGCTGCCTCCTGTCTGACCGCCAGGCCACACACACCCACACATTTGATGCTAAAAATGCCTCTGAGGAGCTCAGAAATTACGCTCAGTAAATACAGAAATCAAATAAAACAATTCCCTAAATATTAGCCCAGCAATCCACTTTCCTGCACTCCTATAAAACTGCCTTTGTTGCTCACAGTAAATAGGTTTCCCTGCGTCCTGCCAACTCAAACAGTACTGTTGGGTCAATGGCGGTGTGGTTTGGCTTAATTAAACTCAGTGTTGATTCACAGAGACGGGGTCCAGACCAGCGTGTGGTTTGGGTCAACTCAGAGTCCCGCCTCTGCTGATAAGTGCCAACACTTCATTAATGCTGCCTGTATGTAGATGCTCATTCTAGGGTAAAAGACAAGGTTATACCAGAAGCTTCCACACACTCTATTCAAACCATAATTCACTGAGAGTGGATCATGCATGGAAATGTAGTTAATGGCGATAAATAAAAAGAAACAAAGATTTATGATGATGAGCTTTAATCAAGGATTTCCCAAACAGTACTGAATCAGATATTTCTACAGGGGTCTGTTTAGGTCCACAAACGGATGAGAGCACAATCTCTCTTGGTGTAGCCTGTCACCTGGCCTGTATACCCCTCTCTCTGTTGGTCTTTGTCCATACCCCCCTCTTACATGAGGACCAGAAACTTCCTCATTAATCCATTCCTTGTCACAACTTGGAGTAAAACAAAAAGGATTTATTTTAAAGGAACTTAAAAGCAACAAAAGACTTACTTTGAATGTCTAACTGAAATATATGCACACAGGGAAACAAGAAACGAGAGGCAGGTGAGACACTGAGGCTGTGTCTCATTTCAGAGACTGCACCGTTGAACGGCGCATTTCATGCAGCGCTAACGGTGTCTCATTTGGCTTGTAATTCTGAGCGCGCTTCAAATGCGGTCTCAAAACTACCCTGCCCCCGCCTCTTTTTCAAGCGTGCATTTATGAACGCTTTCGTGGCCTTTGTATCCCAGAATTCTTTGCGTGCCGCTGCACAGCTGTGCATTTGGGTGAGAGGCCGGACTTGCTTGGAGACACAGCGCGTCTTCAAAGAAAATACAAGAAATCCAAAAACATCAGACAGTCAGCTCAGACTCCATAAGCACATGATCTCTGAACTCACTAAAATCTGTAAACCAAACATGATAGTCTTTAGAGACGAACTGATCCGCTCTGCTACCACAATCAAACAAATTAGAAATAAGAAAGCTGACAAAACTACAGCAGAGGATCGTTGACACATTGAGTTTTTTTTTTTTTTTTCAAGATTTAGAGATTAAAGCTGTAAACTTGCGAGAATAAAGTTATCAAGTAAATAAAGTCATAAAGCTGCTTTTGTGGAGGGGGAAATGACTGAAGCTGGTCATCTGCAGGGTTATCTGTGGATGGATCAGCAGGTCATTCAGAGAGTTTTCATGGTTTTTTAAGAAAAAATCAAACTGATGATGATCAACATTTGTGATCTAGAGGGAGTCGAGCTCCGACGAGCAACACATCTCTGACACCGGCGGTAACCTATACCTGCAGAGACACCAACACCTTATTATGACATATGGATTCATATCATAAATTAAAGCTCAATGCCATTCAGGAATATTTACGGCTGCATTGACAGATATATCCTTAGCAAATCCATTTCTGTCTCCACAGGAGCAGCGATTTTCTCGAAGTCCACCTGGTTTTTTTTTTTCCCTGTGGAAAAGACGTATTTCTCATGTATTCTTTTTTAAGTCTTTATACTTATGACAATGTGATGCTGATGTGCCAAAGGATGAAGTATCTCCTTGTTTGTGAAACCTATACTGAAGCACAGTTCCTTTAAATGCTTCATGGCTATAATTTTAACAACTCTCCTTTGAAATAACAGGTTACGACTTTATTCTAATAAATTAATGACTTTATTCTCATAAATTCACGACTTAAATCTCAAAGTCTATAAAAAAAATTCTCGATATGGCCCTCATACTCCTTCATACAAAACAATCATTGGATGAATTTTGTGGAAATGATCTGTGCTTAAAGAATGGACAGTCTGCCTCCTCGCTGGGTGAAGCCACTCCGAGAACAGCACCCTCTGTTGATGGGCTGCAGTATAGGTCATAAATCCCGCCTCCGCCAGCAAAGTTTATGGAGCTGTGGACAAACTTTAGAAATTTATTACACAGAACATACATTTTTCTCCCCCCTGCTTGTGGTGTTGACATGTAGTTACAGTAAGACTGATTTGGGCTGTTTTCTATGATTGACACCTAATACAGCCTATGGGCATTCAGGGATTGCGTAGCTCTCCCGGGGATACGCTGTCTGAGCCAAGCATCATCACAGCGACTCTCAGCTACTGCGCGCCCAAATGCACAGCGCTGGTTTCAGGAAATGAAGAAAAATCCCAGAAATACCGAGGGCTATTTGGCTTCAAATCCGTATACAGGCAGTAGGCGGAACCAAGTTGTCCATAGTATATACAGTCTATGGTTGTGACGCGAGTCTGAGGGCGGGGACATTTGGTGGTTCAACCAGGAAGTCCTCCGAAGGTTAGACCTTCCCAATTCACAAAACCGGACCATCTCACTCAGGGTACTCAAGTCCACATAACGGCAGTGCGCTCAGCTAAGTGCACTTGAGCGCACTCAGCCTCATGCAGTCTCTGAGATGAGACACAGATGCAGACAATTACTAAGGAGGGAAAACTGAGGAAGTAAAACAAAACTAGACTAGAAACATGGGGAATAAGCGACTACAAAATAAAACAGGAAACACTGAAAACTGATAATAGAGAATAAAACACTGAGAACATGAGGGAAACAGGGTCAGACACAAACTGAAAACTCACAAGACAAGACTACCAGGGAACAGGAGCAGTAGGGAACAGAGACACTAGGGAAAATACACTCAAATCACAGGGAAAAACTCCATAAACAGAACATATCGTGACATTCCTTCCTGAGGTGCATACTCAATCTACTCTGATGAACAAAAACTGTCACTTCAAAAGCATGTTTCAGACTATGGGCTCTATTTTCGTGCCTTGCCTGAGACGTGCGGAGTAAGTCAGGTCCGTCGCGCCGACAAGGCGTTCCTGAACACAATTTGGTATTTTGCTGAGAGAGGGCGTGGAGTGGGTTTAACACAGCTGAGACCTGTATTGACCTATAACATCAGCTCCTCTCCTAGCCTTTAAATCCGCCACCGGCGAGGCGTATTACTATTTTCGTGAAGTAGTCAAAGAGATCAAGAGATGTCTGAAGGCAGTAATGCCACACGATGGCGACAGAAGGCAGCTCCTCAACAAGTGTCGCTGTAAGCGCTGCATTGGGTGTCCTCCAGACTGTCTCATCTGAGCACAGATGGATTTGGTGTGTGTAATGTTGGACCCACTGGTAAGACAAACACCCTTTTCCACAAATAAAGACACTCACATAAAGTTGCATATATTCAAACCTCACGTGACAAAGGTGGGTTGTGCGCACAGATCACATCATAAAGTCCAAAAATGGCATTAAAATTGGAACCATCTGTGCATAAAGGACGCATCACGCTCTGTGGCCTGGCTCTTTCTTTCATAGATGTTGGCATAAAAAATAAATTTGGCTCACAAAACTGAATATTATAATATTTGATGTAGGCTTAAAGTTAAAAACTCATCTGGTCACTGAAACAAATCATCAGCCGCTGCAGCAGCAGCAGCTGCAGCAGGACAGGGAGAGGACACAGAGACATGTCCAGGTTGAGCTGCGCGAGAAATAAGAGGAAGAGGAGGAAAGAAAAGGATGGAGACAAATTAAATATCTTGTTAACTTCATCATGTGAGTTTATTTACTAGATATTTAATTTAATTTAATGTGGTTTCAGCTGTGTTGATTCGGTCAGGTTGTGTGTCCAAATGCGTGCCAAACGTGCTCATCAGATCAGATATAGATCAGAATATATCTATATAGATCTAAATGTATGTGCTGACTCAGATTATTAGTTGTTGATGATTATTTATTGCACTGAAATGTGCCTGACACTGTGGAAACCTGCTGGTGAGGCATCAGTGACGTATGCCCATACGCCGCCAGTCTACCAAAATACCACTTGACCAGCTGCGCTCCGCCTGCGCTGAAAGCTGACCAGGTTTGAATCGGCGAGCCTTCAGTGCACTTTATATGCAACCGGCGAGCATGAAAATGTCACTGCGGCAGCTGATTCTGTCGACACCTCCCTCTGCCACGCCACCACACCCAGCTTGGCGGACCTTGGTGCGCCTCAGTTCACCGAAATACCAAACTGGCTGTACGCCAGGCTCCGCACAATGAAAATACCACTGCGCGGCATCTGCCACCCTCCGCCGCCTCACCGGCGGACACGAAAATAAAGCCCTATGTATTCAATATACTGATATATCATCTCAGTTCAGTTTACATCATTGTAAGTGGATGAAACACTGCTTTTTATGTATTTCAACTTAAAAAGAGTCCAGCATTTACCAAGTAATCTTTGAGGTAGAGATGGTTGTGTGTGTGTGTGTGTGTGTGTGTGTGTGTGTGTGTGTGTGTGTGTGTGTGTGTGTGTGTGTGTGTGTGTGTGTGTGTGTGTGCGCACAGAACAGTGCAGTGCAGTGCGGGCTAAGGATGGGGGGATAGCAGACTGTAGGCAGGACCCTCAGGATAAAGGCCTCAGATCTACTTACCACCTCCTCACAACATTAAAAGGAAGATGTAACTTTGCTGATAGCACAGAATTTCAATGAGGGCTGGTGCAAACACAAATGAAAAAGAATTCATTATAATATCATTTAGTAGATCAAAAGATGGAGCTGATGCTACAGATACTCACTGATGAAGTTTGTGGATCTGTACAGGGAGCACAGAGCAGTACAGACAGACATATAGTATATCTGATGTTTTTCAAGGGCCAAGATGCAGCTCTCTTTGATTATCTCTGGAAGCTGTGAGATTATAATTCATGGTAACTAATTCTCATGCAGTTTGTCCATCTGGTCTGTCCTGTAAACACATGTGCAAGTGTCACCTATAGCATGTGTCATATACAGTGACAATGTAAACATTATTGTGAAGTTGTGAGCCGGGCTTTAATGCTGAAGGAAGTGCTTTTGTGGTGATTCAGGGTGGTTATAAACAGACAGTTATTGGCATTATGTATTTCTTCAATAGACCTTTAAGGTTTTCTTTAGGGTGCTGCAATGTAAAGGAAGACAGGGAGCAGAATGGTTGTTGTTTTGCTGAGCCAAATTTTTTAACCCCTGAATGAAAAGAGCCTGAATTTCCATCACTTGCAGCATTTACACTGAGGCTGCTTACCTGAGAGAGAAGACAGATCCAAAGCTGCTCTCATATTGTTAGATGAGTCACAGACAACTTGATTAGGATCATACAGTCTTATGTAGATTATCTGACTTCCAACAGGTTTTAATGTAAACTTGAACATTGATACTGCTTGTTAAATTTCAGTGATTCCTCCACTGTGGAAAACACCACCATCTCCTTATCCAGATACTGTGTAACAACAAAGCATTTGGGTCAGTCACTTTCAGTGTTGTATTTTGCTGTACAAGCAAAGATTTTGTCAACTCCAAGGTGTTAGCTGACACCAGCATGAGCTGCACTGCTGAAGAGAGCAGTAGCCTGTTTCCTTGTTTCACAGGAGTCCTTCTGGTGTAGAATTAATATTTTGCATGATCTGAATTCACTGATTCTTCTTTTTAATTTGACTAAAATGTTCTTGAACATGGTCTAAATAATCTGAGATTCTGTTAAGCTTGTATCAGTCTGGGGTCAGGATAGCATAAAAGATGCTCAATGTGCCTGAAATAGGGGCTTTTGCTAGTGTAGTGCCTCCAGATGTCAGACTGTTTTGGTGTCTGTTACATGGATTTGTTTGGAAATTTAGTATTTTGTTGGCCCAGCAGAGCTTTGGCCTGCTGTGCTTGCTATAAATATTATACCGTGCATGCTCATTGTTGCATTTGTGAATCAAGAAATTACCCAAGATGTTGTTATTAAGCTAAAGCACAAAATGATTTCACAGTAATTCCACAGCTGAAACTTGCTTTACAGGCTAACATGACAATGGTTGAGAGCAGAAATGGACATATTGTGTTGGAAATGAAAGTTCATCTGAAGGCCAATTAGTGTTTAGTGTTTTTTTGATAGAAACAGAGTCAGAGCACAGAGCTGTATTTTACAGAGCAGCTTGATTTTCAATCTGTGTTACAGGCATGACATCAGTGTCTGTGTCGAGACAGGAAAATCTTATCCCACTGCCACTGTCATAAAAGCAACACAATAATGAAATGACATCACAGTGGGGTGGCAGTAATTAAATCAGCAGACTGCTGTCGTGGACTTTTACAAGGCAGGAGGATTGTGGGTAACAGTGCAGCACTCTGGAGAACGGGGTGTCAGTGAAGGCAGCACAGAGGCAAAGAGTCTGAAAAAGAATCCTGCTTTTTCACTGCAGTGCAGTTTTACTTTCTTTTCATCTGTTTTTAACAGACTTAACCAAGCTGATAATTTAGATCAAACAACATCATGCTTTTTACCCTTATCACGATTAAACAAATAATTATAATAATACATTTTATTTCTAAAGCGCTTTTCTAGAACACAAAGACGCTGTACATGAGTAAAAGCAAGAGTAGGCCTGTCACGATAACAAATTTTGCTGGACGATAATTGTGCTACAAATTATCGCCAATAAACGATATTATTGACACCATTTTTTAAATTATAGATAATGATATTATATGGCATAATAATGCGAGTACACCATGTCAAAAGTGATAAACTTTAATTTCCACACGAGAACAACACTGGTTGTTTTCGTTGACTAAAATATTTCCCTTTTCTCCCACGATGAAGACGTAACGTTGACGAGCTAAACATAAGTCGGAGATGACTAAAATGTGACGAGACGAAAGTGCGTTTACGTTGATGGGACGAGACGAAAATGACGAACAGAGTTGCAAAACTCAGTCAGTTAAACGCTAAACATATAGGAGCAGCTTCAGTCCGCTCTGACAGCTCTCATCAGCCTGCTGTGCTCCTCCAACACACAGACACACACGCGCGCACACACACACACGTGGAGTTTTGTGTTTGACGAAAACAAAACTGGTTTAAAGCCGAAATATTCCCACACTTGGGCTGTTGCGTTCGGTTTAGACACCAAAGCTGTCATGTTCATTCTGTTAGCTTGCTTTTCACTCACGACGCTCACTTGCAGCACTGTATCCAAAAGTCTGTGTCTGTGTGCCTGTGCGCGCCTACGTGTACCTGCGCGCGCGCCCCCCCGTGACAAAGATACTGAATGACTGACAGGAGGGTTCACTAACTCCGTTCATTCCGCTATAGAGCCAACGCCCCCAGGTGCCGAGAAAAATGCGCAGAGTGAGACCTCTTCTCTCATCCAGCGTGTTTGGTAGCGAGAGAGGAGAAAAACAAACGCACGTCAATTATCGAGGCTGGCAAAGTTATCGACCTCGTTTTTATTTATCGAGCAATAAGGCGATTTATTGATTATCGCGACAGGCCTAAGCAAGAGCAATAAAACATACATCAATATACAATAATGGGGGGGGGGGGGGGGGGTATGGAGGATGAAAGGCAGTGCAGGCAAGGTGGGTTTTGAGATGGGTCTTGAATCTGGTCAGGTTGGCGCAGTTTCTGAGGTCCAGTGGGAGTGAGTTCCAGAGGGTGGGGGAGGCGACTGAGAAGGTTCTGTCCCCCCAGTTTCAGTGTTTGGTCGAGGGAACTGTGAGGAGGTTGGCATTGGCGGAGCGGAGGGTGTGTATGTGTGTGTGGGGGGGTGTAGGGGTGGAGAAGATCTTGCAGGTAGGGGAGGGGCCTGGTTGTGGAGTGGTTTGTGGGTGAGAAGGAGGATTTTGTACTGAATGCGATGAGGGATGGGGAGCCAGTGAAGGTTCTGGAGGATGGGGGTGATGTGTTGGTGGGAGCGTGTATGGGTGAGGAGGCGGGTGGCAGAGTTCTGGATGAGCTGAAGTTTATTGAGGAGAGTGGAGGTAGTGCCGTGGAGGAGACTGTAATCTAGACAGGATGAGATGAATGCATGTATGAGGGTTTCAGCTGCAGGGTAGGAGGCGGGCAATGTTTTTGAGGTGGTAGTAGGCTGTTTTGGTGATTTGCTTGACGTGCTGGGTGAAGGAGAGGTTGCTGTCAAAGAGAATACCAAGGTTGCGACAGTAGGGGGAGGGGGAGAGGGTGGAGTTGTCAATGGAGAGCTGAAAGTCTGTGACTGTAGAGGTGAGGGAGTTTGGGCCGATGATGAGGAGATCGGTTTTGTCGTAATTGAGCTTGAGAAGGTTGCTGTCCATCCAGTGTTTGACATCAGTGAGGCAGTTTGAGAGGGAGCGTTGGGTCTGGGGGGTGATGGAGGTGGAAGAGATGTACAATTGAATGTCATCAGCTTAGCAGTAGAAGTGGAGATCGTGTTGACGGAGGATGTGGCCAAGAGGGAGGAGGTAAATGATGAAGAGGAGGGGACCAAGCACCGAACCCTGGGGGACACCTTGGGACAAAGGGGCAGTTGAGAAATAGGTGAGAAGCGGGAGAGTGCTGATGGGATGAGGGGAGGAGCTGGGAATGGAAGGTGGGGGAAGGGAGTTGTAGATTGTGTTGATTTTGGATTGAAAAGAAGAGAGGAATGAGTTGCACTTTTCCGGGGTGAAGTTGATGGAGACACTGTCTATGGGGTGGAGCAGTTTTTTGACTGTGGAGAAAAGAGCCTTTTGGTTACTGGAGCCAGAGTGGATGAGGTTGGAGTAATAGGAAGAACGGGTGGAGGTGAGGGCTGTTCTGTACAGGTGGAGATGGTCGGTGTAGGCTTGGAGATGAACGGTGAGGTCGGTTTTGCGGTAGAGACGTTCCAGTTGGCATTTGTGTGATTTCATTTTTGAACAAAAAGTGCATAAAAATCTGGTGAGGTGCTACAAGGTTACATCACTCATTTGCTTGATGGACTAAAAAAATCTCCACACAGCACACTATGATGTGTGGGGATGCACAAAATTGGTTTTCTCAAATCTCATTTTTGCTGGTATTAATAATGATTTATACATACCTACATAAATTATTTTCCTGTAACAAAATTGAGCTGCAAAAGTTAGTTTGTTTTCGACCCAGGCAAACTACATTTGATTCTATGACACATGACCTTTTTTAATAATTGAAAAATATAATATAATTCAATTTAATTTAATTTTCCTTTGAGGATAAATGAAGTTATTCTTATTCTTATACATCCAGAAATGCATCTGCTAATCACATACACTTAATTGATGCATCACCTCTATAGCACATAATTACACTCGCAGAAACTGTCATATCTACAAATACCAATAAGTAACTTTTCAAATGATCATCTGCCAATACAGATATTATGCAGAAGAAAATCATGCATCCCTATTAATGAGTAAGTGAAGGCAAAGAGGAGCAGCATCACAACCTCAGGTCCTTGGGCCAGATATCTGCAGCAACGCTGGATACAGTTCAGCACTTCACCTTATCCTCCAAACTCCCAAAGACAGACTGAAATGATTGATCAGTGATATGAATACTGCTGGTCATGAAGACTCCAGAAAATTTAACATTTTACAGAAATGAAATGCCAATCCATCCTGAGTTTTTTCTCCAAAGTGTCATTATCTGCACTGTTTGCAAAATTTGAAAGTGAAATCCAGGGTTATGTCACAGCAGTTGAGTACTGTACCACTTCCTCTGACTTTGGATCGAACAAAACAGTGGAGCCTTTCCTCTAGAATGCACTAAATTTAAATTAAGATCCCTGCTTTATGTCCTTGTTTGAGCAAAGATTTCAATGTTAAAGGGTTTGTAGTAAACCAGATGAAATGAAGCTGTGTTGATTCAATTTTTAAATGAAAAAAACCTTTATTTAGGTGGTGTCTTTGGGCTCTATTTGCGTGCCCACCTGCAGTATTTTCGTAGACTGAGGTGCGCCAACCTGGGCATGGTGGCGCGGTAGGGGGGACAAAATCAGCTGGCGCAGTGACATTTTCGTGCCCGCCAGCAGCGTGTGAAGTGCGCTGAAAGCTCGCCAATTAAAACCTGGTCAGCTTTCAGTGCAGGCAGAGCGCAGCTGGTCTAGTGGTATTTTAGTAGACCGAAGGCGTATTGCGCATATGTCACTGATGCCTCACAGGCAGTTTCCACAGTGTCAGGCACATTTCTGTGCTTATTTGAGAGAGTATGAAGGACGCCTTCTGCAGCGCTGACCGCAACACTTGTTGAGGGGCTGCTTTTTGTTGCCATCGTGTGGCATTGCTGTCCGGTATAGAGCGGCCTGTTCCGCTCACCAAAATACCAAATTGTGCTTGGGCATGCCCCATCGGCACGGTGCCACGCAGCCGGCAAGGCACAAAAACAGAGCCCTTTGTCCTGCCATCAGGGCACATGCCCAATATTCTAAGTATAAACAACAATTTCCCTTCAAAAGTGGAGATAATGATGTCAGTGTTGGACAAAACCTTCGTTCCACTGTCCCCATGAACACAGAGTTCTTCATAACCTTGCCCACTGAGGTGTTTCCCAAACCTCTATTTCTGTGACCTTAAACTCTGTTTGCATGGGGGACAAAAGACTGAGTAAAACCTGACATTTTCAAACAATTACTTGTACATGAGGCAAAATGTTGCACAATAAATTCTTGTCATGAATAACCATCATCTAAATATTGATCAAAATAACCATGGTAACCACTGTGGTGTTACCTGTGCAGCCTTCAATAAGGCTGTCTGATATTCTCGCCCTTCTGCCTTACATCAAATAGCTCTGCTGCTCTGCTTTAATTATTACATTTGGGGTGAAAAACTCATTAGTTCGGTGACCTGCAGGGCAGCAGAGGCCAGCATCGATACTCAGGCTGCGAGAGACCAGAGGCTGTGGGTGATAAATTGATCAAAGTCAGTGGTCCTGCCGTGCCCAAAAGCTAACGACAGCAGCACTTAGTTTCATTGCTTCTGTCTGAAAAGGGGGGACAGAGAAAACACAGAAAGAAGACTTTCAATTAAGAGAGTTGTACCAAGAAGGAAGTTTTAAGGAAAGAATGAGGTCTGTTGAGTTTTATAGTGTCATGAGGATAGGGCTGTTAAACTGACTACATCACAATGCTAATTTATCAAAATAAACCCAGTCAGGGTCAGATTATGTCCCGGGTTTCATCTTAAAATAGGCTGAAAAGCAGTAATTATTACCTGATAAGTTCAGGCTCTCAGAGGTTATAGAAGCGTTTGGGATGGATTTGTTGTATTGATAAAGCCACAAACCCAAACTGTGCAGCTACAGTAGCACAGACAGTATGTATCACCTCACAGAGCCTCAGCATATAGTCAGGGATTATTATAATCTCATTTCTCCCCCCAGTCTCTCTTCTTTGTTTCTTTTCACCTGTTTGTGTCAGGTAAAATTAACACTTTGAAGTCAGGCAGACCAACCACACAGTTAAAAAACAATCACTGCATTTGAGGACACTATTTTATATTTCTCAGCTTTATCCTACCATGCTAAGTCATTGAAATCGTAGTTACACATTAGGGACTTGGGCCTGGTTCAGAGTACACTTGTACACAAAGGTCCATCTCATTTGTTCAGTGTGAGCACAGCCACTCCAGATTTGGGCTCAGTCTTGAGTCCCCTCTCAGAGGTTACCTCAAGAATGGTCTCCTGGGAGATATGACCAAAAGTATGTTTAAACAAGGAGTTTCGCTGCTAAATTTTGTCACCAAACTATTCACCTCTAACCTCTAACACGCTGCAGTTCTGTCATCATTACACCCAGGAAGGCGTAACATTGGTGTCTAAGTGTGTCATTACACACTGGGACACCTTGTTGCAGCAGCGTGAGAAGCATGGCTTGTCAACACAGTGCAGAAGCTCCACATGTACACACATACAGATGTGTACAGTGTTGTTTTGCACTGCTGCCTCTGACACTACATTGCCACCATCTTCCCTACATCCTACCTTTGGTACTACCTCAGACAGAGCATGAGAGGTTAAACAGGCTGTAAGAGGGGTGCATATATCCCACCTTGAAATGGCTGTATGTAAGCACCTTATGTCTCTTCAGAAAGCTTTATGGTAAATGTTGAGGTAGTAAGATCAGTAACAGGGTCATTAAGTATTCAAAAGTCAAAGCAGCAAGACGGACTCCATTGTCCACACTAAACATGAACAAATGTTAACCAGTTAGTAGTAGTGGCAAAGCAGCAACCATGGTGAGCAGTGGTTGTGGCTGCTGCTTCAGGTCTGCATACTTGCCACCTATTGGACAGTGTGCCTTGAAGGATGTATTAGTGTGAAAACAGAGCAGCAGGGGGTAGGGGAAGGGGGAGAAATTGTGATCAAGCCTCATATGAAAACACTCAAGGCTAGTTTTGCAGTGAAAGAATCTGTATTAGATTAAATTAACTATTTATCATGGATTCTATATGACCAAATGTTGTATTTGTGGTTGTGTTTTTCACTGAGTGGCAGCATCAGGTGTAGTTACAGTCCAGTCCTTCCAGCAGGGGGTAGGGGAAGGGGGAGAAATTGTGATCAAGCCTCATATGAAAACACTCAAGGCTAGTTTTGCAGTGAAAGAATCTGTATTAGATTAAATTAACTATTTATCATGGATTCTATATGACCAAATGTTGTATTTGTGGTTGTGTTTTTCACTGAGTGGCAGCATCAGGTGTAGTTACAGTCCAGTCCTTCCAGCAGGTATTTGTCTGCTTTGCTGTTGTTTTCATTGTTTCTCGTACGATGGATAGCTCTGTTACAGGATGCTTTGCCACTTAGTTTGAATAGAGGTGTCAGTACACATGCTCTATAATACAAGTTGGACTTAATAGATATACTCAGCGCACGGCAGTAGTTTTAGACTGCAGTAAAATCATTCACATAATAGATGGTGGTAAATCACATCTTTACTTTGAGGACATAATCCCATTGAAAGAACATTTTAGGCTTTATTGAGTCCAGGGTTTTTGTCACCATAAGGACATAAAAATATGAGTTGCCGCAGCTGCTGGTTGTGACTTGTGTCTTCTCTTCTGCATTTTCCAAGAGTTTCATTGTACCAGAGCATCATTTGCATTAGAAAATGCAAATGTCATCAATATTTCTTTGAAGATGCTGCATCTCTGTTAGGTTTTTACATAAATTGTCATTCCCTTTTCCTACATCAAAGAAAACCACATAATCACAGCAGGGTATAAGAGGAGGGATGGCACATTAGAGAGACTCTCTAAACAAGGAAGTGTTAAACACTTGAGCCAGTAAACAAGCCTGAGCTCACACCATCTCCCTGGGGGAGCAGGTCCACCACACAGCCTGACTGTTTGCCATGTATAAGTTCCCTAAAGAACTTTTGTAAAACTCTACTTATGAGAACTTCAAAGGAGGTCCAGGCTTGCTTTGAGCTAAAGAGCCCCTCTCTTTCCTCCTGCTGATGGAGACGATGCAAATCAGCTGCTGGAGGTAGAAGGACTAGATTGAGCAAAAGAAGTGAAGGAGAGCAGAGCAAGGAGACGAGCAAAGCTGCAGGCAAGATGGAGACATGAATAAGGGATGTGATCTGTGTCATCAGTGAATGGTACATTTGCAAATAATAATCAAACAGAAACTCTTTCATCCTTTTTCACATGGCTATGAATCTTTCTGTGGCTGTTTCATCCCTGAAAACCAGCCTCAGTTTATAATCTACCAAACCAAACAGACCACAGGTCAGGGCAATATATCAGGGGTTACCTGGTGGTGCATGCTGGGTAGCATCAGCTTGAAGTCTCATTGATTCGCAGTTAGAGCGGCTGGAGCAGAGGTCACGGTGAGGTCAGCACAATTAGAGATGAAGCCAAGGTCTTTAATGAGGCAGAGGGATGAAAGGGTTGCCAATTAATGGGCACTGCTTTGTACTGAAAACAACCTGGTGCTGTTCAGATGCGGCATGATTAACCTTCTGCAGTTGTGACTTTGTTTATTCTGTGTATGAGAAGATATGAAAGGGAAGAGGGAGGCTGTTAATTAGTGCTCACTATGATGGAGTCTTTCACATCTTGTTGACCTCGTTTACTGGGGTTCATCAGGGTCAGCGGGCTGTAATTGGATGGGCCCTCAATAGGTCCTGCAAACTAGGGGCTAAAACATGAAATACAGGGATGCAACGGTATGATAACATTCATCAGAGTTGATTTACGTTTTAAAATTGTAAGTAAGTGGCAAATTAAAGCTTCACGTCTCAATTAACTCAGGCTTTCACAATGATGTGGTTTGATGTGTGTAAAGCGGGTCATAAATAAATTGGACACTAAGTGGGGAGAATAATGTAAATTTTGAGCGTTATAGAGCCCACCATTAGTATTTTAGTCCAAGTCTTCATTAGCAATTGTATCTTTATTAACAAACACTTACTTTCAGTAATCAATAATCAGCCATCATATCGGCAAGCCACTCAGGTATCGTCTGAGTGGAAAACACTGGGTGAAGCCTTGTCTGCAAAATCAGCAACATAAAGACACCAAACCAAGGGAGTACGAGAAAAATTTAGTCCTCTGCTGTTTCATACAGAAAGAAATTTTCATTAAGCCCCTGTAACTACATGTTAGAGGAAAAACCTTGTTCTACCTTTAATAGATAATGTGCAAATATTAGAACACAATTAAATGAACCATCAGAAATACAAAGGACAAAATGTATCATTAATTATTCTCCAACAGTAGTTGTTCACTTAAAGCATTGAAAAGTTCTCAATGTACAGCTTCATCAAAACTCCTTCAAAATAACAACAAGTGACATTCAGCTATTGTAAAGGCACAATAGGTAGAAAATACTGTGCAAAGCACCCTTAAAAAAGAGCATTTCACACCCTTACAAAGCATGGTCACACTGCTAAAGAGCATCAGAAATTGGATTTCATGGATGAGATAAAGAAAGAGGTGTTTTGCAGTGAGGTTCGCCCCGGGGGGCTTAGCACTTACTGTTGAAGAAACATCTGAGGGGGGATACTTAAAACTCAGAGAGGGGTCCTGAGAGGGTCAGAGCAAACGTGGATAACTACAGAGACCCATTTTATTGTGCTACAACATTTCAGATATTCAGAAGGTAATAAAAAATAGTCTCTGTTTAACAGTTATCTGAAAAGAGCATGGTTAAAATTTAGTTCAACAGTTATTGTTTTACAAGCTGAGGACCTGCGATAAATGAAGTCACTCTATACAGCTCAGCCTTGTTGATGTTGGTGTGAGTGCTGTCTGCTGCAGCCTGTTGGCTCAGCCTCTAGGTTTTATTGATTTCTCCTTCAGCCGGATAGGGTTTCTGCCATAGTAACATATTACATCTGCATTGATCAGTACTACTTGTCTGGGAAGCACATGTAAGAGATGTAGGACAAGCGCCATTGTTGCTCTACAGACCCAGCAGCATGAGACATAGATTTACTGTCACAGAATAGAAAAACCATTTATCACCACAGAGGGATTTACCTGTGATGAATAAGAAATACTCCAGTGTTTAATTACTTTTTGTTTGAGTAGAAATTTAAACTCAGACAAAGAAAAGAAAATACTCAGAAAAAGTCATTCAGCATTGCTCAACACAGATCACAGCACCTGCAGATAAAAGGTTGTTAAACTGGTTTGTTTAGTGTGACTGTATTTATCAGACCCAATACCGGCAGCACCACAAGATGTCATCTGAGCCTAGGCTAGAGGATGGTAGCTGCACTACAAATTATACACAGAATACCACTGACATTTGGGTATCAAAAAAGAAATAGACATAAATTAATTGAGTAATAAGAATAAATAAATAAATTACAAATTGAATCAGCTAATGCCATAAGTAAGAGTAACAACATGTCATTGCATCCCTATAATGTGTGTGTACTTGTATTGATTTAAATTAACAGACCAGGATAATGAAACAGGCTAGACATTTCAAAATGTTTTTTTTTTCCTTTTTTTTGTCAAAGGTAACCCTGAAATAAATGCAAATGTCTCATGTAAGTGTGTGCATAAATGGCTGTTTGTCTCTATATGTAAATGCCATAGACTGTATATAGAGTGGACATCCTCTGTCTCCTCGCTGGGTGAAGCCACTCTGAGAACAGCACCCCCCATGACAAGTTGCAGTATAGGTCATAAATCCCGCCTCCACCAGCAAAGCTTATGGAGCTGTGGACAAACTTTAGAAATTAATTACACAGAATATACATTTTTCTTACCCTTGGTTGTGATGTTGACATGTAGTTACTGTAAGAATGGTTTGTGCTCAAGTCCTCTTTTTTCTGTGCAGCTCCATTTTTAAAAGTTATTAGGGGGTTCATGTTTGCTATGATTGACACCTGATACAGCCTATGGGCGTATGAAGATTGTATAGATCATCCGGGGGATACACTGTTTGAGCCAAGCGTCATCACAGGGGCTTTTGTGCACACTGTTTGCACTGTTTAATTATTTATTTCCATGCACTGGTTGGGTGGGGGCAACCTTGAGCTTACACAAGGCCTGACGGCCTACAGTTGAACAGGGTTAAAGGACTGCATGCAGTCTCTCAAACCAACAGCCATGATATCCAAGTAATGGCTCTTCAATGGTCAACAAAAAAGGCAGCAACTATAATTTTAGGCTTTAAGTGTATTTCTAATCTGATGCTCTTGAATAGTTTCTCAAAGGGTTTGATCAAATATTTCATTAATTTGTTCTGCATTTATCTGCCTTGGGGTACATTTAAGTAACTGGCACTCAATGATATTGTCTTTCAGCAGATATAAAGGTCAGTTAAATCTTTAAGTAATCACCAATACATTTCCACTGGTGCATGACAAATGTATCCGTCCCATCTCCTATCCGGGTGAATGGGGTCTGCCGTGGGGGTTTTGGTGGCTCAGCTCTGGGATCCACTTGCTGCAGTAATCCAGGGGGGTTAGGATAAAGCTGGGCTTCGCTTCGCTCTGTGCCTCGCTCGCTGCCTCCTCCCAGATCAGATGAGATTAGGAAAGAGCTAAGGAGCTCTGAGGGAAGGCAGGGCTCAGAAACACTGAGGCTGAGCAGAGGAGGGACATTGCCAGGCAGGTGGGAGCTCCTGCAGGAAAGCAGAGGTGAGTTCATCCAGGACTAGAGGGCTAAATATTCAATTTGGTGTTTCTTGGGGAGAGAGCTTGGAGCCAGCTGGTGAAGGTGTGTGATGGAGTGAATACTCTCAGTCTAGTTCTCTGTTTTTCTGAGTCAGTGTGCTTTTGAGCCTCAGTGTGTGTGTGCTCATTGCAAATCCTGTGGTGCTTTTTAGAAGACCCCTAGAGCCAAAAGGACTTTGGAGGAACTTTGAAGAACAGAAGTGCTGTGCTGTGTCATGGAAAAATGCTGCTTTGCTCCCTGGGAGCTGTGTATCTGTGTCTTTTAGCAAACACAGTTGGAAATGTTCCTTAATCAAATAGCTTTGAGAGATAATGTCCTTGTTTCTTGAATTACAAGTCCTGTCTGAGGATCTTTCAACTTTGGAGCCATGCTACATACCTAAGTGGTGTAGCTGCTTGTGATAGAGTGAATAGAAGCCGTGAAATGGAAGTAGCAGTGACAAAGACGGTGGTGAAGTAGGGCTGTGATGCCAAATTGAGGAGAAAATTGTGGGATGTAAGTATGAAAAGATAGCCTGCAGGGGTCTCGTTGCAAGATCAATCAAGCAGGTCTTTCCAAGCTAAAACTGGAAACACTGTTACAGTGTTTGGCAGAGTAGTCTGTGTGTGCAGGAGCTTTTATAACAGAGTTTTCTCCTGCAGTCAGCTACTTTGTTCACTTGTGAAGGAAAATGTGTCAGTTCAGATACTGGCTCAGGGACTTCTTGATATTATTTTTGCAGGAAATGACCTTTTGTTAAGTCATGCTTTTTTAACCTACACCTCATGATTTTTACAACTGTGTGAAAAATTTGATGCTGACTTTCTACTGTGACACACTTTGATGTCTTATTAGCATTAGGCCTGAGGTGACTGTGTGTTCATTCTTTTGCAGAAAGCCATCCTGCACTAATGCTGGACTAACAGATCTGAAAGTGGAGGAATGTGTTAAGGACTGCCTGCTGTGAACTCTTGACTTTGCTGAGCCCACTGATATTCTTCTTCTTTGGCTGTGAGAGGAGGTGTTAACAATGGGGAGGAAAAAGATCCAGATCACCCGGATCATGGATGAAAGGAACCGACAGGTCAGTATCTTCCTCCAACATCTTTTTACGTCTGAGGTGTTGTGGTTAATCATTTTTCATTTACCCTTAAAGAACGCCAACTTAATCCATTGCTTTGCTGTTGAAGGTGATCAATGCTGTCAAAAGTTGAGGACCATGATCTTGTGGTTATTTTAAAATGTGCTATAGAAATAAAGTTGATTGATTGATTGATTGATTAATGTTCAGGGTCAGTGAAGTCTGATACCTAATGTGGGGACCACATGACCTCCAGAGGAGTTCTGTATCATTTTTTTTTCTTTTTCTTGAAGTGATCTTAGAAGCTCTTATTGTCCCTCTCTCCTTTTTAAAGCAGTTTCTCTGTCTTCTTCATTACTTCCTTTTTTAAACTAACTTTACTTTTTTCCATGTATATATATGACATACAACAAACAAGGTTTATCAAGTACACATACACAAACAAGGTCAAAGAAAGAGGAAAAATAAGGAAAAATAGAGGCAGGAACTTTAATATCAGTGCGTGAGTTCATGTTCAAGTGCAGTAAATGTTTCAGTATTTACTGTCCATCTGTCCGTGTTCTGTCCGGATAGATAGATAGATAGATAGATAGATAGATAGATAGATAGATAGATAGATAGATAGATTAGATAGATAGATAGATAGATAGATAGATAGATAGATAGATAGATAGATAGATAGATAGATAGATAGATAGATAGATAGATAGATAGATGATGGATGGATGGATGATCAGATAGACAGATATTGATAAGAATGGTAATTTTATTTGTATCATTATTATTATTGTTATTATTATAAGAACATTATAAGGTATTCTATGTAATCTTAAAGGACAAAGTCACTGAATTAATAGCACGACTTTTTCCTATGCTTTGCATGCCTATAGTGTGTTTGAGACTATATTGTGTCCATAAGGCTGAATGGTATTACTTTGAAGATGTATTCCTACTTAAAAGTCATTAGCCATGTAATTGACATTGGCCAGAAAGAAGTGTATTATTGATCAGTGAGAATAAACTGTGCAGAGGTTTGAGGAATATTTGGAAAAAACAACACTGAAAGGTTTCATCACTTGGAGAAGGGATTCCTCAAGGAGCCGTCCTCAGCCCCCTGTGTTTTCAGTCTAAAGAACTCCAAAGATTCCTCTGAGTTGTGTTACTTTTGTGAGTGCAGTGGTCACAGCTGGTGGCAAGGGCAGTAATTTGGGGTTAGCTGAGTCCGGTCAGCACCCTGTCATTAGCAGGGTGGGTCAGTGTTTGGGACACACAGTGGCCTTCTCTCCTCACTGTCTCCTTGTGCAGCCACACCGCTGCCCACTGGAATCCCTCTCTGTCTGTCTCCTCTATATATATCACCCCCAACAGCACAACAAATACCAGCCTGTCTGGAAGGAAGGCTTGGGCTTTGGAAATAGGGATGTGGCTGGAAAATAAATATCTTGGATGATCTTTATATTTAATGTTTGGTTGTCTTGGCCAGAGCATTTTTAGATAGACACAGCTTTTGCTGTTGGGCTTGCATCACTGGAGCCTGCTGTATATTTAGGCTCTTGTGCTCTATTTTTGGAAATTGGCTTGTATTCTCCTTTTAACTGTCAAGTTGTATTAGCTTGTTTCTCTTTTTCGGTATCACATTAAACACTGTATGCCGAATATAAAATGTTGACATGTGAAGTAAAGGAAATTAAAACCATTTCTTTTCTGTATTTTCATAAACATTGATTTGTCAGACCAGGTGAAAAGGGTTATTATGAAACCTTTGTGGACTGGTCTTTTCAAGGAAAGAAACCAATTTGGATTGTCATTGAAACCATAATAAGTAAAACTGGGATATCTCTGTCACTACCACCATACAATCTTGTTAAAGGTGCAACTTTTATTTGGTAACATCTCCTGCTCAATATGTTTGGCTTGGTTAAACATAAACTTGATGGCCCTTCTCATAAAAACCTTCACCAATCATCTTAGTGAGAACATATTGCGCTTTACATGTTTTCTAAAACAAATGAATCTGTAAGGCAGACAAACTATGGCATTGTACACCCTAGCAACCCACTGAGCAGACATTCAAGTGTTTGTGCTCTTTTCCTTCCAGTCTTCTGTGCTATGAAATATAAAAAGCCAAGGTGCTTTCATGCATATGATGGCAGACTTGGCAGTTCCCTGAGTAAAAGCCTCTGATGAAGGCTGGAAGCAGCTGCAAGTCTCCAGGTTGAACACATTTAACTCAAAAACTGATGGGTATGGGCTTATGGAGGCTGCACCCTTCACTTTGCACATGTAAGTCATCTAATAACCACCATTTGTAGATGCGACAAAAAAAAGATAATCTGTGCATTTACCCTTTACCCCTCTTACCCTTTGACCGCTTGACGTGGGAGTAATATTGACCATGTTACAGCAGGCTTTGTTTCATAGGGGACAAAGATTCCTCATGATGATGAATGAGCACCTATAACCAGGTAGTTTCATCCTTATGATAATTGGCCTTCATGGCCCAACCACTGATGACTTAGCTAAAATTAAGGCTAAGGACACTTCAAAATGTGAACAGTTGAGGTTCCCTCAGTCTGTTCCCTGAAACAGCTCTCACTTTCACTTTCACGCATTACAATCAGCTCAAGGTTAATGGTGAGCCACTGTATGGTTCCGTTTCAATGAGGCCATTTGCATAGAAATAAATAAATAAATGACTGATCTTTAATTTATTTGATTAATCAATCAAGAAACGTTCTTAAAATGTCCATGTATTATCAGATAGACATGCCTAGGTAAACAAAAAGGGAGGTCAAACTTTTTTTTATCACTCTTTTTGTTTTTCAAAGAAGAGTTTTTAAAGTTTAAAGTGATTCTAAATTGCCTCACCGTGCACGATGCAGATCATGGGTAATCATTTTAAATATGTTTTATATCATTATCAATCAATATAATCAGGATTATGATTTTTTTCTATAAATGACCAAACCTGGTGAGCTATGATAAATGATTTATTAATCCATGATAAACACTAATTATTAACTCTTTAAAGTGTTTATTAGTATCCTAAAGGTCTTTACAGTGGTGTGTTAACTATTAATTAATGCTTATTTTGAATGTTTGCCCTAAATTTTATCATCTAGTGAAAGAATTTTTGATTCATGTTTAGAATGTTGATCAAGTAAAAGATGAGATAATGTGAACAGTCTAGTCAAACCTCTCTGCAGCCAACAGTAGGAGGCTGTCTCTGAGCTGCAGGACTGTAAATGTGTGGAGGCAGACATGGACATGGAGGAAAACACCAGATACTTACACAACATTGCTGGAAGTCTTGAAGGTGTGAGAAGGTGTGAGAGTCAGAGTCAGCTTCCAGATATGTGTTGACATGAGTCAGGATCCCAGAAGCCTGATGGAAGGAAGACATACTCAGATAGATACAGATGACTCACTGCAGGGAGTGAGCTCTGCACAAAAACAAGGATGAGAAAGTATGAGGGATGTGTGACCTGTGGGATGTGTGTGGGATTAGTGTGAGCTCCACTTAGTTCACCCTGAAGCCTTCTGATAGAATCGGAGGGGATCATGAATTTTACAGGAAGGATGATCATTTCCCTTCAGGGATCAATAAAGTTCTTCTTCTCTTCTCTTGTTTTAGAAATTACAATGAAATACAACCAGACTGAGACTCTTGCTGTCAATAAATGCACTTGGATGGGAAATTGCTTATCAATGTTGAACACTTTGACACATCTTTCTTTCTCTCTCCTCCCACGTTTGTCATCCTTTCTATCAGTGACTTTCAAGTTGAAGCCTCCCAGTTTTTGGATTTAAAAGTCAGATCTTCCAGGGTGACCTCCCTCCTCCTCCTCCCCATGTCACACAGAAACAATCTGAGTCACTTTTCTGAAAGTTTTGTAGATTTTAGTGTCACTAGCTCATGCTGCAGCTGTTTTTCTTTGGTATGTTATCAGTTTCGCTGAGTCATAGCAATGAACAAACTCAAATTCTGCAAAATATCTGTGTAAGTTTGTTACACCCCACATTGCTCAGTGAAGAAGCTTCACTGTGATATCTGTGAGGTAACTACCAGGCCTTTTGTTTTTTTGATATTTAGGTTGAAATTGTTCAGTTTTCTGCTAAAATTTAGGCCCTTTGCACCAGGAGTGAACAAATTATTATTCTTTAAGTTGAATGATATTAATCATAATGTCATAAATGTACAAGAAATAAGGTCTTCTTGTTTTAGATGATACAGATTATGGAAACAATAGAAAATACTTGAAAATAAGTTTTTGAAAAAGCCAGAAAGTCAGTCAGCTGTTAAACTTGAGTGTGGTTCTACCTAAAGCAGCCATGTGCCTTGTGGTTTCTGTCCTTCTAGGTGACTTTCATGAAGAGGAAGTTTGGTCTGATGAAGAAGGCCTATGAGCTGAGTGTGCTGTGTGACTGTGAAATCGCCCTCATCATCTTCAACGGCTCCAACAAGCTGTTCCAGTACGCCAGCACCGACATGGACAAAGTCCTGTTGAAATACACAGAATACAATGAACCCCATGAGAGCAGAACTAACTCTGACATCGTCGAGGTGAGTGTCAGAGTGTTTTAGTTTGGGAGATCATCTCCTTCTGGTCACACGATGCAAGTTTAAGTGTTAACATGGGCACAGTTTCACCTGGGAAATGGGGTTTACAATACAACTTTTTCTTTGACTAGACTTTGTTGAACAACGTGGATTCTCATTTCCCTCTTTGTAAGTGATGGGTGATTTATTAAAACCCAGTTTAAACTTATATGCCACAGCTGAGTGGTTCAAAATGATAGAAAAGGTGAAAAATGGTTCCTTCCGAAATTTTCAGCTTAGAAGATAGCAGTCATGTCAAGGAAAACAATCGGTATTTATTTTTGCAGGTTGTCAGTTAGGGCCTGTGTCCACCAACAGTCTTTTTTGCAACGAGTAAGGTTATTTTCTTTACAAAACCAGTGCAGTCCCGCACTTGAGTTTTAAACATTGGCTAAAGACAGAATGTCGCCACGTGGTCTGGAACTACAAAATCTATGACTTAAATCTATTATACATTTTTTAAAATTATATTTATCAATAAGAGCAAACATAAGGCACACAGAGCAATTTAAAACAGACCAAAGACCAACAAAGAAAAGACTGAGACCAACCTTAAAAACCCTCAAGATGCATGTGCCATGAGTGATGGGTTTGCTCCCTTTGAGGGTTTGTACCCTGACCCATTGGGAGAGTGTTTGAAGCACAGACTGGAGCAACTGAGTGAACGGAGAGTAACATACCAATAACAGCTTACTTCAACTTTTTGTGGTTGCTTTCCTGCTCATTTGGATGTTATCCTAAGACTATTGTGATATAGGATGGTATGGGATTTTAAAGTTTGATTTTTCATAGGTGTAATTGTGTTTAATGTTCCTCTTTGCTGGGAAGGTAGCGGCTTAAAGTCCTGTGGTGGACGACATTGATCAGGATTGTTTTGTTTTAACACTAAATCCATGATCAATGAGTATTTGTCATCTACATGATCTAAAATGCTGTGGGGAATTGGCATTTGGTGCTTTATTTTGGAGTTTCGTATCAATTAAGAAAGTAAAGTGCAGGAAAAATATCTAAGTTGAGCAAACACTTTCATCAAAATTAGTGTTCAGGTTAGAGGTCATTTGAATCAGCTAATACAAGGGACAGTTGACTCTGTCTGTAGCAGGTGATAATGTTTGAGAGGGTGAAAAACCGTCAGCCCAAGAGAGGACTGTAAAAGCAGAACTTTTGCCTGTGCTGTCGTCTCTGCAGGCGTTTCTCCGTTTATAAAGTATTAACACACAGAGTCATAGCTGTCCCACTGGAGACCCAGTAAGAGATAAGATCCAGCCATTAGCCTATTTTGTGGGGTCCTGCAGCGTCATCAGGGTGTTGACGCTGGTACTGTTGCATCATGGTCCCTGAGCAGAGCTGTCCTGTCTCTCACAGCACACGCTCACTGCCATTAAAAATGAATGGTCATCGTGACTCACGTTCTGCCTGTTTATGTAAGCCCCTAATGTGTGTTTGCCTAGCTGAGAGCCTAAATTTGTTGCTTTCTATCTCTCTCTTTCTCTCTCTCTCTCTCTCTCTCTCTCACACACACACACACACACACACACACACACACACACATGCTCACTCACTCACTCACTCACTCACTCACTCACTCACTCACTCACTCACTCACTCACTCACTCATCAGGGCTGTATGGAAAGCAAACTCTAAACTAAAAGAAACAAAAACTTCCCAAACTAAATGTGTTTATTTTCAAAGTGCCTCCTCCCTCCTTACTGAGGCTCTGGAAGAGAGTCTTGGCGTGTTTGCAAGTTTTTTTCTGCCCTCAGTTGGTCTTTCTTCCCCAAATCACAGACTGGTAACTTTCTTATTTAATCTAAAAGTGTTTCAGGAGGAGAATCAGACCATAGGACTGCAAGAAAACAAACAGCAAAAACTCTTGCATCATGTTTTGGTTTGAGGTAGGGCAGCAAATAATGACTGTTCTGATTGTTGCAAAGATATAGAGTATTCGAATATTAAATCAGATGATTACACAATTACACAATGGTCCTTGTCCTTCTCTCAGATTTTAGATTCAAATTAATTCAAACTGTAAACATTAGACCGCTTAAAGTCCTAAATCTAGTAGAACAAGTGTTATAAGGGATAACTTACTATGAGGTGTTGGAGATGAGATCAAAGACAGTTGCCATCTTTAAGTAACACACCTCTGATATCTAGACACCTTGAATGGCATTGTCCGGCTCATGGTCACTCACCAATAAAAATATTCAAAGACCAGTGATTTAATGAGTTCATGCATTTGTGGTCAAAATAGTAGAGAAAAACTGAACTGAAATGTTTGTCAGTCTGTTTCCCTAGCAACACCTGAGTGCTTGATTAAAAACTGGGATCACTGTCACAATCCCATAAGGTTTGAATCCCACCAAAGTGTTGTTTAGTACTCCAGTAAGTAGGACAGTTATAGATACAGAGTAAAGAACTGTTAGTTTAGGCAGGACACAAAGGTGAAGGTCAGTCCTTAATAAACCAGCTGATCCTAACACCATCCCATATCAACTGATATCTCAGCTGATTACCCTTCTCACACCAGATTGCCAAATGTCAGAAAGCATGTTCTGTTGAAACTGCTTCAGCCTGCCTTCACTTGCTGTTTCCACCTACATCTAGTGCCAAATACAACTGATGCATGGAAGTAACTCATTCTTTGACAAAAGTGGTCCTGACTGAATTGGAAATAAACTGATCCTTTGAGCTGACTGAACCCTTCCAGCCTTCCACCCAGCCGAGAGGGGTAATGCTACGCTTGCAGAGATAGTAAGGATGCAGGATGTCTTATTCCAGTTCCAAAGGACTTCACAGATCAATTATCAGTTTTATTTGTCAGCAACTAAATTTTGTCATTGATTTTTGTGGACTATGTCAGTGAATTATTGCATCTGTAGTCTGTAAATCCACTTTTTTAAGCCTTTACTGTAGTGTGGCATGTTTGTGGGCAGTCTTAGTTTTATGTACAGTACCTACAAGTGACTATGTATCAACAAAATGGCAGGTGCCGACTGCTGTGTCAATTTTCTGACTGACAGGTTAAAATGATGGTAACTTGTCAATCACAGACAGCCACACTCCTTACTTTGGTTTCATTCTGGCTTGAATTGAGACCATACTGAACTTTAAAAAAAAACACCATGCTGCATTAAAGAGGACTTAAAACTGGGTATGGGGACCATGAACTAGTTTGGGATTCTTTTTCCTAATAACGTTTAAGGCACTTTTTACAATAGCTTCACTTTTTACCATAGGATAGAACTTCAACATGCATGTGAAACAATATGACCACAGCTGTTTAGGGCTGACTTCACCCTCTTTGTTGCAATCACAGTAAAAGTTATCAGCTTGCATCATTAATGTTGCCCATAATGATACCATTCAGCATTGTTGTTTGTTCTGCTGCTGCTGTGAACCACAAGCAGACACCTGTGTTGGCTCTGTGAGCATTTAGCCAGCCTTGATTTGCCTGCTCTGAGTCCTCATTTGTTTTTACCCACAAGTGTCAAGCACACAGACTCGGCTGAAAAAAAACAAGGCCTATAAGTGAGAAGGTTGGTCTTTTACATATCGGTCGGTCCATCTGCAACATTGAGGCACCAGATTTGTTTATGTGTAAAGTTAAATTCCTGCAGGCTGCAACAGACTCTGCATGTCGTGAGGGAGCAACAGAAAGCTTTTGTGGGTTCTTTGTCATTGTTTGGTGTTTGCTGATGATTATCTGTCAGGCACACACAGACAAACGGCTCTCATGCTTCTCTGCCACACAAAGAAACATGTCACAGCGGCATCCAATTTATAACTGTGTCATTCTGTTTTGGCTATTTTAATGTCTTTTAGAGGTCAAGAGAAATTTGAATTCTCCTTTTAACACAGTGACACTGCAGCTTTTGTTGTTTTTCAATTATAGATGGGCCTTTGCTACCTATGCACTGTCTTGCTTAGAGTCAGATAGAAGTATTGATACTGTTCATGTTCCTTTGAGGTTCTGACCAAACCCTGCATACACCCCTAAAACTGTGCATCTCTTTTTCACACCCAGGTTTGGGAAATTTCTCGCAGTATTTGACACCTTTAACAACTTTTTTTTGAATGGTCACAAATCTGTGGACTTTTTTTTAGCAGCAAGTTTTTTTTTCTAAATGGGCTCTATTTTCTTGTCCACCAGTGGCGTGGCGTAGGGTGGCACACCCACGCAGTGGTAATTTAGTGTAGCACAGCCCGGCACACTGGTAAGTTCGTAGACTAAGGTGCAGTGAGATGCGCCAAGCTGGATGTGGTGGCGCAGTAGAGGGCGATTTCGACAGAATCAGACTAGCGCAGGAGTGCACACACACCACCAATGCCTCATCGGCAGGTTTTCATAGTGTCAGGCACATTTCAGAGAAATACATTATCAACAACAACCGATATTCTGTGCAACTATCTGAGTCAGCACCTATATTTAGTTCTATATCGATATCTATATCTTATCTGATGAGCACATTTGGCAAGCGTTTAGACACTCAACCTGAACGAATAAACACAGCTCAAACTGCATTAAATTAAATATCCAATAAATAGTAACATTTGGATTCTACTGATGGAAACATTAATGGAAGAAAGAGCCAGACCATGGAGCGTAATGCCTACTTTAGGCACTGGTGGATCCCATTTTAATGCCGCGAAGCATAGCATTTGTTTATGATGTGATCTGTGCGCATAACCCACCTTTGTCACATGGGGGTTAAATATATGCAACTTAATGTGATTGTCTTTATTTGTTGAAAAGGGTGTTTGTCTTACCAGTGGATCCAACCTTACACACACCAAATTCCTCTGTAGTTACCTAAGTGCAGAGGATGCAACATCCTCCACAGCACTTAGAGCTACACTTGCTGAGGAGTTTACTTTACAGATTTATCAATATGCCTCTATGGTGGCAGATTTAAAGGAGAGGAGCTGATGTTATTGGTAACAATTGGATCCGGCTGTGTTAATCCCACTCCATGCCTTATCCCCTCCCTCTTTCCTACTTGCACTGCTTGGAGCAGCTGAGTTGGGGACTACTGGGGGCTACTTGCAACAGGCTGCGCTGCCTACCAAAATACCAAATTGTGCTTGGCCGTGCCTCATTGGTGCGGCGGACCTGACCTGACCTGACGTTGTTGGCGAGGCACAAAAATAGAGCCCAATATCAGAAGGATTAAGAAGAACTGGCTGTCATTTTTTAGCGAAAATACAAGCCTTCATTTGAAATTTGGGTAAAAATTTATAGTGACACTTATATGATCTGTTTGAATAAAACAAGGCATTAGCACATCACGTAACATGACCATTGCCTGCACTTTTGAGAAAGAGTTGTCAATATGTGTGTGTGTGGGGTGGGGGTGGGGGGGCAGTTTTACCTTGAAAAAAATACATTAAGGCTCATTTAAATAGATGTAAAAAAAAATAAAAAAAAACACTGGTGCACAGAGATGTTTGCATTCAACCCTTTGGAGTGTTTTGTTAATTAGACAGATTAGACGTTTTTTTTTTTTTCTTCATATTTCCAGAGCAATAGAAGAATAAAAGCAGCATGGTCCTTTTTCAAAGAAGACCCTAGTAGAATAAGTCATACTGGATCATTGAAATTATTGTTCATAGATAAAGTTTTGCTAAAATTAAGAACCTGGTGTCCATGCCCTTCCCTAATTTGCAATTTTGCAAAAGTGTACTCAGTATCTCTTTGTACCAATGATTATAAGTGTAGTACCAAAAATGAACTTTAAATTCAGGGTTTATATAACAACTAACTTTGGAAATGTAACCCTTCATATCTAGCTCCATATTAAAAACATTGAATTGTAATCTTAGCCCCTTAAATGAAGGTAAATCCAGACAGACTTGTTTTCAATTAAACTAGTCTGCCAGTTTAAACAACTAGAGCAACTTGGATCTTCAATCCTACAGACATATTTCTTTTGTCATAATAATGAGGCAGATTTGTGCGCAGCAGCGTTAAGTTTCAGCAAAAACGATCCAAGACATGCAGCGCAGTGATTTTAGCCTGCAGAGCAGAGAAAAGAATGAGAAATACAACAGGAAGAAAAAAAGAGTGTCCTGAAACTCAACGCTGTGGTGTAAAGTGTAACTCAAGTGCAGGGGAATCTTAAAAAGCAGTTTGTGTGAACTGTATGGACCTGTCTTTAAACATGTGAGCTCATCTGCCAGAGATGTGTTGAATCACATCTCAAACACTCCCGTGCCCACTCTATTCTTAGCCAACAGGGCACCTCCCAACTGGAAAAGACTCACCCAAGTGAGAGAGGGGGTCTTATTTTATCTTTGATGCAGCCCCAACAGAAACAAGACATCAGCCTTCACATGTTAGGATGCTTAGAGCAGCAGCTTGTGTCTTTGTGCCTCATGGTGGCAATGATCCACATGCCTGTGGAAGTCCACTAAATCCCACTTTGAAATTTGAGAAGATAAGGAGACACACACTCTCAGATCCTTTAACAGACACTTAAAGGTAGTCATCAGTGCCCAGACATGATGTAGTGGTTTATACAAGCATCTGCAGAACCACATTTAGCATGGCAGATCCACTAAATCCCACTGGACTCCTCCTCTTAAAAGTCAACCAAGTGTCCCCCTGTGCCCCCGTCTGTCCAATGCTTACACACAGGATCGACTTTTCATAACAGGTGAAACTCTCTTTTATTTTCAGATTAACTTTCAAATTTCTCCTTCTGTGCAATCAAACCTCAATCAAAGCAGAGTTTTCCTCTCTGGTTGATAAAAAGATACAGACGAAGGCCAACAACAAGGGCTGTCATGATATTACGTCTTCACCTCACGATTATTGTGGCAATGAAATATCATGAGAACAACATATTTTTTGGAAACTTGAAATAGACCAACACCGTCTGTCCGTTTAGGAAAGGCAAGGCAAAGGTGGAGCAACACATCACTTTATAAACTTGAGTGACTTACTTTTCATAATCCATTTTTAACAATGTCAACTTTATGATTTATCCACATCAACACTATTGTACCAGATTTTTTTTAGATAGGACGTCACCTCATGAAATTGATGGTTTGTTAGGCTTTAATTTTGTTAATTTTGTTTTGTGTTTTCATGGTCTTGTGTTTTCTGCAAGCCTTTTATTTTGAAGTATTAGCTTCTTCATGTTACTAGCTAAGATAACCATGTGAAGTAGAGTTTGATGTGTACATGATATTGGATTTATACATTACTCCTTTTTTTAACCATAGTATTTACCTTGAATTTTTATTTCTTTTTTTATTAATTTATGATGGCTAGACAGACAGCCAAAACTCCTTTGTTGGAAAATGTTACTGAGTTAGATATTTTTCTGCCTTTATTAATTAAAATGTTCTTATTGTTATGGTTATTAAATTAATTAAAATTTTGTATTCAGTACCATGTGAAAAAAAACAAACAACAACAAAATGACACTGTGGTATTTGCCCTCAGTCCGCTGTCTTTGATCGGTTTCACCACAGGACCTTGAAAAACTCCAAGTTGTTGACCACAAGATTCTACAATTAGCCTGCTGACAGCTATTGCCTCTTCTTCTTCCCACCTATACTTTATGGTTTGTAGTGACCAGCGTGGAGAGCAGTGACTAAAAACCCATGGCCATCACTGTATGCTTATTTTTAGCAAAATATCAATAAGGAGTGGACTGATATCTGATACCTATTTAGAGTAATTCATGAGGCCCATATTTGTAACTCATATGCGTTAACAGTAGGCTAACAGGGACAGCTTTCTGTCAAAAAAGAGGATTTAGAATATCACAAACTTCAGGTCAAAACTTTCTGTAAATGCCTTTGGCAAATGTTAAAGCAACACTGACATGTTAAGCATCATATACAAAAGTTAACAGTTAACCAGTTACAGTCAAGTTCAGTCACACTATCAGGTGTCATCCGCTAATGTGGGCGGGACATCAGGTGAGACCAGTGGCGATTGCTCTAAGACTGCAAGGGAAGCTCGGCTTCCCTTAAAATGTCACCCCTCAAAATAAAGAAAAAGTGGTGAAATACGTACTGCTGTGTGTACATTTCATTAACTAAATACGCGCTAGAAAGCCTTCATCTTTTGTTCAGACACTGTGATAAGAAGCTGATAATCACAGGTAACCGGCATAACTTCGTTCTCATTCATCCTCGCAGCGCCTCAGCGCTTTAAACAGCCGGACGCTCGGCTTCTGCTGTCTTCAATGTGGAAGCTCAAAGTGGGTTGTTCCAGCAGTGAAACTAGACGCTCATTGGATAAATGCTGGGCTTTGTCCCGCCCATCGGAAGCCCAGCTTCACTGGAGTTCTATGGCGAGAGGGCGGTCCCGACTTTCTCCCGTACTCCAAGCTTCTGCATTCATGATTGGATGAGCTGTCTGAGGCGAAATCCTTTTTTGATTGACAGCTAAACAAGCGAATCAGCGATCTTGAAGAATAAAACATCTACCAGAGCATTTTCCAAGTTATTCATTCCGTTGTTCTTAACTGCTCCGGAGACCTTACCGATCCTCAGCGACTCTTGTCTTTGTTAAAAACGACTGCCGTTGTGTTTGGCGACTCTGTTCTGTTACATACTAATAAACAAATACAATTATGATGTAGGCCAGAAAAATGAGCTTCCCCTCCTTGAAAGACCAGCAGCCGCCACTGGGTGAGACATAGTGGTGGTTGAAATCAGACCCAGAAGAAAGGACACATTTATAGTGGAGCCAAAGTATTTTAACTAACTTATTTTATCAGCAGCCTGTGAAGTAAGAGACTAATACAGAGAATCATCTCTCTGCCAGTATTGGCTCCAATCATCTGCCAAGGCCAATGATTTGCCTATCCCCAATATCAAGCTGTAATTTTTTAAAACTCAGTTATTGCCAATACCTGTATATAGCAACAGCTCAACCAAATACACAGTTGAAAAGAGGAACGTGCAATGAAAAAAACTGAGATCATCGCCTTTATATATTAAGGAGAAGTCTGAGTGTACACTCAGCAGTTTTGCAAAAGGCTGATCATCTGGTGTCATAAAACATAAGAATGAACAATGTTTGGACATTTTAAAAAACCTTGAGTGATAGCACAGTTGATGACATATTTCATCTAAAAACAGCTGTAAAGAAAGGTAAGGAGGATGTGAGTTTACACCTGAATCAGAGCCGTCACAGATAAACACCTGGCCATGAGAAAAAAAAGAGCGTCATTACCCCATCTGTGGAAATTTGTCTCCTTTCTCCTTACTTCATTAATGAAAAGGGTTCATTCTCAATATCACTCCCTCTAGAGTCTTTTCTGCTCACTTACATGTTTACAATACTTATAGGGCTTATCTGTTCACATGCTGGGATATTATAATTGCTGTAAACACAGAGCCAAGTTGTGATCAGCTGCTTTTGCATTGTAATTGTCAAGCTTGAAGCAGAGTCTATATCAGATGTGGTGGCTATAATTATGCTTGGCAAAGCGAGGAGAGTATAACATCATTTATGAAGCAATTCAAAGTGCTCTACTGACATATTAGAATAAATAGTCTTAGTATGTGGAGCATTCAAAGAAACATAGAATCAGAAGCCCTATGAGGAGTTTCTAACGTATTGTTTAAGTAATCACTTTTGAATTCATGTGCCTTTGCTCAGGTTTATTGGGAAAAAAAGTCAGTTTTCTGTTGCAGTTAGGTTTTTGATGGAGAGACTCTACAACCAGGGCTTTGTAAAGTAAAAGAGCAAAATGGTATTGAATGAGATTTAGGGCTCTGTTTTTGTGCCTCGGCGACATCGTGTCAGGTCTAGCGTACCAATGGGGCATAGCCAAGCACACTTTGGTATTTTGGGGAGTGGCACAGCCCCATGCAAGTACACCTCCCCCCTTTCTCAGTTCCATCAGGTGCAGGTAGGAAGGGGGGGTTAATACAACCAAGTCCAATTTTCACCAATCACACCAGCTCCTCTCCTTACCTTTAAAGCCGCAAACGATGGGGCGTATTGCAAAATTCATGAGGTAGTCAAAGAAATGGAAGACAGGAATGCCACAAGATGGTGACCGAGGCAGCCCCTCAATAAGTGTCGGGATAAGCACTGCGGAGGGCATCCTCCACACTCTCTCAAATAAGCACACAGGGATTTGGTGTGTGGAAGGTTGAACCCACTGGTAAGACAAACATCCTTGTCCACAAATACTGGATGTTACATCTGCTCACCTTTTGGGAGCTGACTTAAAGTAAAAAACCAGAGTGAACAAGTTTTTGTAGTTATGTTTCCGACAGTTTAGGGTGACGTAATGAAGGGGTCAGAAAGAAGCAATACTAGACTCAAACACCAACGTTTTGGTTAGCTGGACATCCTTGTACTTGAGCTTGAGAGGATAAAGATGATATTTGAAACCAATTATTTTAATGTTGCAGTATGAAGCACAGTCTATGCTTTAGAGTAATAAATCCAAAGGACTCAAAGGTATATTTAGCATATTGAAACGCCAACTGCTTTCTCCTCTTATGACTGGACATTTTTATAGATGAATGAAAGCAGTAGGATTACTTTCAGAGTATGTGCTGACTTTAATGTATGACTCGATAATCTGTATTTTTCTAAGCTTTCCATCATCGCTGTGCAGGTCAGAAGCTGCGGCCTCATTATATCTCATGAACAAAATTTGTAAGTGACAGAGGAATTGTTCCTTTGGTCTTGTATACAACAAGCTAAAAAAATGTGTGTCCTCTGTCTATCTTGTTCTGTGTTTAGTGTGGAAATAACCAGCCGTTGACTTTGGCAGGAATGGAGCGTGTGACTTCTTTAGTGGTCAGCAGTTGTTAAAACGATGTTTCAGGCTTGTGGTGAAAATAGACTCGTGAGTGTGTGTTTAAAACTGCTAATAGGCAGCCATGTCTGGGAATGCAGAGGACATGTGGTGGACAGAGCCAGCTGGCTGTCAAGCTTTCCTCAACACGCAATGACGTGTAACGTAATGAGGAGCAGAGATGAGATGATGGATACCAGAGTAGTGATGTCATCATCCAGGCTCGTATGATGTCTGTATGATTTGACTTTTTTACTATAACCTCTCCACCAGGCTCCAGGTGCGGTAAATTAACATCCATCAGTTCATATGTCCAAGTTTCAAACAAATCAGCTAAAGATCCCTTTTTCTGAAACAATCCAACGTTGCCAACTCCTCCCTTGGCTTCAGTTTTTATTTCTAATAGAAACAACATGTGGCTTGTATTTGACATTTCAAACTAAAGTTTGTGAATTGTCCCATCACTAAATGTTCCTAAGATAAATAGTTATTTTAGTCATGATGGGTAACATGAAGACTTGTGTAATCGATCTCTGCCTCACAATATCAACAACAGTTCACTCAGGTTCAGGTTCAGGTTACTTTATTAATACCCGAAGGTAGATTTGTTGCGCAGTGAAATAAAGTGATGACGCCCATTTATACAAGTTACAGTACAAATATAAAACAACCACAAAACAGAACACGTGATAAAAGCGCCCCAAGGCTCCCCAGTCAGGACATGAGAGGGAGAAAAACGTCAATACATAAAGAAATGCAAATAAATAACCCAATCACTAAATGTTCCCAAGATAAAGTTTTTTTAGTCGTGATGGGTAACATGGGTAATCGATCTCTGCCTCACAATACCAACAACAGTTCACTATCCTCCACATTTACATCCTCTCTCAGCTCGATGGAGTGTGTCAGAGTTTGAGGTGAAAAAGACTTTGTCCCGTGGCATTCATTTAGTAGTATACCTTTAACAACGGTCTTTGAAGAACGCTGAGTTGGGGAGGCCACACTCTAAAACACTTGGTTTATTTCTTCAACCCAATTCCTGGGTTTTATGTGTTGAGTTAAATTTCTGGGTTATTTTTTAGGTCCATCCCCATTTCTTGGGTCATATGGATTCCATTGTAGCCCAATTTGAGGGTTAATAGTTATGGGTTATTTTTCTGAGAGTAACCCAATAATTGGGTCAGAACGTTGGGTTCGATTTACTCTGCGTGGTTTCCAGCCCTAATGGCAATTAAAGTGACCTGGCGACCCTGTGAACTTTAACCTTGATTTATATATATATAGATAGATATAGATATATGTGTGTGTGTGTGTGTGTGTGTGTGTGTGTGTGTGTGTGTGTGTGTGTGTGTGTGTGTGTGTGTGTGTGTGTGTGTGTGTGCCATCGACTGTATATAAGATGGACAACGTGGTTCCGCCTTCCGCCTGTATACGGATTTGAAGCCAAAAAGCTCTTGGTAATTCCGGGTTTTTCTCCACTTCCTTGAAACCAGAGCTGTGCAGTAGCGTTGCGCGCATTCGGCCGCGCAGTCGCCGAGAGTCCCTGTGATGACGCTCGGCTCAAATAGCATATCCCCCCCGGAAGAGCTACGCAATCCCTGAACGCCCATAGGCTGTACCAGGTGTCAATCATAGAAAACATGAACCCCCTAATAACTTTTAAAAACGGAGCTGCACAGAAAAAAGAGGACTTGGGCACAAACCAGTCTTACAATAACTACATGTCAACATCACAAGCAGGGGGGAGAAAAATTTATGTTCTGTGTAATAAATTTCTAAAGTTGGTCCACAGCCCCATAAGCTTTGCTGGCAGAGGCGGGATTTGTGACCTGTACTGCAGCTCATCAACAGAGGGTGCTGTTCTCGGAGTGGCTTCACCCAGCGAGGAGGCAGACTCTGTCCATCTTATATATAGTCTATGGTTTGTGCATGTGTGTGTGTGTGTGTGTGTGTGGGTAGAGCATTCAGTTCCTGACCAGGGGGTTGGGGTTCAAATCCTGCATGAGAGACATCTATAAAGAGTGAAGTACATCTATCTCTTTGGGTCCTTAGGCAAGCCATAGACAGTGCAGGTTGTAAAAGCAATGCTCCCAAAAAAAAGCCCCCCAAATGCATATATTAATTTAACCCAAGATCATCTGTAACAGAAATGTTTCTTGTCAAACAGGACCTGCTGCATGTTGCAGCGCCGCTAGACTGTTTACCTTGGGTCCTGGACTATGTCACTTTATCCAAGTTGTAGAAGTCCTGCAAACATTGTGTTTGCTGGTAGTCTGTTGGCATCTAGAGTAGCACCAGCTGAGGGGAAAACTGGTTGGGAGGGGTAGAGTTTACATTCAAGATTTCTCCCCAAAACTGGCATTCCCTCAGATCCTGCCTACCCCACCTTTAAATATGATTTTCTCTTTGTACATTTGTACAGCTTAACCTGCAGCAAGGATGCAGCAATGAATGGCGCCAACAGACAATGGTCTTTGGAAGTTGTTTTTAAGCCCATGGGGTGGTTTCCACTACAGTCATGTCTGTTTTTATCATTGTGCTCAGGGGCGGACTGGGGAGGGGAGGGTGGCCCGGGAGTCATTGCCAGAAAGGCCCACTTCCTGCGCGGTGTGGGCAGCAACCAAATGGCAACACAATTTTCCCGTACCATGAGGGGAAAAAAAAACCTAATTTGACATTGTTTTGTTTTGTTATAGTTATCATTAACCTGAACCCTTAAGTAGCCTACAATAAAATAACTACAGCAATGAAGTGATTTTAAAGCATTTAGTGATTTTAATGCAAAAACAACTAGAGGGCAACATAAATACAACAATAAGCCCATTTCAATAAAAATGTTTTCAAAAATAGATAAACAACGATGCTAACCACATAGTCTTTAACCTTAACTTTAACTAACTGAATAATATAAAAATGAAAATTAAATTGAAAACAGCCCACTGACTAAAAACTTGAATGAGGATCCAAACAGCGTCGCCACAACCTGATCCACCCCTGCCCCCTCTCTCTCATGTTGCGGCCACGGCCCATCGGCCCACCGGGGAAATCCCTGGTGTCCCCGTATGCCAGTCCGTCCTTGATTGTGCTGCCTGAGGTCCAAAGATTTTGGCCATTAAAAATTGTTGTGGCACTGTCCTTTTTTAAAGAGATTTGTCTAAATTCTGTGAATCTTAAATGACATTATGCTTTGTAGATAAACATGTTAGTCATTATTGGTGCATTCCCACCTATGTAAACCGGCTGTGCTGTGGGAACAGTATCATTATGATAACAAGCTTTTGAACTGTTGTTAGAGCCCGATATTTAATAATGACCCAAATTCTTATAAAAAAAAAACAAAATTGTAATCAAATCAGAAATGTGATAATTAGTCAATAATGTAACAATGTAACAAGATGCTGAGCCCAAAACATCATAATTTTTTGCCCAAAATGTAGCAACTTGTTGAAGAAAGAAATTAGGCAAAGCTAAAAAGATGTTTGGTAGCTAGTTCTATGGCTGGAACCCTATATGTACTGTTGATGAAGTTAGGTGCTGTTCTGAGCATTATTTGTAGGTTTGCATGTGGAGATAGAGAACGCTGTGTACTGTTATTGTGCAGTCGTTAATAAGTTTTTATGACTAGAGAAGCAAGCAGTCGGCAACATTCATCTCTTGAGAGGGTGTCTAACTTAGTGTTTTGGTGTGTTTGACCCTAACTCAATTTTACACTGGAATATCCCCTAAAGTTAGACCTGTAAGACCTTAGAGAATCATCCCTCTTCATCCTAGCCCTTCCTCTCATCATACTAACATGCAAAGAGAGAAAACAACGTGAAAGGACATAGAGGAAGAGCGTAATATAGAGAGGTGGTGGGAAGCCTGTTTGGGCTACAACGCAGTCCATCCATGTTAGGCTGGACAAATAAATGTGTGAACACCTGAAAAAAAAACTCAGAGCTGTAGCATACTGTTCTGCAAACATTTTCAAACAACTAAAGAATTGTGTGATTAACTCTTAAGGCTGTTCTCCAAAATGAAACTGCAAAACGAATAATGCACCAAAGAGGAAATTTAGTTAAGAAATAGTGTGTCATTCTGACTTTATTTGAAGTTAAAGTTAAGAAAGTGATTTTATTCACAAGCTGCAGGAATAAAAACATGACGAAATATCAGGATACTGGGACCTCTAAAGACTCTGCCGCTGGTCCTGTCAGGGGTTGGTAGGCTTTCCTGCTCTTACACCACATATTCCAGAGATGCCAAGACCTTACAAATCCTAATTATAATGATTTAAGATCATGTCAGCTCAGCAGAATCCGCTCCAGTCTTTATTCCTGCCATGTGTCATCATATTTGTATCAGCTTTTCTCTCATTTCTTTAACCTCTTTGTTTGACAAGTTTAAGAGATGATTTAATACACCATAATATGATATAAATGACCCTCTGTGAGAAGAGGTCATAAACAGCTCGAATGAATACTGTAGTTATTCTTCATTGGATGGTTTATCCTGGTCAGTGGAGAACTTTCTGCTTTCAGTCAACTGCTTATCATTAGAAAGGGGAAGCATCAGTTTTTACCTAAAGATACAGTAATGAGCTGATTATTTTGTACTTTACACTTCTTCCTAGCGCCCTCATCTCTCTCAACTTGATGGCCTTCTGAATGTGTTTGTGTTTTTCACACACAGGCCCTGAACAAGAAGGAGCACAGAGGCTGTGACAGCCCTGATGTCGACGCGTCGTATGTTCTCACCCCGAGTACTGAAGAGAAATACAAGAAGATCAACGAGGAGTTTGACAACATGATGAAGAGTCACAAAATTGTAAGGTTTTTTGTATTGTAAGGCTGGTTTCCATCTGCTCAGTTAGCCTTTACACTGATATAGTGATCTACATGTTTAGCCAGTGTGAAAAGGGGAGTACCAGTGAAGTGTATATGCACTGGTATCATTTTGCTGAGTGGCACAACATCCTGTGAAATGGCTGCTGTCAATAGGGGAAACAACGGAAATAGGAATAAACCAGGGTAATATCAGCTTATATTGGGAACATCTCGACTGAACTATTGCACTCATTTTGCTCTTTCAATACTTCGGTCTGGGACACCTTTAGAGCCACTTTGCTGATTTGCTGCTCAAAAAAAAAACGGATTTCAGTTCTTTTCAGCCTCTACCTGGAATGCCTCATTTTAGCTGCCCGGTAAATCAAGTTAGACAGAGCTCATGGGTTATACTTTCTACATGGCGTTGTAGTCACAAAACAAGCAGAAAGTTAAGACCGTATAGAAAATCACAAAATGCAGAGCATTTGAAAAAGCCAAGCTGTGAAATCAGTTTTCTATCTGCCAGGTGGGCTAGTCTTTTGCATAAACCCAAATTTCAGCAAGCATTTTTGTCTTATTTCTAGAAAAAAAACTATGTCTTAACACGCTTAATTGAAGCCATCTGTCTCATTTTAAGATATTACATGCCAGAAATAACACAGAAAACACACATGTCAAAGGAATTAGTAAAGATTTACTTGTCATGTTGTTGAAATAAGTCTTTTTCTCATTTAAGGAAACTTATCTCTAATTCCAAAAGAATTAAAAAGTGCATTTCTTTTCAGTATGACAGACATATGCTCCACCTCTGGATTTTTGAGACTGAAACACTGAAACACAGAGTGCAGGGCAGCAGTTTAAAAACCAAAGAGCAGCTCATACTGGGACTGAACAGTACAACAAATCAACACCCCTGTTCACTTGTTTTATTCTCCAGTCCACAGGCCTCTCTCAGCAGAACTTCATGCATGTGGCAGCAGGCAGCATGTCATTCAGCTCAGGAGTCGGAGGAGGAGCGACCTCTCAGGCTCTTGCTGCAGCAACAGCGGCTCTGTCTGACAGCGGGGTCCTCTCCTCTCCTCACACACACCTCCACAGGAGCATCAACTCTTCACAGAGGCCACCCAGCACAGGAAACACAGGTGTGTGTGTGTGTGTGTGTGTGTGTGTGTGTGTGTGTGTGTGTGTGTGTGTGTGTGTGTGTGTGTGTGTATGAACATATACTTTGAGGCCTTGGCTTTGTTTTCTGAAACTTGTGCATGTAAATGAGGAGGTTTACCTTATTTTCTGGATGACGGTTTGGACTAAGAGCTCACCTCAGATACACAGCAGGTATATAAGGCTGTATCACTTCAAATAAAAGAGCAATGTTTGCAGGAAAGAACATTTTTAAGGGGCTATTTGCTATACCTGTTTAGAGCCAGTTTAAAGAATGACACTTTTGGAAAGCAATCTTATTTACATTGAAACATGTCCATAATTTAGGCGCTAAACGGCCTTATGAGCAAAGAGGGAAGCAGAGAGCTGGAGACATGGGAAGGAGGTTGCTCAAGAAGAAATAGCTTCTGTAACCTGATGTGATTTCATAAACATAAATATCTTATGTTAGGTACAAGTGAGTGGTTGGAGAACTGTAACTGAAGACAAATGAACTCAAAATCTGTCTATGTGTGTTTGTGATATTGTTTTTCAGGTGGTTTGCATGGCAGCTCTGATCTGGCTCTTCAAAATGGATCTGGACCAATTGGTAAGTATCTTTCGAGTCCAAAACATGACTCAACTATTCAGTAGAGGTGGGAGAAAAAATCAATACAGTCTAGTATCGAGATATTTTGTCTGGTACAGTGCATCCGGAAAGCATTCATACCACCTTACTTTTTCCACATTTTGTTATGTTACAGCCTCATTCCAAAATGGATCAAATTCCCTTTTTCCTTCAAAAATTCTACACAAAATACCCCATAATGACAAAGTGAAAAACTTTTTTTTTTTTTTTTTAGAACATTTTGCAAATTTATTAAAAATAAGACACGCAAATGTTGCATATACATAAGTATTCACACCCTTTGCTTCAAAACTTAAAATTGAGCTCAGGTGCATCTTGTTTCCACTGATCAGCCTTGAAATGTTCCTCCAACTTGATTGCAGTCCACCTGTGGCAAATTCAGCTGATTGGACATGATTTGGAAAGCCACACCTGTCTATACAAGATCCCACAGTTGACAGAGAACTTCAGAGCACAAACCAAGCCATGAAGTGGAAAGAATTGTCTGTAGACCTCCGAAACAGGGTTGTATCGGTGCACAGATCTGGGGAAGGTTACAGAAAAATATCTGCTGCATTGAAGATCCCAAAAAGCACAGTGGTCTCCATCATTAAGAAATGGAAGACGTTTGAAACCACCAGGACTCTTCCTAGAGCTGGCCGCCCAGCCAAAATTAGCAAGCGGGGGAGAAGGGCCTTGGTCAGGGAGGTGACCAAGAACCCGATGGTCACTCTGATAGAGCTCCAGCGTTCCTCTGAGGAGATGGGAGAACCCTACAGAAGGACCATCATCTCTGCAGCATTCCACCAGTCAGGCATTTATGGTAGAGTAGCCAGACAGAAGCCACTCCTCAGTAAAAAGCACATGACAGCCCGCTTGGACTTTGCTAGAAGGCACCTGAAGGACTCACAGACCAGGAGAAACAAAATTGTCTGATCTGATGAAATGAAGATCTAACTCTTTGGCCTGAATGCCAAGCGTCATGTCTGGAGGAAACCAGGCACCGCTCACCACCTCGCCAATACCATCCCTACAGTGAAGCATGGTGGTGGCAGCATCATGCTGTGGGGATGTTTTTCAGCGGCAATCCTTGATGAAAACCTGCTCCAGAGTGCCCGAGACCTTCGACTGGGGCGACGTTTCATCTTCCAGCATGACAATGACCCTAAGCACACAGCCAAGAAGACAAAGGAGTGGCTTTAGGACAAGTCTCTGAATGTCCTTGAGTGGCCCAGCCAGAGCCCAGACTTGAACCCGATTGAACATCTTTGGAAAGACCTGAAAGTAGCTGTGCACCGACGCTGCCCATCCAACCTCACTTTTGCTTTGTCATTATGGAGTATTTTGTGTAGAATTTTTGAGGGAAAAAAGGAATTTAATCCATTGTGGAATAAGGCTTTAACATAAAAAAATTTGGAAAAAGTGAAGTGGTATGAATACTTTCTGGATGCACTGTATATCGTATCGCTTCATCCACCAAGTATTATTTTTTTCAAATGAATTGCTAATATGAACTCAAATCATTTATAATGGTAAAACAAGAGCAACTGTTTGTCCAGTGAGGTTGGCAGAGGTGACATCGAAGAGCAGGAGAAAGTTAGTGTAACAAACATGGCAGCACCTGGGGAAAGATATGAGGAATGCAAGCAGGGCCCAAATTAGATAGACCTGATATAAAAGGTTTGCGAGATGTGCAACATGAAACTAAGATACAGTGTAAATAAGACAAACAAAGGAAATCAGTTGAAAATTTAGATAAATCGCAGTACCTGGTATCACAATAATATCATATCATTGGGCCACTAGTGATTTTCACCCCTACTTTTCAGATGAACAAATTTTACAAAGATTAACTCACTAAGTTTTAGAAGTGCAAAAAGCTGCAGTTCCTGCAGTTGTTATGAAAGAAACCCAGACCATCAGCATTAGGGGTGATTATTTCTATACTGTCTACCTTCAAAGGATCAACAATTGCATCAGTATCAGTAAAATCGTATTAGCTCTCATCTCTGTTCAGATGCAAAGAACAAACTCCGCCCACAGGCCTATCCACAGAGGTCACCATTCCTAACATGACCTGCAAGTCCCTCACAGGAGCTTTAACCAGAAACACTGGTGTGCGTCTTTGGACTGCCCACGTCAAATTGTAACTAAGTCACTTTTTATAACCAGGATATGCAATTTTAGTATGAGTGCTACAGGAGACCTTTCTTTTATTGCAGAAAATCTTATGTACCCCAGAGTTATTTTGTACTGCCAGTGTTCAGCTGTCCTCACAAACTGTCCTCCTCACAGACAGTCCTCCTCAACATCTTCGTGCTTTTGCTCCCAGAACAGCACGTCTCGTATGAACGCTGGCATTATGTAATGTCAGAGGCAAGGAAAGATCAATTATTCATTGTTATCTCCTGTATAATATATATCTGTACTTTCTCCATTCTGTGGTGGTGGACAGGTTGATCTAACACGTGGGACTCTAACCTCCCCACCTGCTCAAACTACTTTTCCTGTCTTCAAATATTATATAATCCAGGTGCATTGTGGGTTCAGCTGAAGAATAAGAGTGCAAGAGTCTCTGAAAATATCCCTGGCACAATATTTGTTTGAACAGATTGCACATACACGCCTCCTGCTACATGTCGAGGAGCTCATATTCTCCATGAACCCATCAGTCAGTCAACCTGTCAGTCAACTTTAAAGGAAAAGTTGAGATTTCACTGCCATCATTGCTGAGATCTCAGTGTTTTTCTATGTTTCTGTGTTCAGTAAATGGCTTTGTGGGCTCATCTGGTGGAGGCAGCTTGGGGAAGATCCTACCACCCAAATCTCCTCCTCTTCCTCCACCCGGAAACAGTCTGGTCCCCACCAACCGCAAGACTGACCTCCGAGTGGTCATCCCGCAGTCCAAAGGAATGATGCAAACTCTGGTAAGTGTGTGTGTGTGTGTGTGTGTGTGTGTGTGTGTGTGTGTGTGTGTGTGTGTGTGTGTGTGTGTGTGTGTGTGTGTGTGTGTGTGTGCGCGTGTACATGCCCGAGTGGTGAAAACAGAAAGACACACACATAGCTACTGGCTCATAAAGTGCACTTTTCAAACAGAGGTCTTAATGCTGCGAGGTTTATTAGGAGCCAACTGTCCATGATGTTATTTAAGTCTGTGGAGTTCTGGATGCAGTTGAGAGCAGGGTAAACATTAACAAAGAGCTGGTCAGCAACTTTCCACAGCAATTGGTTCGACACCATCTGGTCCAGATGGTTGGTGAGTTTACAAATGAAATCCTTTGTTCTGGATGGAAAAAACCTACTTAATACTGGTGGTGAAGACTTGTTTACCTACTCAACAAAAAAAAAAAAAAAGTGTTGAAGTCATGGGATATCCGTGCAATAACCTCTAATCCTCTTCATTGTGGACTAACACTCTGTTAACATTGAGGATTTCTCACTCCAACACTTTGTGTGCATTCTTAAGCTCTTACACTCAGACTAAGTTTCATACCTCATTAAAATCTCACTGAAAATCTGTGTCATAACGCAGTACCCATTGGTTAATATATATGCAGGGCCATGTTTAGTTGGTCGGTAAGTCCTCTTGAAACTTTTATATTATTCATCATTTCAAATGTTACAGTTTTTTTTTTCCTAGTAGGTGTCAGTTGAGCAGCTGCTAAAACAGCCCTAATTTCATCATTCCAAACCAAAAGTCAAACAAACTAAAAATTCCTCATAGGAGCTTTATTATTATTTTTTTATTTTTTATTTCATGCTATTTCATTTTCCTAATGGCATGCAGTAGTTTAATCCATAGCTTCATTTCCGCCTTTTGCTGTTGCCTTGATGAAAAATAACATTACTGTCAATAGCGTCATTTCTATTGTACGTATCTTCATTTTCTCACTGTACCTTTCGTATTTCTGTCCCTCCTTTTTAGGTATGTTTTCTCTTTTTTTAGATTCTCATCCACTTTATACGTTGCACTTTTTTTTTTTTTTAAATAAATAAATCGTGAATAGATCTTCCTTTGTGCTTCTCTTTTATTGTTATGTGGGGAAACAATCCTGTTGTATAAACATAAATTAGCTTTAAAAAGCAACAGGCGCCACAAACATGATTTCCTCACCAATAGGACCCAGAGAGTAAGGATGAACAGGAAGTTGTCAAATGTCTGTATATCTTCTACTGGCTCTCCACAAGGATGTGTTTTATCACCATTATTATACATCCTATACAAAAATGATTGTTGTAGCTTTCATACAAATAGATATATCATAAAGTTTGCAGATGATTCAGTTATTGTCAGCCTCCTTGATGACGATGAAAATAGCCATGGTCCTATTGTTGATGATTTTACTCTGTGGTGTGAAAACGCATTCCTACACTTTAATGTCAGTACAACAAAAGATTTTAGACAATCCCCCCAGCTCCACAGAACAGTGTTGGCAAGGATAAAGCTGTGGAGATCGTATCTAACTTTAAATATCTAGGCACTGTGATCGACAATAACCTGAAATTTACCTGGAATACCGAAGTGCTGTGCAAGAAAGGCCAGCAACGACTTTTTTGTTTAAGAAAGCTCACCAAATTTCAAATCAATAAGTCCCTGATGTTGCTGTTTTATTCTGCTTTTATTGAATCGGTCATATCTTTTTGTATTATTTGTTGGTACAGATCAGAGAGAAAAATGCCCTGGACAGGATAGTAAAGGTGGCAAGCAAGATTGCAGGTGCGCAGTTCACTAGCTTGAATCATATTTTTAACAAGCAGGTTCTTAAGTTAAGTTAAGATCAAGTTTCATCTAGGGTTTCTTTTATTGGTACTGCACATTGCACTTTGTTTCTGCATTTTATGCACTCTGCTCATACAAAAATACCGGTATGACTGACATGTGCTTTTTACCTTCTAAATCGTCTTTAATGCTTGTTACCTCCTAAATTGTTTTTTTAAATATGTATTTTCCTTTATTTTATTTTCTGATGTATGGCAGTGTTTTCAATGTCTGTGCCTGCTGCAACCCGATTTGCCCATTTTGGAACATAATAAAGCTGAAGTGAAGTGAAGTGAAGTGAAGTGAAAGACAGTTTCATGTCGGCTGCCAGCTCACCCACTTAGTTGAAAGATAACACTGATTCTTGGAGAAGATCAAGCCCTGTTCACAACAAAGTACCACTTCAGATTTAAAGCAGGAAATAATGCAGGTACAGTCAACTAAATAGTCACAAACAACCTCTCAAATGTGCTCATAAAAGGTTTAAGATTTACAGAGTTCATTGTTTGGAGAACAGACTCCTCAGTGTGCAGCAGGAGTCATCAGAGCTCCTTCAGATAGTTTTTCTCAGCAGCTCTGCTCCAGTACTGAGGTTATTGATTTTATCTCCCTCACTGTTGCCTTTCTCCTCCCACACTAAACTGAAAAATGATGTAATGATAAGAAAACAAGGCAAAATAAACCGTTCATTTATTTTTCTTGCCTGCTGTGGCAGTGCAGCTCCATTTCTCTGCTGGCTGTGGAAACCAGGGGATTTTTACTTCTCACACTGATTCATCTGTAAAAGGAAACAGTTTGTTTGATTTGCATTATTACTATTATCATAAAAGGAAAAATATTTGGGGTTTTCATACAAAGAAATCTTTTTGAATTTAACAGTGGGAGGAGCAGTGGTGGCTGCAGCTTAAGAAGCTCTTGATTAGAGTTGTTGGGCAGCAGTAGCTCAGGAGGTAGAGCGGTTGTCCAATGACTGGAAGGTTGGCTGTTCAGTTCCCCCCTATCACTAGTCTGTCTGTTTTGTCCTTTGGCAAGACACTTACCTTACTCCCAGTTTGTGTCTTCCACTGGTGTATGATTGTGAGTGCTGTGAGGTGGTGGTTTCCGTCAGTTATCCCCAGGGCAGCTGTGACTACTAAGGTAGTTCACCACCACCAGGTTGTGACTGTGTGAGCGAATGAATGATGTATCCAATGTGAAGCACTTTTTAATAAAAGCACCCTATTATTAACTATGTGCTTGATTTGATCAAAAAGATGGTTCTCATTAGTGCCAGAATGTTTATGAACTGATACTACAGCCTTTGGATACAAAAATCTTTCTCCACAACCAGGAAATCAATCAGTAACTTCAGACAAATTAATTGCCATTTTTTTTGTTTCATAAACTAACCATGCAATATCTATCTTGTGCTTAAAGGCATTTCTACAGCCTATATTCATTTCAAACCATATTTTTAAAGATCTCCTGCTTTGAGGGTTAGTCATTATGCATGCTAGGAGTACTAGAGCAGTGACCTGCCTCCATTGATCACGAATCAGGAACAAAGTTAAACTCCCCCTCATGTGTGACCTTTGGAGCCTTTCTTTTAGACTCATTTAGGGATGGTTGTTAGTGTTGATACAATCTTGCCTGACTAAATCCTAACTGAATAAACACCCTTTCTTCCCACATGTAGCTGTCAACACCACCTCCTCGCACATCAGTTATTCATCATCGTTTCTCATAATCCTGTTTACTGGTCAAAACTGGATGACAAATCATTGATGAACACCATGTGTGATGAAGCAGTGAGCTTTAAGCATCATGTTCTTCTTCTTCTGTGGTGGTTTGAGTGTTCATGAAACAGTCAACATTATAATGGACAGTAGCTGGCACGCTATGATGTCCATAGTGTTTTCAGAAGCAGACAGTCAGAGATTTAGCTGCTAAGAGGATGAAATGCTTCTGCTTTTTTACTCACTGCAGTAACAGATGATGAGCCATGGTCAGACAGCAGTTCTTCTGTTTGATCTTTTAAAGCAATGTTTCACTTCCTCCACTGTGTGTGTGTGTGTGTGTGTGTGTGTGTGTGTGTGTGTGTGTGTGTGTGTGTGTGTGTGTGTGTGTGTGTGTGTGTGTGTGTGTGTGTGTGTGTGTGTGTGTGTGTGTGTGTGAGTGTGTGACAGACAACTCCTTTATTATGGCTTTTTTTTTTGTTTTGTTTAATAAGATTCAAGCACATCCACTTTTCTCCATTTGTTCCATTTCATTATCAGTCACTGTTTTTCACATATGTAGCACCAGTTCAAAACAAGAACAGATATATTCTGTTTCCTGTTACATTACTTATCAAGGCAAAAAGGATTCCTTGAGTAATTTCAGTAACTTGATTTAAAGAAGCTGTTTATCAGCCTCAAGCCTTCATTTAAATCCAGGCTTTACATGACCCTGTCATTTGTTTACTGTCCCTGAATTTGAGCCAAAAACAACTATCAGACGTTGGCTCTGAATAGCGTTACATGCATAATAACCTTCATTTACCAGTAGAGAAACCGAAACAGTTATCCAGTTAATTATTAAATTTACATTTCTATAGTAATTTATTTCAGTCAGGATCGCTTTGTCAAAATTCTGCTTTATTGTGCAAAGTTGAATTTTGTGGCATAGTTCTGTTCTGGGTCCCTGCCCTTCCACAAGCTTGTGTGAAAACCAGAGGCAGTCCTTCACGAGCCATCATGCATTCGAGGTTCTGTTCGGGGCCCCCCGTTCTCCACACAAACATGTGTGAAGGGCCAGCTGCAGGTAGAGCACCTTCCCGCCCTTCGAATTACCTTACACAAGTAAGATTAAAAATATATATTCTTAAATTTTAATGTGTGAAAGTGTCCTCTATTATCTCTGCCATTTGTAACAAACCAAACCATGTGAAAATCAGGTGAAAATTCAGAGAGTTATGGTGAAAGAAGTTTGGCATACCTACCTTCCCCAGTAGAAATAAATGAGCTTGGCGGACCCTATTCAAGATGGTGGGCACTGATACGTCAGCTCCAACAGGCAGCGTCAGTCTTTGAAGCATCTACTTATGTCTTTGGCTAGGTTAGCTAACACTCTACAGTTCAAGTACACAGCAGCAGGCCATCAGCGCCACACTCAACAAGAACCTATTGTGGAAAAAAAGGTATAGGGATCATGATTATGGGATGTAGAGTAATAAGAAGTGAGACATGCATTTATATGATGTGAATGAACACAGAGAATGATAGAGAAGAAAGACAGCAGCTCAGACTGACTAGGAGCTGGTCCAAGCCTGGGCTGACCTGTACCATCAGCTCTGCCAGAAAGTAAAATTTTGAGTAGAAAGGGTGTCTGCCTTCTAGCTACTGATAGATAGATGAGTTGTTCTGGCTCTGACTTCTTCCTTTTCGCAGCTTTTGTAACCTGTGGCAACTGTAATGCTGAAATCACACAGAAAAGACAAAAGGAAGGAAACTCAAAACACAACTGTGAACATCACACTTGTTAACTAGCGCTTCATATTGTATGTGTGCATGTAAGCATGTGCACGTTTAACAGTGAATGATCTCATACAGAGTGATCTCAGTGCGTACATCATCAGACTGAAACACTAACACCCGCAGAGAAACAGCGCTAAACGTCTGATTACTGTCAAAAATTTAAGTTTGATTGCAGCTTTTTTAGAAAGGCATAAAACAGCTGTGGCTTAACTGAGTAAGAAACTGATAAAAAAAAAACTGCCAGCTGGTCATTAAAACTCTGTTTAATCAAATAGCATTAAGTTTGGAGCAGTGAACTGACTTCTTTATGAGCCTGATAATAGATGAATATAAAACACTTCATCTTTGTAAAACTTGAGCTCAGTAGTTAAGAGGAAGAAGTTGTTGTTACACATGAAACATGTTGTCATTCAATCAGCTGTTTTACAAACTGGACCCTATGTATTGTATAAGGAAGCCTGTGGTTCATAATCCTAGGTATTGGTCTTGAAACGGTGTAGTTTTACAGAGTAACCAGAGACTGTCAGGCTGGTTAACTCCTGTTATCACATTTATGTCCTGTAAGACTGAAAACGTTTCCTCTTACCATATTAGGAACCAAGTCCAGGAGCTGAGAATCAGTCTGGGAAATGAAGGAAATTTAAAAATCAAGCAGAAATAACGTTTGAGGTGAATAAGTGGACATACCAGAAACATCAACTTTAAGCAACATAAACAGTATTTAGGGTTTGATTCATCGTCGATTTACCTCTCTCTCTCTCTCTCTCTCTCTCTCTCTCTCTCTCTCTCTCTCAGTCGCTGTAAGGAACTGCATTTGTATTTTTACTGACATCATGTGGCTGAACTGATAATGTGCTGCATGTAATTCTCAGATCATTACAGCTGTGATCTAAGCTCTTAAAAACACCAGGCAGAGAGAGTCTCATTTATTTCAATGAATAATTTCAGTGACTGTTGTTCTGTTTGTGTGTTTTCCAGAGTAACCAGAAACTGAGCAGCACTCAGTCCAGTCAGCCTTTGTCCACCCCAGTGGTCTCAATGACAACACCCAGTCTGACCCACCAAAGTCTGGCTTACATCAGCTCCTCCTACAACAACGGTACTTTAGGATTATCAGTGGTCTTAGCATGATGCCATTTTGAAATGACTGGATATAAGTAGGGTACTCCAGAGAGGCTAAGTCTCTTAAAAGTGATGGAGAAAACAAAACAAAACACTGCTCTATGAGAGAATTGATGAGTGACCTGTTCAAGAGTTTCAGAGTAATGTAAAATTATTGTAATTTTGGTATTGGCTCATCTGCAGAACATGATATCTTAAAAAGATTTAAAGGACCAAGAGCAAACCTCTGTACTGAAGGACAACCAAAAACTAAACCTGGATAGCCATGATCTTGGCCCCTTAGGCAGCAAAACATTTATGACTCTGTAGTGGCAGTCACTGCATAGGTTCCATATTACATCTCGAAACCATTGTATGCCAACACGGCTCGGTGCTGTGTTCTCAAACACCTTACATTAGTGTTAGTTCAGATGGGTTTTTTTCTCTGCTTTAAAGTAGAATAGAATAGAATATTCACTTATTGATCCTCCATGGGGGAAATTTTTTTGTCACAGCAGCATCACAGACAAAGTGCAAAAATGCAGTTATAAAAATAAAGATCGTAATATTAAGAACTTAAATAAATGTTATAATTAAGAAAAAATTTAGAAAAGGAAAGGGGGAGAAGAAAAAATAAAACTATATACAATATACACAATTTAAGTACCAGAAAAAAGTAGTGGTGACAGTCCAGTTATTATTACAGTTCGTTGTAAAGTCTTATTGCAGAAGGGAGGAATGATCTGCGGTAGCGCTCCGTCTTGCAAGGTGGGAGTCTCAGTCTGCTGCTGATGGAGCTGCCAAAAGCCCCCACAGTCTGGTGCAGTGGGTGAGACGGATTGTCCATGATGGACACAAGCTTTGCTAACATCCTCCTCTCACCCACCTCCTCCAGGGAGTCCAAAGAGCAGTCCAGGACAGAACAGGCCCTCCTGATCAGTCTGTTCAGTCTCTTCCTGTCCCTCTCGGTGCTCCCTGCCCCCCAGCAGACCACCGCATAGAAAAGTGCAGATGCTACCACAGAGTCATAGAAAGTGTGTTAGATAGGAAGCTCTTTTAGACTTTTTACATGTTTTGCAGATCAAGAGTATGAGCATATACTATATTTATGAAGATAATCACTACTTAAAGTACTTTCTTATTCTGCAGAATGCCTGAAGAGCACCATCACTCTCAGGGTCAATCTTGTCTTGAGCGATTGTCACAGATTTATAAGGGGCAGCCTGTATGGATTGGTTGCATGAGTCTAATTCTGTTTGTGTGCTGTGCTGCTCATGTTACATGGTATTGTCCCTCTTTTTATCAGATTACTCCCTGAACAGTGCAGACCTGCCAGGCTTCAGCTCCCCTGCAGCCTCCTCTCTGGGCTCCATGGCGGCATGGCAACAACATCAGCTGAGCTCACTAGGGTAAACTGCTCACACAACCTATTACACTGATAACAGATTTTTACATTCACTGTATTCAAACAGTCTGCAACACATATTTGATAATTACATATGTATTATCTTTTATTTTTTAAAAATCATCTAGAAAATACACAAACAAAACAATGTTGGAGTTTCAAAAGTAGTTACAATTGTATTGTTGTGATTGTTTTCTCACTTTTCTGTATTTTGCTGGCTATATCTAGTGTATTGGATTTTAGATCTATCATGTGCACTTTTTCTTTTGTGAAAGGAAGAGTGTCACAGAGCAACCATCATTCACTCACTGCTAAATCAAGTGTAAAAGGATCATTTCGCTAAAAAAAAATCATAATTTTTCACATTGCATATAATGATATATATTCATGTATCAGGTCAAATCATCTTTATTGAGAAGATTAAAAATAAACACAAATACTGAGTGGAGCACTTCACAGAAAAAATACAGATGACATAAGCATGATCAAAAATAAACACATGAACTAAGAGGATTTCAAAGCAATTGAGGTAAAAGACATTTCACAAACAGCATTGCATAAACAAAAAACTGAATTACAAGTTTAGTGTGACGAACAGAGAGCAGTGATGGCTCAGGAGTTCTGAGAAGATTGGAGAAGTATTACAGTTCAAACATTTCTGAGTTTCATGGGAAGATTCAGACCATGCAGTGCTTTACCAATTTGAATCAGATCATGATTTAGATCAAATATTGACTCGTGCATGAACAACATGCGTGGCCCAGAGAGGCTCGAAAGACGCTGTCTCTAAGACAACAACCCTGAAGTCAAAGCAGACACATAAATCCCTGTCCACTTTCTAGCATCTTCAGTTTGTATGTGGATGATGTGAGGTCAGAGCTGACATGAAGGTGGGTAGATTCAGGGTTTCAGACCTGAACATTAATTCTCGTGAGGTGTCATGAGCTGAACTTCATTAAAACACCAGAAAAGGGTGGCACCTATGATAACCCCAGTGAAACTGTGGCTCTCACTTCCCACCTGTCTCCATCTTTTTCATGGTTGAATGATGGGGGACTTTGGGGGCTGTGTGATTGGCTACACAGCTTATCAACAGGGAATGAGGGTGTAAAGGGATGGGTTTAATCACTGATTATTTATCTTTTTCATCAGAGCAGACAAACTTTATGTTAAAGAGAAATGTAAGAGAGAAGCCAAGAGCAGAAATCATCTCTTTAGCCCACAGATGTTTGTTTCACCACTAGGTGGTGACATTCCTCCACATTTATAACTGTTATCATGTCCCTCCTCCTCCTCCTCCCCCTTCTCATGTCTCTGTCTGCAGTTCTGGGAGCTCCATCAACACCAACCACAACATCAACATCAAAGCCGAGCCCATCTCCCCTCCCCGAGACCAATTTAGCCAATCCAGCTACATGACCCAGGCTCACGCCCCTCCTCATCATCACACCTCTTCATCCAGCAGAGCAGAGTTGGGAAGGTCTCCTGCAGACAGCATCAGCTCATCCTGCAGCTCCAATGAGGGCGGTAGTGAGCGTGAGGAGCAGCAGCAGCGGGCAGATTTCCACCCGCTCCCTGTGAGCCGCTCTGAGGGGAGGCAGAGCCCGACGGTCAAACGCATGAGAATTGACAGCTGGGTGACATAAACACATAGGTCACATGACCACACCACACCAAGATAACACAGAATGGACACTGATATGCAAATAAGTTGTGTATTTTATTGATGTGTTCAGTTTTTTTTTTCCATCAAGCTGTCTCTAAGGTTCCGACTCTGTTTTTTTTTTCAGAAAATCTTCACAGGTACCCCCCCCCCCCAAAAAAAAAAAATTCCATCCTTTTTTTAACATAAACCATTTGACCAACACAGATGATAACAAGGGTCCAATTGCAGTACAATCAGTCATTTTCTCATCAGATGCAGTCCAAAGGTCCATAAAGATGAGACTGGTCTTGTCCGTCAGTCTTGCTGCTTCATAACTGGGGTTGAAAGCAGTGAAGTGTTACTGAATGTCTCCCACGAGCAGAAGTGGACAAACTACACTGAGTCTCTACTTCAGTATAAGTTCAGATAAATGAGCAGAAAAAGACTTAAAGTCCAGGTTTTGCTTTTAACTTGAGTTTGAATTACACAGACACTGAAATGCTCTGGCTGTACAGAGTGAAAAGTTTATTCATACATGCTGTCTCTGTGTAAAGCTCATTCAAGCTTTTGTTTTTTCTGTCTTTGAAAGATGAATTAATATTATTTAAATACAAAAATATTGAATGGAATAACCAACTATTAATTTAAGGTTAATTCCCCTGTATGATCAAGTACCAGTAAATTCACTTTTGGGGTTAATGTTCCACTTCTCTCTGTTTCATCTGGATCTGACCTCCTCAGAGTTCTTTCCTGCTGCATCCCAATCATTTTACTATGTTCGAGCTGTTCCCAAACACCAAGTATTCCACTATGCTTTAGCGTTTTTCAGCTCTAAGTGGTCTTGCAAGCATAAATGGAGAAAGTAAAACTGTTAAACGCAAATGTTATAGAGCCAATTTTGAACATTTTAGGGGGATCGCTTTAAAAATAGGATGTCAAAGTAAGGAGATGTTAAGAAAAATAACCTGAAATCGAAGCTGTACTGCAGTAGCTCAGTTTTTGTACTTTCATACTCTCCACCTCTGCTCTTTGGGTGTCATCAGATCATTTCTAATCTTCTCAGGGTTTGAAACGTTGATCAAGTCTATCATGAAAGCAATACTCCCTCCACACGATCCCTGCTCCTCCTCCTCCTCCTCCTTTTAAAAACACTTATTTATATCAGCCAAAGCAGTATGCTGTTTTATGTTGTGTGTGTGCGTGTGTGTTTTTTTTATATTGTGCACAGAGTAAGAAACTGTTTCACTCAGATATAAAACTGAAAGCCATGGACACTTGTTCTGTACGTTTTACCCAAATATGTTGTACTTGTTTTGTATATACTATCTTTAATATATATATATATATATCACTTTTGGTGTAACTAAATTTTGTTGTTCTGTCTTTTTTTTAAAATCACCCTTCTACAACATTTTACAGAAGTTTATTTTTGAGGATGATCCACATAATTACATAATCTTCTTTTTAATATGAAAAAAATGTCTATTTACAAAAAATCTGTTTTATAAGGTCCGACACACTCCACTTTCTTAGAACCATAACTTGTGAAATAGCTTAAGTTTTCACCTCAGTTGGATGATTTAGTTTAAACTCTTCCATTGATGTAATGTTACTGTGCTGCACCTGCTAAACTGATAAGGTTACATGGTGGACTGATCCTTACTACAAGGTAGACTGTCTTTCTGTGGCAGCAGTGGATATATTTATTTAGTTCGCTCATTTTAATTCCTCTTTTTAAGGCATGGGGGCTCCGCTCTTAAAGACCTTCTCTGATGAAAATCATGTTTTTCTGGTTGTCTACATGTTTATATGGCATTTTTCAGATGCTACAGGATATATCGTGAGAAAAGTAAGTGCGAAATTACATTTCTGAGTATTTCTGCATTTAAACCACTGCCAATCTCTGGCAGACTCAAACAGCAGATTTAGAAACAGTGAGATTTTCTACGTAGCAAATCTAAGCTCTGCCCCTGCAGCCCTGCTATGCAGGCCAGACTCAGAGAAGTAGATAGGACGATTGTGGAACAAGCCTGCGCGTTAGCGGATTGCAATGCTCGTAAGAAAGCTAATTATGATATAAGCTTTCATCATGTCCCCAAAGACAGTAGTGTCCGAGATCTGAATAGCTCCAATGTTCCCTGATACTTGTACTACACCAGCAATGTTAGGCTGCAAAGCTGTTAGGCTGTGCAGAGCAGCGCTGTCTCCACCCACGTCTCAGAGGCGAATTGCTACAAAAAAAGAGAAGCCCTTGAAAATGACACAGGTAATGTGATTTTGGCTAAAAACTTTATAATCACAATTTAAAGACCACTGAGAACACTTAAAGTATTAAAAGGATTCACTTAAAGTATTAAAAGGATTCATATATGAATCTTTTCCCATGGAAGTGACACTCAATGTAGATTCTGTGGAGTAATTTTAACAGTGTCGTAGATTAATCACTTCTAGACCCATGAAATTATTGTAACACAAATATGCCCTGAGTTTTCAGGCATTAAAAAATCTTGCATTTCAGCTGAACAAATCCCAAAATTCAAGTTTGAATGATCATATAAAACACAGCAAGACTACTGGCAATGAGCTTTGCTAAAAGTGTCAAAAAAGTTTGTTTTCGCTGTAAAAATGTCTTTTTTTCCATCCTGTGAGGTGGTACTTCAAGCAGCTGGTCCGGGTTTGCTTCCAGCCTGTGGCTCCTTTACTGTGTGTTGCCTGCTGCGCTCTCTCCTTTTTCCTTCTCTGTCCACCACCCTGTCCTCTTTAAACAAAGGCATAAAGCAAAAAATAAACCTTTAACACCATATATGTCTGTGTATAAGCTATAGTGACTTATAAAGACAGCCTCAACCCTGTTAATTACTTAACCCTGAGTTTGTACTTTCTATTATTGTGGAGAAGTAAAATACTTGGCCTCATGTTTGGGTGAATACAATCATTTTTTTCTGTCAAAGGAATACGTATCTATCAATACAACTGATAGTGAAAGGATTTTTTTCCAAGTATCTGTTTATTGAAAAATTACATTTCACTTACATTTGCTTCACTTATGGTGAACAACTGTGCTTGTGAATCAAAACAGGTGAGCACTGATTACATCAGAACAAAAACCACATGTGAAGAGGAGGAAAATGTCACATGATATTAACTGAGGTTGATCCACACAGTCACACTTCTGGTGGGAAATTGTGTGAAAACGCCAAATATCCATAGTCCAGGCCCTGTGTCTGAAGTGATCTCAGAGCAGGTCAGAGTCCTCTCCACCCGTTGTGATCGTTCTGTCAGCCTCTTAGTAACAGAAAACCACCACATCCTCACTGCTGCTTCCACCTCTCTGATCATCAACATATCAGAGATCCTCTTTTTGACTGTCAAACTGTTTGCCAGCTGATGGTTGAGAAAAGACAATCAGTGTTCACACTATCAGACACATTCATCAGCTATAATGAGAAAATCCAGTTTGAAGACCAGCAGGTTTCAGTTCTGCTTAGACCAGCAGTGGTCTGGTTGGAAGTGGTTGTGTAAAGCAGCACATTTCCTCTCAGCTCTCATGCTAAAATACTGAGAACAGAGAGTCATCATATTTATACTGTTGTTACATGTGTTCTTTTTAGAGATATGAAAGCAGTAGTGTCTTATTTCGTGGACTTTTGGCCTCTCACTGGCTGAACTTCAGTGTCTCACAGGTATGCTTTGATGCTCCTTAAATCGTCTCTGTGTGTTAAAAGTGTTATGGAAGTGAAATGTGAACCTGTCCATGCCTTAATACAGCAATGTCCCACTGATGCCCCTGACCATACCTCATATTAGAGTCAAAAAACTTGAGTTAAAGATGAGAAACTGAAACAACTTCTTACTGATGTTACGTGTAGAAAGACACAGACTAAGCCCAATTATGTACTGACCTGAGACTTTTTGGTCTATAGTTTGGATTCATCTTCAGATCACACAGCAGCTTCACCCCTGAATCCTGCAAATTGTTGTTATTCAGCTCCAGATCTTGGACTTGAGAGCCGAGGCCAGAGAAGCACAGCCAACCTCTGACAAACTGCAGTCATCCAATCTGGAAAGATGAAATAAATAAGTCTCTGGAAAAAGGCCCTTGCTTTGAATGATTTAGTCTTGAAATTTGTAAAATGCTCACAAAATCTTTCTTTTGATCCTGAGGAAATTTCTAAGGTTGTGAAAATTGTTATGAAAAGGACAATTTAGGTGACATCCTGAGAAACTACAAGAAGATATTGCAAAGATTCTTCAATAAGATGAAATAGTGGGAATGATGTTCATGAGTCTGGCCTCCCACAACAACAAGACACACCTCTTTTCAATAATAGCAAGTTTGACAGTGAACTGAGCCTGATTTTCACTGCTGCCTGCAGTCTGTCCTGGGATGCTTGACTCTAGTGTGCAGTGACAATCAAACCATTCTGAAAATGAATGGTCTTAACTATCTTTCACTGTCTGATGAAACACTCTTTAAAAACTGAATTTCTCTAAACAGAAGAAAACACATAAAATATAATGTGAGGTGATTTTAAGTAAAATGTCCAATTAAATGGTAATGTTAATGCAGTCAACATTTTCACAGTTAAATCCTCCAAATTATTTTTTTTATTGTATATTTCTCAAAGTTCTTGCTGCATTGAAACAAAGGGTAGACCAAATATGTCCAAAGTGTAATTTATAGTTCAGTCATTTTTATTTATACCATAAAAATCCCTTAATTATCTCAAAGGTCACATATAATGCCATTTTGACTATTTGCAACCTGTTCTGAGAGTCTTTTATGCAAAATTCTGAATTCATTAATAAAAATCAACACAACCTCTGTATTTGTGGAGGCTCTGCAGCTTCCTGTTAACTTCCTGGCACTCTGATTGGCTGCCTGAAAGTCTTCTGAGTGGGGAGGTGTAGAGCATTGTGAAGCAGAATTTCTTGAAGTCTCTACCAGACACGGAACAGTAGTTATTGGTATAAAAAACGAAAGTGAAAGTGTTTTGGCCACAGTGACAAAAGGATGTATCTGTGGTATTATAAATCTTGAGTGTTATCACGTCCCTCTCGCTTCACACAGGAAACTTTATGTTTTCAGCCCCTTGTTGTTAAAGCTGTTCGAGGTGAGTGAAAATGAGTGAATATTTGCAAAAGAATTATTTTTTAAAAACTCAATGAATAAATCAGTTTGAACATGAAATATATTTCTTTTGTAGTGAATTCATTTTAGTAAAAGTGGAAAATGATTAGCAGATTATTGTATTCTGTTTTTACTCACGTTTCAAACAACATTCCTACATTATTGGAATTAGGGTTTGTAAACTCATTAGCCTCAGGTAAATACAGTACCTGGGGTATGAAGTAAAAATACTTCATACCCCTTGAACTTTTTCATATTTTGTCACTCTACAACCACAAACTTAAAAGTATTTTATTGAGATTTTTTTGTCATAGACCAACACAAAGTAGCATATAATTTTGATGTGGAACTAAAATGATACATGGTTTTAAAAAATTTAAACAAATAAAAATCTGAAAAGTGATGTGTGCATTTGTATTCAGCTCCCCTGTGTCAATATTTTGTAGAGCCACCTTTCGCTGCAATTACAGCTGCAAGTCTTTTGGGGTGTGTCTCTACAAGCTTTGCACATCTAAAGACTGAAATTTTTGCCCATTCTTCTTTGCAAAATAGCTCAAGCTCAGTCAGATTGGATGGAGAGTGTCTGTGAACAGCAATTTTCAAGTCTTACCACAGATTCTCAGTGTGATTTAGGTCTGGACTTTGACTTGGCCGTTCTAACACATGAATATTCTTTGATCTAAACTATTCCATTGTAGCTCTAGCTGTATGTTTAGGGTCATTGTTTTGCTGGAAGGTGAATCTCTTTCCCAGTCTCAAGTTTTTTGCAGCCTCCAACAGGTTTTCTACAGAATTGCCCTGTATTCAGCTCCATCCATCCTCCCATCAACTCTGACCAGCTTCTCTGTCCCTGCTGAAGAAAAGCATCCCCACAGCATGAGGCTGCCACCACCATGTTTCACAGTGGGGATGGTGGTGTGTTCAGGGTGATGAGCAGTGTTACTTTTCTACCACACATAGTGCTTTGTATTCAGGCCAAAAAGTTTACCTTTGGTCTCATCTGACCAGAGCACCTTCTTCCACGTCTGCTGTGTCCCTACGTGGCTTGTGGCAAACTGCAAACGGGACGTTTTATGTCTTTCTGTCAACAATGTCTTTCTTCTTACCACTCTTCCATAAAGGCCAGATTTGTGGAGTACACGACTTATAGTTGTCCTCCTGTGGACAGATTCTCCCACCTGAACTGTGGATTTCTGCAGCTCCTCCAGAGTGACCATGGGCCTCTTGGCTGCTTCGCTCACCAGTGCTCTCCTTGCTCGGTCTGTCAGTTTAGGTGGACGGCCATGTCTTGGTAGGTTAGCAGTCATGGCATACTCCTTTCATTTCTGGATGATGGATTGAGCAGTACTCCTTGAGATGTTTAAAGCTTTAGATATTTTTTTTGTAACCTAACCCTGCTTTAAACTCCTCCACAACTTCTTCCCTTACCTGTCTGGTGAGTTCCTTGGTCTTCATGATGCTCTTTGTTGACTAGTGTGGTCTCAAAAAGCACTGAGGCCTTCACAGAACAGTTGCATTTATGCTGATACTAAATTACATACAGGTGGACTCTATTAACTAACTAGGAAACTGATTAGGAGGCTGAATACAAATGCACACCACACTATTCAGATTTTTTTTGTTTAAATTTTTGAAAACCATGTATCATTTTAGTTCCACTTCACAATTATGTGCTACTTTGTGTTGGTCTATGACAAAAAATCTCAATAAAATACTTTTAAGTTTGTGGTTGTAGAGTGACAAAATGTGAAAAAGTTCAAGGGGATGAATACTTTTCCGAGGCACTGTATGTATAAGAGCATGGCTGTACTGACTGTTCAAAGTTAGATATGGACACTTGGGGCAATTTCTCTATCATACTCTACTTCATTTGTCATTGCTTCATTTTTGTCTAAGTTTCACTAGACTGAAAAGATCAGCAACAGGTCGTGTTCATGATGATTCAGGTAGATAACAAAAATATGCTTTACACTCAAAGTTGTGTTTAAAACACACAAAAATTCAGAGCCTTCTTCAAAACATTACTATAAGGCAGTGGTTCTTAACCAGGGTTCTATCGAACCCTAGGGGTTCGGTGAGTCAGTCTCAGGGGTTCGACGGAGCCTCTGCCACGGAGGTCAAGACACACCTGACTCATTATGTAAATTCAAGAAGGGTTCAGTGAAAGTGCATATGAAACTGGTGGGTTCGGTACCTCAAACAAGGTTAAGAACCACTGCTATAAGGTGAATCGCTTGTCAGCTCTGACTATTATAGTTAGTTCTCTGTCCATCTCTCTCGTTCTCCATCTCCTACTCTCCCCTCTTTAAACCCAGCTTAGTCTCAGCAGATAACTGTCTAACATCAGTCTGGTTCTGCTCCAGGTTTCTGCCTGTTGAAGGAAGTTCTTCCTCTCCATTGTAACTCTCTAAATGCTGTAAAGTGTTTCACTCATTTGATTGCAGATGGGATGGTGGTGGGTCTCATCTTTCTAGTTGAGACTCAGTCTTATCCCATCTTGAGTTCTTAAACTTCTTTTAAATTGCTGCTAATAAAGATTGATTGATTGACTGATTGATTGATTGATTGATTGATTGATTGATTGATTGATTGATTGATTGATTGATTGATTGATTGATTGATTGATTGATTGATTGCCCCACTAAAGTCTATGAAAAAAAAAGAAGAAGGAAAAAGATATCTTTCACATCTTATTGTTAGATCAAACATAAAATGGTATCTGACCCCAGAAATCCCATTCTGCAGTTTGGACTCTTAAGTGCAGCACAGAGAAGCTTCACTCCTGAATCCTGCAGTTTGTTACCAGCCAGGTATAGAAATCTCAAATAGGAGGGGTTGAATTAGTGAGCTAAAGGCACAACTTCACCGTGGCCCTCATCTGTCAAGCTTGCATATGGCAGTAAACTTGTTCTAGAAAATTTTGACGTGAGGATCGGCATTCATCAATCTGCACGTGAGCATACGCTACGACCAAATCTCACGACAGGTCTGACATCGTGTAAGCAAGTTTGAGGCAGTGTGGATCTGTGGTGCAGCAAGTGTGGAAGCTCAAAGTGGGTTGTTCCAGCAGCGAAACTAGACGCTCATTGGATAAATGCTGGGCTTTGTCCCGCCCATTGGAGACTCGGCGTCTCTGGAGTTCAATGGGGAGAGGGCGGTCCCGACTTTCTTCCGGACGCTGAGCTTCTGCATCCATGACTGGATGAGCTGTCTGAGGCGAAATCCTTTTTTGATTGACAGCTAAACAAGCGAATCAGCGATCTTGAAGAATAAAACATCTACCAGAGCATTTTCCAAGTCATTCATTCCGTTGTTCTTAACTGCTCCAGAGACTTTACCGATCCTCAGCGACTTTTGTCTTTGTTAAAGACGACTGTCGTTGTGTTTGGCGACTCTGTTCTGTTACATACTAATAAACAAACACAATTATGATGTAGGCCAGAAAAATGAGCTTCCCCTCCTTGAAAGACCAGCAGCCGCCACTGCTACAAATATGTTATTGATCATTTAAAACTTTTAATGTACAAAACATAAAGATTACCTATAGTGTAAAGGAAGGTCTTTTTTTCTATTTTTAATTATCAGCTTTTTTTATTTGAACCTCAATACTTATCTTAAGATATTCAGTAATTTAATAAGTTTGTTTTTTAATTGTTGGTATTATTGAAGTGTTTTATTTAGTCAAATCTGGACTTACACAGCCTTTCTGCAGTTCCTCACAGCTGGAATCAGTCTGCAGTCATCCTTGGTCTGATGTTTTGAACCTCTTCCATCCCAGCTCATCCATAACCTCCTTGGACATCTGAGGCATGTAGGTCAGAGCAGAGCAATGGATCTCAGAGAGTTTCCTAACTGAAACTTTTCTTTGACGTCAGGAACTGTTGGATCTCCTGATGTATTGACCTATCATTCGTCTCCATCAGACAGTAAAAGATGTTGATGCTTCTGTCAGGACAGATATCATACCTGTTCATCTTCTTCATGTTTTTTATGAATCTTTGGATCATTCATGGACTGCTGTCTGTGTGACCCAGCAGACCCCCAAAAGCCTCTGGTTTGACTTCAGAGACAGTCCACAAAGAAAGTGAACAAACAGGTCTAGGTGATCACTTTTACTAACAAGGGATTTCTTCATGGCACTTTCAGAATTAAATCTAGAGATGGACCAAGGCTTAAAGTCTCACAAAAAGACTTGGGTCTGGGGTAAATGTATTTGAGAGTCTCTAGTACCCTTGTGTCTCTAGTTGTAAAACAATGGAGCATGTAGAAAACAGCCAGAAACTCCTTGAATACTCAGATGTACGAAGCAGTGGACTGTTTGTGAAGGTCACACTCTCTCTTCTGAAGATCTCTGTACAAACTCCTGAGTACACCAAGGCCTCTGTGACATCCAGACCACAACGCTCCAGGTCTTCTTGGTAGAACATGACGTTTTCTTTCTCCAGATGTTCAAATGCCAGCCTCCCCAGCTTTAGAGGCTTGAGCAAATCCAGACTCATGTTAGACAGTCATCTGCTGAGACTGAGCTGGGTTTAGAGATAGGACAGAGGAAGATGGAGAAAGAGAGCGATGGACAGAGGAGAAACTGATAGAGGGAGATGGAGAAAGAGGGAGCTGGACAGAGGACAGACTAATGGTAAACAGAGAATAAGAGAGATGGACAGAGGAGAGACTGATAGAGGGAGATGGAGAAAGAGGGAGATGGACAGAGGAGAGACTGATAGAGGGAGATGAAGAAAGAGAGAGATGGACAGAGGAAAGACTGATAGGAAACGGAGAAAGAGAGAGATGGACAGAGGAGAGACTGATAAAAGGAGATGGAGAATGAAAGCGATGGACAGAGGAGAGACTGATAGAGGAAGATGAAGGAAGAAAGAGATGGACAGAGGAGAGACTGATAGAGGGCAATAAAGAAAGAGTATGATGGACAGAGGAGAGGTTGATGCACGTTGTCGAACCTGCTTGAAAGCAGGCAGGCCTATAGCAGCAAAACATCTGCAGCAGTAATAAAAGGAGCATCCCTGAAATGTTCAGTTCTTTACAAGCAGAGATGGGGCCAGATTCACCACTTTGTCAATAACCAATAGTTTACGAAGAAAGATTCTCAACATATAATTGCCAGGGTTTAGTGATTTGATTATCTACAGTCTATAGGCCAGAGAAAACTAAGCTAACAGCAAGGCCCAAAACCAACATTGATCGCTTGTGGCCTTTGACCCCTAAGGCAGCACTGCATTAAAAACCCACATCATTCTATAAAAGATTTTAACACATGGGCTGAGGAGGACTTCAGAAAACAATTGTTAGTTACCACAGTTGTGGAGTTAGTTTTTACATCTACAAGTTCAGACACTACCATGCAAAGACAAAGACAGATATTAACAACAGCCACTGGCTACTCTAGACCTAAGTTCACCCGAAACCACAAGAAATTAGGTGGAAAATTTGGTGTGAAAACAGACCAGACTTGAGGAACCTGAAACAATTTAGCAAATCGGTCCAACAAATGACACATGGGGAAACTTACTGATGTGATCTGACTGCCCTGATATGATCCGACCAACTACCTTATAATGTATATGAGCCTTTTCTAATTTAGGGAGTTGTTGAAGATATTTATTTTATCAATCTGCCTTTACAATCTTGCACTGAATGACGTCATAAAAAAATTGATTACCTGAAAACTCAGTATTTTACGTGAGACCGAGATTAACAGTGTGAATCCCTGTACAGTTCAATGTGCGTTAAAATAAGCAACCTTAAAAGGATATTCCAGCGTAAAATTAATTTAGGGTCAAACACACCATAACACAGAGTTAGACACTCCCTCGAAAGATGAATGATGCCGACCGCTTGCTTCTCTAGTTAGACTAACTTTGGTAACGACCGCAGGATAGCAATACACAGCGGTCTGCGGAGCCACACACAAATCTCAACCAAAACGCCACCCTGTGTCTACAAATAATACTCAGAACAGCACCTAACTTCATCAACAGTACATATAGGGTCCAAGCCATAGCACTTTTTAGCTTTGCCTGATTTCTTTAGGAAAGAGACTAAACACAGCTCACCTACTCTCTCTCAGCAGCCGCTTGTTTGTAGTGAGACTTTGGCCAGTCCATTACAGACTTCTGCGGGGTGACGCAGCTCAAGCAATAACATTTATGAACATTTCTTCATGGAAATGCAATTGACCGAGACACTAAGGTAGAAGAACTATCATGTCTGCAGTGCATAATGATTAATATTGTGATTATTCATCTCTTGAGGGGGTGTCTAACTCAGTGTTACGGTGTGTTTGACCATAACTTAATTTGTTATGACCACAGCCCCCTGATCCCTGTCTGACTCAAGCAAAATGTGTGTGATAAAGTCCTGCCAAAAAATGAGATGTGAAGTTTTAGGTTTAACAATTAAAAGATACCTAATTTTGATTTTCTCAGCAGAGACTAAAAAGAGAGAAAGAGCTGCACATTCACAATGTCCTGCTCCAGGAACTGATAGAGCACTTTATCTGGTCATTTTTCTTTGCTTTCCATTTCAAGTATATCAATCAGCAAATCTTTCTTTAACAACAGATGATACAGAGATATTTTATTGTTAAAACAACAACACTGAATAAACACTCACCCCGTCTCAGCGGCATTCTTAGTTGTGGTTTTTTTTTTCTGCATGTGAACTCATGTATTTCTTCTTTCACATAGACCCTTTTCACCTCCCCCACATTAACAGGTCACGTGTTCTTCCTCCATCCCTCTTGTCAGTTACTCTCAGAAAGTTTTTTCCTCTTTTTTAATATAGCTTTATCACTTAAGTATTCTTTACAATCATCTTCCTCTTCCTCATCCAAGTTTGAAAAATAAAAGTGAACTAAAAAATTATAACTCATATGGTTGAGTCTCAGTCTATCATAAATGCAGCAGCACCACCTGTTGGTTGAACTTGCATATTACCAGACGAGCGCTCTTCTCTCTACATCTAACTTACTGACCAAGTTAGAGTTAGTTTTTTTTACCTTTAGTGTAATTTTCTCATGTTTATCTTTTCTATAGGACTAACTTTGTTTCCACCCCAGTCACAGTATTATATTACTTTGTTCTTATAATTTACTGCAATTGACCAAAAGTGCTTCTAACTTAATGTCGGATGATCCTTTATTGGTTTTATTAGCTTTGAGACAAAAATACTGCCTTATTCATGTTTTTTTTTAGTTATTACCTCCTTATAGTTGCTCAAAATCAAATACATAAACTTAACCAAACTAACTTATAACTGCTGGTAAGCAAACTTGACATACAATAGATGCTCAGCTTACTTTTCTCAACTAAGGATGTTGACTCAAGATAGATATATTATATTATATTATATTATATTATATTATATGTTATATTGGTGAGGTAAAACGTAACACAATACACTGGCAACAAGTGAGCAACATTTTTCCCAACTTAAATCTTTACAAACTCACAACAACGTAATAATTCAAAGTCCCTTTTGAAAATGTGCTAGACTGAGTTGCACAAAAAGATACAGAGCACTTTAAGTGGGGCTGGGCCACTCCTAAATAAACCCTAAAGCCATCCCTGAAACCCGCATCTGTTGTGATCACAATCTAAAACTGAGAGCAGCAGCAACCCCCTGCACAAAGCAGTGATATGAGAAAGTTTGAAGGCTATTCAATGTGAGATGCTGATCAGTTATCAAACTCATGCCTTCTAAGTCTGCTTCTAAGTCTATCAGAAATCTGGGAGTCATGATTGATGACCAGCTAACCATCAGGGTTCATGTTGCCTTGATTGCTTGGTTCCACAGATTTGCCCTCTATAACATCAAGAGGATTTGTCCCTTCTTGACAGAACATGCAGCACAGCTCCTGGTTTAGGCTCTTGTAATATCAGCATTGACAACTGCAGCTCCTTTATGTCAGGCCTCCCTGCTTGCACAGTTAAACCTCTACAAGTGATCCAGAATGCTGCAGCATGTCTGGTCTTCAACCAGCACAAGACAGCTCCTGTCACTCCTCTGTTCATCTTGCCACACTGGCTTCCAGTTGCAGCTCCCATCATTACAAAGCAGTAACCAAAACTGCTCCTGTTTACCTGGAACCCCTGATCCAGGTCTACACCCCTTCTCTTCCACTATGCTCAGCAGGCATAAGACACCTGGTACTCCAGAGCAAGTCAGGCCCCTGAGTCACTGGCTTGACTCTTTTCTTTTGTTGTCCCTAAATGGTGCAATGAATCACCCAACTCAGGTATTTTGAGGGAAAAAAAAAGAAACGACACATTTCCTGGCCCATGTATGCAAAAAAATGTGTTTTAGTTGAAGGATCTGGTCTGTACAATACAGCGAAGTTCAATTTGGATGTGGCACCATGGAATTTCAAAACGCTGTAGCTCACCTATCAACAAATCTGCACAAAATTCACTGTGCATGTGACTGCTCCCACTCTGAACACATCTATCTGTAAAAAATGTAAATAAAGCTGAAAGCTGAAAGTACTTGTTGAGCCCCCAAATCTGATATGGAGAAACCAGTTGAGCAATGACCCATTTCATACATGTAGAGTTAGTGTGTGAAGCAGCTTTGATTTTTAAGTCAAGTCAAGTCAAGTCAAGTTTATTTGTATAGCACATTTCAGCAGCAGGGCAATTCAAGGTGCTTTACATGAAACAAGCAGGCAAAACATTCAACACAATTTAAAAAGTAAAAACAGCGTAAAAGACATTTAACAGATTAAAAGTTACATTCAAAGCTAAAATAAGATTTTTAAGTATTAGCAGAAAGCTGTTACTAAGATGTTTTAGAAATAACAACATGCTCATGGTTTTTATACATGCATCCCCAGAAATGATACCTGTTATAGACTTGACAGGCCTCTGGTACTGGTTGAACAATTTGCCAAACACCAAAACAGTTTTTTTGAGAAATTTTGCCTGGAACTTTCCTGAAATATCAGCTAAAGAAATTTCTTGTTCCTCGCACTTGTTGATATAAATAGTTGTCCACTTTAGTCTACTTTAAATCGCGATGGTTTCATAATTCTAATGCACTTAAAATTTTGTCCAATCTTTATACTCTTAATTTTCTGCCATTTAATTTTCCCTGCAGCAGACAGTAAAGAATACAAAGAACTGGAGTGTTCATGACATGCAGGGATGTCAAGGCTCTGTCGCTCACCTACGTGTCGATCAAGCCGTGACGCAGCGCGTGCGTCTGTCACGAACGTAAACACAGCTCTGTCCACGTGGAGATAACACAGGTAATAATTGCAGCAGAGCTCAAGCGTTTTGTCTGCGTGGGAAAAGAAAACCGTGTTAGGCGACAAGTTTTGTATCCTGTCATACTAGAGCTGCGATAGGTTTCGAGTCTTTCTTTTTTTCTCTTAGCACTGAATTAAAGACATGACCCCTGTGGTGTTTCCTCTCTCATTTGCCGCTGACCGCTTTACTGCCAAAAAACGGTCCGTCAGAGAACACATGGACTGCACATTATAGACTTTTCTTAAGTGTACGGAGGCCATCTAAAGCTCGGCAGAGTTGTTCGTGTTATCTTTGTGTTTAGATATTGAAATTTGGGTCGTCTAAATTGGATGCACAGGCTGGCTGGTAAGACTTTTATTTTGAAGGTCCTGCTCCAAACGGGCGCTACAGAGACTGTTCAGATACTTGATGCCCTAAAGGAGAGGAGGAAGTCTGTTAAAGCTTAAAAATTACGGCGCATGTACAGAGCTGTACCCTCAGATATTTAACAACGTTTTCCTGGGGACATGAATTGAATGGAAGCCGGTGGATTTGAGGTTCTCAACGTCGATAAAACGCAAAGGTTGCGGACAAACGCCTGTGTTTTATGGAAACCGTAAAGGAACAAAGCTAGTTACCTGCGAGGGTCTGTGAGGTGGGGCTGCTCAGGTAAATTTCCTTCCTGCTTGGGAACATTTCTTCAGACGGACAGGTGTGAAGTCCCAGCGGACCTAACTCTACCTATGGTAAGCTTTCGCAAATCCTCAGTGTTTGCGTTCTGTATAAAAGCAGTGTGAGAGTGAACCACCTCCTCACATCTGGGGACAATTGTTGTCGACCAAGTCTCACTTTTACGTAACACAGCAAACCTCTTTCAAAGTTTGATGCAGCAAGAAGTTGCCAGACTGAAATTGTCTTTAACATTTGTAAACACCGGGGCATGTTTGTCAGTGTGTGTTACACGCCGTATTGAAGACCAGTTCATATCTCACTCGGTGGGTTTTCAGTTACTATAATTTTATACAAGCTGTGTTTTATTTTGGGGGGTTATAATAATTGCGAGATTCGTTAATGGAGACTGGCGCAGCCCCATCTCAGGGGGTCATTTGGAAGAGACACTGTAGAAATCACACAGAGACTTTTTCAGTTCTCTGTCAGACATGTAGGCTTTCTTTCTTGAATGATTTGGCACTTCTTTGCAAGGCTGCGGATGACTTGACAATGTTTTGGGGGTCTAACAGTCTGTCAAGTTTAATTCCCTCTTTAACTCCAGCAAGTTAGGTTTTATTGTCATGCATTGCTTGGGTTGTCAAAATAAATCAAAGCTTGTAATCACTAATCTCAAAGTTTTGATTGCCCAAATACTTTTGTTTTGTCTTTTATGGCTTTTATCGTTTGCTGTGTGCTTGCTGCTGTGAACGTCTTGCCCCATATCAAAGTGTAAGAACCACAAAGATGGAAACAGTTTCAGGAAATAGCTTCTCCTCCTCTTGTTCTCAGAGCATTTACACAACTGAGCCTGCTGATTGAGAAAACAGGTTTAAAGGCAGCATGACTGCCACTGTACTAGTTTATTACGTGGCATATAATAGAGCTCGTTTAGCATGCAAAGATGTAAACAAATCCTTACAATGTGCAGTAGCTTACATGATATTCAGGTTTTTGGTACAAGGATGGAAATTGCACAGAGGTCTCATCAGAGTAAGGTTGATGTCTGAGCTCTTTTAGCTGACTGAATTATTGGTTGTTCATGAAGCAGATCTGTAATATTTAGAGGATCTGGTCATCGAAAGTGCTTTACCGTTAACAACGGATTAACCTAGTATTATTTTAAAATGCTATCATCCCTTAGTCCTATTCCAGCTGGTATTTAGTGAAATCAGTGTCTTTGTTTGTCTCAAATGGTGGCGACCTCATTGGTGTACTTGTTTTTCTAGCAGCTGACAGTACATGTGTCAGCTTGCTTCATCTGCTGTAATAACAACCACTGAGCTTTACTGTACTCAGGAACCAGATCAGCAAAAGAAATAACACAGTGTTCAATACAACAAACACTTTTCTTTTAAAATCAACATGAAAGTGTAAAGCGGTGTTCTTACTGTACCAAGCTTGTTACACTCGGTGCTTTCTACAGGTACAATTTTACAGAGATGCATATAAAACATCCCTGAACAGATTAAATCAGGTATATGTTACACAACTGCACATACTCCTGCTATTTTACATGCCTTTAAATAGCTCTGTAGTCCAAAAATATGTACGTAAGGTTTAAATGTCAGCATCAAGTGTGACAGCGTTTCAGCCACTGGTTTAGCTCATTTCAACAAACCCTCAACTATATGGTGGTCACCCTTAAAGTTATTTTGCTTGCTGTGAACTTTGAGCCTTCTGGGACATGGTAGTAAAAACAGATGTAACTGTAGTGAAAATCATTTCCAGTAACCACTGTGGCCTTATCGACAAACACTAGTTTGGCTGTAACATGTAAATTGGAAGTGAACATGTCCAGAAGATGTCAGCAAGGTCTGAGCCCATGTAAAATGGACTGAGACAAAGTGGGAACGATCCTTTGGTTTGACAAGTCAAAAACTGGCATACTTTTATGAAATTATGGACATTGCTGTATCCTTTGCCCTAAAAGGGAGAGGGACAACTGGGGTTGTAATAGCTCATGGTTTAATCTGTGCAAGTACTTTTGGGAAGGCAGCGTTGATGCTGCACTATATGGATTTTGGATCATATGCAGCCATTCAGACTGTAGGAGCCAAATATGTTGATGTGATAAAATAAGTTACAGTTCACTTGTGTGCCATAGGTGTCGCTGTTCTGTTATTTGGGGCCCAGGTGTAAGGGTAGCTACGTCACTGTTGTTTGCAGGTGATTGAACCGGATGGGCAAAAGGTTTCTGACTGCAGTGGCGCTAAATACCAGTGTTTTTCTTTATTTAGTCAGTGTTTGCTGGGAATTGCAAAATGGACTTTGCGATGCTTTTCATCCACATCACAATAAATTTTTGTTCCCTGCATCAGAAGAACAGCGTCCACTTCAGACTCTTACTGATCATCAAAAACTCCCAGAAGTGTATGAAACCAGTAGCGCAGCACGTCAACTGGGTCAAGCATCTCAGTAGCTTGAAGTATAGACTTAGCTCCTACACAGACAGTGTTGTTTTCGGGAAAAATCTGTTGAGCAGCTGAAATCATAAACTTCAGAAGTCTGTCTCCTCTGTTCTCAAACATTTACAGAATAAGAAGTGATGCAACAATAAGGTAAACATGCCCCTGTCACAGCTATTCCGAAACATGTCACTGATATCAAATTTGAAATGAACACATTAATGTGTTCATTTTTTAAAAGAAAATTTGCACCTGTCTTCTGAAGATGAATATCACAAATTTTCTTTACTTTTCCTTTTTGCTATCTTGATTTATTTCTTCTATTTAACAGATAAGAAAATAATCAAAATGTGAGATCAGTGAGACGAGTTTCTGTGCAAGGTTGTCTGCAGAGGGACACTCCTGATGTTCCCCTTGACCCGGGCTGACTTTGCCTCACAGTCCACATGTGTCCTTGGAGTGGTCACATAGAGCACAACCAGAGACAGACTTGTTTAAGGCTATCAGATTCAAGGTTTGGTAAAAGTGTGGTTGTTCTGAAAGACTTTGGTACTGAGACTGGTCACTCCGTACCTGTTCAGGTGTACAGTCTGTGCAGTCAGATTATACTTAAGATAAGCCTAAAAAAGGGGTATGTTGCGTTTTTTTTCAGACTCTGTATTTCCTCTCTGATACTCTTTAATATCTTTACATGATTTTCAGCTCAAAAAAAGCCTGAAATTTCTACCAGTTGTGTGTAAATGCCTCGTTTAAGCTGCTGTCTCATAAACTACGCTCTCGCATTTGTGTGTTTGTGAGAGACTTGAGCAGTTTACATCTACTCTCTAGGGTTATGACAACATACATTTACCTAGTGATTTAAAACTTGGCTTATATGTTGTATGGACACCAAACCTGGTAACTTTGCAGTTTCTGTTGTAAGCGTGATACCAGCCCTTTAAATCGACTGACCCTCCTAGGGTTAACAGGAAGTCAATGTGAACAACATGGCCAACTCATGCATGGCAGCCTTTATCTTAAAGTGATGATAACATCAGAGCCTGGACTGTATATAAGTGGATAAGAATGTATACAGAAATGACAACATGCCTCCTAAAGGCTGCCTCCATTAGCACTGACATTTAGTGCTGTGGGAACAACCCTCAGCAGTACAAATTCTTCTGTTGAGCAGACACTGACAGTTAGTCTAAGTTCAGTGTCTCTTGTGCTAGAGTACATTATATCCCACCATTTTTACTAACTATAGTGACAGGAACCATATTTGAGAAGAAATTATTTGACATACTCTTTCAGAGTCCATTAAAAATTCCTGTGTCTGAAGCTCATTTGACTGAAAAGTTTTTTCTACTCCATCTTTACCAAAATGAGAAAAGAAGCTCTTTTAAATGATGAAGTTTAATTTTCCTCACAAAGCCATTCTTGGGGAGCCCACTTTTCTACTTCATGGATCAGTGACCTAGACAAACGTCATATTCTACCCTGAGTTTTTTTTTAGCATCTACTTCTCTGCATCCAACTCCTGATGAAGCAACTCTTTAAAAATTTAGCCCATTTTATTCATTCAAAATCAATTATTTGTGTTTTGCATTATGTTTTTTTTTCTTCTGTACGTCATCTCCAATAAATTAGTGAAGACATAGCATAGATATATTTCTGTGACTTCTGTTGCTGACCTGGCTGCAGTTTGTCTTTGAATAGAAGCTGATGTAAGATGCTCTGACTTAAGCTTATGAAGCAGTACACCCTAATAATAAAATGTAATAACAATAGAAAAGATGAAGGCTACTTTCTTGATTGACAGACATGCAGATGAACTGGTTTTTCTGTTGTGACCAAAACCACTGTGGTGTCAAACATGCTTCCGTGCTTCAGACTGGTACCACTCAGACCAGTGCTCTCATCAGGCTGGATAAACTGGTCACAGTGGCATTGGGCTGAATTATGTAACTCTGGTTTCTGTTGGAAATAAGTTAGTTGTCCTTTATAACCACCAACTCATCATACATTATTGGTTTATCACCCAGCTGCCAGCTTACAAAAAAAACAATCAAACTGACACAAAACACAAATTTGAAGATGATTGTATTAATTGTAACATGGTTTATGTGTACAGCTAAAAGAAAATAAAGTCTGTGAGTAGCTTGAGTAGCATCCCATGGCAATAGTATATTCTTATCAGCCAATCTGAAAAACAGAAAAGTAAATTGTTTCAACAAAAACAAATACGTTTTTTTCAGGCTAGCATTCTGAACAAATGAATAAAATGATCACAAATCTGAGTGAGGTATTCTGCCCCGTAACTTTTGGACAATTTCAGTCTCTCTGTGAAACAGTCCCAGGGTTCTGAGGTGCTGAACTCTGGGACTTTCCTCAGCAGTTCCCACATCAATGTTGATGTCTGTCTGGGGTTTGGACGAACATGTAGAAGCTGTTGAACCGCTGGTGATGAGCACCAGTGAAGATTTAAGAATGTCTCAAAAGTTCATCAACAGCTGAAAGAGATGTCTGATCCTTGTGAGGAATGATATTTATCAGTGTATCTTGAGGTCATATTTTTAAAGGAATATCAAACAAACAAACAAAAAAAAAACAATAATTTGTTGATTTCTGAAATGTCTATGTATCCCCACATTATTATTGCTGTTGTTAGTTTTAGTTAATTTTACCATTGTGTTATCAAGTAGAAGTAAAATGCACCAGGCGTCTCTCCGTAACGTGATTTGACATTTGGAATCAGATTAACTGGTTACCCCTGGTAACACGTTGTTTTTGAGAAACACAGCACCCTTTTGTGGTATTTTGACCAATCAGAGTCAAATGAAACTTGAACTGACTTTCTTTTATGTTACAGAAAGTTCTGCGTTATTGAGACCTCTGCAGCCAGTACGCTGAGCAATGAACAGAAATAGGTCAAAGCAGTCAGAACTGGTGGTAAGTCTGTGTGGGTTTTTCACAGAGACTGAGGGGGTTCAAGTGACATCTTTCCATACGCAATAACAATACCTCAACTCAGGGCTGCAGAATCAACTTAATTATAATCCTGATTATGAGTTTAGCCTGTACCAGGATCAAAGAAATATACTTTATATTATTGCCTAAATGAACAGAGAAACAGAGCAAAAAGAGCGAGAGGATCAGGTGTGTGTGTTAGTGAAGCAGAGGAACAGAGAGAGAAGAGTGTGAAGCTGCAGCAGTGATCAGCATTAATGAGTAATTTAAGTTTCAGTTTCTCTGTGAAAACCTGATTTGTTGTGAACCACTCCCAGACTGAGTTAGCTATCAGGAATTTATCAGCAAGTTTTTGCATGCTGACCTGTCGTTGGTATCAGAAGCAAAAGTTGTTTTTTTTTACTCTCTCAGAAACCAACTGCATGTGTGTACCCCTCTTCTCATCCGTGTGTGTGTGTGCAGGTTAGCAGCTGCTGAAACACTGAGAGCTCAGTTAAGGATCAGATAGTGACTGCTCTGTCATACAAGAGTGGACAGTCTACTACTATTACACGCCTATGTTTCAGGTGCTATCATCTACCCTCAGCAGTTTGATGTAGGACTGCAACAGAGACAGAGTACTCGCTGTTTCACATTTGTTGTGAAAAGTTTGTGGATGATACCAAGTGAAAGGCACACTGCCATCAAGCTGCTTAGAAATGTAGTCAAGCTGATGCCTCAAATTGTAGTTCTGTCACTGCACTGGAAAAGTCCAGATTGTATCACAGCTAAAGGCCTACAACTTACAGTTAGATAGATAGATATTTGCAATCATGCTAACCCCTGAATCTGAAACCTTGTCTTATGCTAATGTCTTGTGAAATGATCAGGAAATTAAGCAAACTATACATGAGACATCATCACAAACAGTCCTTAATCAAGCAGTCAGTGCTTGATTAAGACTACTAGACTACCCCCCTTGTCCCTGTTTAGGAAGTGTGTTCACCTTTACAACGGTAGGTGGTGAAATGACCCCTTTCAGCTATTTACTATTGGTCCATCTCCTAGTTGACCTATTACTTTTTAGAACAGCTGACAAAACACATTTGTAAAAGGCTAATGGGATGTAGGTTGTCACTTTTACAGCCATGTAAAGTTTGTTTGTTTGTTTAAATGGAGGAAAAAAAGTGTTCTACTATCATTTCTGTCTGTCAAGGTTCTGTTCACTACCCGGCTTCTTTGCAACACACTTGTGCTCAACCTCTGGCTCAAAGCCTGACGTGCGCATCTTATCTTTTCTCAGCTCGGCTACAAATTGTGATATTTTATGGCCACAATAATCGTGAGGTGAAAATCTGTTATCCTGACAGCCCTAACTCGTACAGAGGCTGGTTTTTATGTCCCTCAAGCCCTCATTTGATCATGTTTAATATCACTGTTGGGCAGAAACCTCCCGTGTCATGTTGCCATTTTCATGCTGTTACTGTTTGTCTGTATTTGATATTTTATGTATCTTAGAAGCCCAGCTAGGGACGGGCATTGCAAATTAGCTTTAGCTACACATGCTGTAGTATCTGGCAATGGATTACTTCATACTTGTCCCTCTACAAATAAACATTAAATGAAATAAAAAGATAAATGTCCATATCATCATTTTATTTCTTTGCCACTGATCTCCCTGTATGCCTGTCAGAAGGATTTCCATCCAAGTTTTGAACTGCATAAGAAAGATCAGCTGTGAGGTCTATGAGTGGCCTCCCCCTCTGCCTGCTGTCTCCCTCCATTTTTTAGTGATCCGCTATCTAATCCTTGTATTTGGGTCAGGCTAGAGAATTTTGAATCTGGGCTACAGAAATCTGAGTCATTACTTTGTGCTTTTCATCTGAGCTAGATATTGTTTCATGTAGTTGGAGATGTAACTAATTCCAGGAAAGACCATTTCATTAAAAAGCATGTCAGTGAAAACCTGAGTTATCTGTTGTTATGTTGTATCTGTTATATCAGCGTCTACCATCAGTGTGACATTTTTAAATGCCTCAATGTATATCACCTTTGGTCTTTTTCTCAGTCCTTTACATCTGTCCTCACGTCTGCAGGTTTTGTAAACACTGGCTCTGATCTTGTTACTCGATCCGTCACCTCCCTCTAGCCGCCCCTCCCGTTCTTCACTTCCTCTAACCAGCTGATAACATGGCAGGTCATTGCTCGCAGTTAATGACAATACAAACAAGGCCAGTAAGCGGCTTATGGGGCTGCTGCTTTTTAAAATCAGGTTTTGTGAGAAGCAGCAGCAGTATTATCTCAGGGCAAGTATCACTGCTGTTTGTACTGCAGAGATCATTTAGACAAGCTTGAGGCATTACTGACACATTGCAGTGAGTACAGGCTGTTTGCTCATTTCACAAAAAAAAAGAGAGAGATCCTGTTTTAGGCAATGAGAATGACTTAGCAGTAGGTGAACTGGATGAATAATAAATGACTCAGCCATTAGTATTCACACTGAGCAAACATGTATAGGGTACATGCATCAACAGCATAGTACACTGCAGTTTAGTAGCAAACATTGATTTATTTGTATCCTACTTCCACACTTATGGATACTTCAGCTATATTCTTTCAAAGACTTCATTTAGTGTGACGTGTTCAACTTTAATATTAACTTAAGTACACTTACAAATCTCCAACTGGATTTAGAGTTTTGTTGTGTCTTATGATCATTTGCACACACAAAACTGTAAACTTTGTCGCATGAACAAGTGTAATGTTAAGTTGATGCATGAAAACCATAAATAAATCAGTGTTTGTGTCACAAAATAATGAGAACACAATAGAATCTTAGATAAACTGCAGATAGACCAAGTTATGATCTGACTTGCCCAGTGGTGGTAAGACAGTGGTTCTGTAAGCTTCTTTGACGTTGGCATACAGCAGATCCAAGTTTTGTTAACAAACTGTATAAATCCACTCAGGTGAGCGGAGAGGGTGACATGGTAGAAGTCTCCTGATATTATCATTAGTGCCTCAGGATGTTGGGTCGGTATCCTAGCAACAGTATCATGGAGAATATGACATGGAACTTCAGCCGTTTCCTTGGGTGGGATGTAAACAACTATTGTTATGATATGACTAAATTCTCTTGGAACATAATATGGCTGAGGAGCAACTGCCAACAGTTCAATATCTGGACAACACAACTTCTCCTTGACAGTTATGTGTGAAGGGTTACACCATCTCTGGTTGACAAATAAAGCCAGACCTCCTCCTTTCTTCTTGCCACTAGCTTGAGCATCTCTGACTGATCTTATGAGAGTGAAGCCAGGTAGATCCACAGTATTATCCAAGATATTTTGATTACACTTAAAAACTAAAAGGATAATACTTTCTCACAATGCCATGTTTTACATTTAAGTCAGTCCAACTTCCTTTAGGTTTGATATTTCTCTTGGGTCATGACAGATTTAAGATGACGGCAGAATAATTTAAACAGTATTTACTGTTCTTAAGAATTTTGTTTTAATTTTCTCCTTCCATTATGCAGGTCTCGGACACCTCTACAGTACCTTTGCTTTAAAAACTTCTTATTTACCTTAGACTGGTATCTGTGAAAACCCCCATGTCAGCACTAAACCAGTCCCTACTTGAATAAAAAGTTAGACACAGCTTGGGCTATTTTTCACACTGCTTTGTGGCCAGGAAAAGACCCTGAAACCGCCTCCAAACAGCGGACGACCTGAAAGGTTTTTCCTTTGCAGAAACTTTTGAGTGTTAGCTGTTAGCGCCTGCTTTGCTCTCCATTTAGGCCAGATAGAAAAGGTTTCCTGTTGTTACATTCACTGGTGTTGTAAATTTTATTTCAGTTTGTGGTTTTGGGGCTTTATAGATGAAACAGCCTCCGGTTTCAGTAACAACTGAGATGCAAGTCCAGCTTTTACTGGCCTTGGTTTACAGAGTCATCAGTGAGGTGGGAAGCATAGTCAGCTAAGATGATATCTGAAAACATCAATCTGCCCTGAAATAGCACATAATTAAACTTCTCAATAATGTGGTTGGTTGGGGTTTAATTGTTTTCCTTCATGTTTCTGGCTGAATCATATTGAAATTGTCTTAATAAGCATTCTGCACATGCTCCAGAGTTAGCTGGAAGTTGAGTAGCACAATTGTGTTGCTAAGAAGTTGGGTGGTAAATAAAACCTTCACAGAAAGAGAAAAGATGTAAAAAAGATGAACTTATTGTATGGTACTAACACCGAGCTGTAAAAGTATGTCAACTGGAAGACAACCTGATAGAAACAAGCTGAAGGGGGCACGTCCCCGGCCTACTTTAGTGGAAGCAGACATGCTCCTGCCTAGGCCTGTCACGATAACAAATTTTGCTGGACGATAATTGTGCTACAAATTATCGCCAATAAACGATATTATTGACACCATTTTTTAAATTATAGATAATGATATTATATGGCATAATAATGCAAGTACACCATGTCAAAAGTGATAAACTTTAATTTCCACACGAGAACAACACTGGTTGTTTTCGTTGAATAAAATATTTCCCTTTTCTCCCACGACGAAGACGTAACGTTGACGAGCTAAACATAAGTCGGAGATGACTAAAATGTGACGAGACGAAAATGACGAACAGAGTTGCAAAACTCAGTCAGTTAAACGCTAAACATATAGGAGCAGCTTCAGTCCGCTCTGACAGCTCTCATCAGCCTGCTGTGCTCCTCCAACACACAGACACACACACACACGCACGCGCGCACGCGCGCACGCGCGCACACACACACGTGGAGTTTTGTGGTTGACGAAAACAAAACTGGTTTAAAGCCGAAATATTCCCACACTTGGGCTGTTGCGTTCGGTTTAGACACCAAAGCTGTCGTGTTCATTCTGTTTACATGCTTTTCACTCACGACGCTCACTTGCAGCACTGTATCCAAAAGTCTGTGTCTGTGTGCCTGTGCGCGCCTACGTGTACCTGTGCTCGCCAGCCCCCTCGTGACAAAGACACTGAATGACTGACAGGAGGGTTCACTAACTCCGTTCATTCCGCTATAAAGCCAACGCCCCCAGGTGCCGAGAACAATGCGCAGAGTGAGACCTCTTCTCTCATCCAGCGTGTTTGGTAGCGAGAGAGGAGGAAAACAAACGCACGTCAATTATCGAGGCTGGCAAAGTTATCGACCTCGTTTTTATTTATCGAGCGATAAGGCGATTTATTGATTATCACGACAGGCCTACTCCTGCCAATTATTCAAGATTTGCCTAGTGTTTGTAAACTGTTAGTAAACTGTCTAATTAAATCACGTAATCAAGCTTTAACCATAGCTTGATCCAACTGTATATGTAAACAAGGGGTGGGAATCACTGTATTACCCAAATATCATGATATTTGGGCCAATACAATATTATTGCAATTTTGCAATACAGTGAGTATTGCGGTACCAGATGTTGCTAGATTTATAAAAAAAATTTCAACTGCTTAGCTGATTTAGCATTTATCCTTCCCTTGTGTTTGTCTTATTTACGCAGTATTTTTTTTTCATGTAGCACTCCTTATAACCGCTTATATCAGGTCCATCTCATTTGTGCCCTGCTTGCATTCCTTTGTCCTTCCCTGTGTGCTGCCATGTTTGTTGTACTCCTGCTCGATGATGTCACCTCTGCCAACCTCACTGGACAAACAGTTGATTTATTTTTCCATTATCATAGATTTGACTTCATATTGGCAATTAATTTGGAAAAAAAACAATACTTGGTCAATGAGTCAATACGATATATCACCAGACAAAATATCTTGATACTAAATTGTATTGATTTTCCCCAACCCCTAATGTAAACACCTTTAATGCACGGCATTAACTATCGTCAAGTTGTGGCTATGATTTGAAATGACCTGTTCAGGAAACTTTTGGAAAACAAGTCTGCTATCAATGTACTTTATGTCACGAAACTTTTTCTCTGGCTAGGTGTGAAAATAAAACATTCTAATGTTATATGTATATGTTGAATGTAGACCAGTCATAGGTCTCCTATAATGCTGATACATAAGACTTAACTTCACCTATATGTGGCCAACAGAAGCAAATGACTCATCTAGTTCTGGTGAGAATGTGACAGGTGTCCCACTTTTGACTCCTCTTATTCTGTGTTTTATTACAGCTGTCAGTGATGTCCAGATCTTAGAAACAGAGTAACCCTTCCTCCCATCATGGACTCCAAGAAGCCAGGCATGCTGCGGCATCTTCGCCAGAAAATGATGCCACACTTCCGGCGAGATAAGACGAGCCCCAGCAAGTCAGGTGTCCAGCTGGAACATGGCATGGACCACAGGATGAGCTCCTCTGTTCCTGACATCAGGGACATGAGACAGGAGTACCCTCCTATATCCTCTAGGACACAGCTCCAACATTATAACTCTCCCTGCTACAGTAGCCCATCTACACCACTCAACAAGCCTGCAAGGAGCCCTGGAGGAGGTGGGAGGAGTGTGGGGAGGGAGGCAGGTGATGGAGGAGTTGGGAGGAGTGAACACATACTGCGTGTGCCAACAGACTGCACAGACTGGACTTCCTCTCAGGAGTCTTTCAACAGTGTGTATGAGGAGGAGAGGAGCTTTCCAGAGACTCACTACAGAGCTGTGCAGGGCATGGAGCCTGAGGAGTTAGGTCTGCCGGAGATGATGACCGTCTACAGCCCAGACCCTCCCTCCACTGGGGTCTCCAAGGACAGCTTACAGGTACAGACTCTGCACCTGAAATGTCGAATGAACTTAAAAGATAAGCTCTCAAAAGATGAGCAAAGATCTGTCAAACAAAGATTTGTGGTTTTAGTCTAACAGTGAGCCTGGCTGAAAAAAAAACCTTCATAGTGTTGTATTTTATTTCTTTGTATCACACAGGTAAGAGATTTTGTGCTCCTGGTGTATTGGCGGGTTTATTTACAATCATGGGTGTGTCGTGTCATGTGTGTTTGCACAGGGCCAACATAGTTTAACTTGGAGGAGCTGCATGAAGTTTTAATTTAAAACCCTTCCAAAACCAATAGTAATCAGCAGCTCTGGTTAAACTCTGGCTGTGTGTGTTTTTACACTGCATGAGATTTAATGGCTCACGCCTCCGCAGCACTATTGTGATATCGGCCTGGACAAGGATATGGCATGTGTGCTGAACTCGTGTGGTCACATACTTTGTTCGCTTTAGTCACAGAGAGGATTTGTTAACCACAAAAGCAACAACAGGACAGCAGTGATACATGATAAAAGCATTTTAGGAGCACACAGCGGTCTAATCTGACAACATTCAGGATCATTATATTTTCTTTAGAGATGACAGTGACATGATCTACCACTAACCATTTATAGTTGACTTGATCTCACTGTCTTCTCAGTCATTTTGAGGGTGACATGAGAAGGAGGAGTCAACAGGCTGTTAAAGGTGTAACCAGCTTTCCACATATCAGGTCTATGGCAGGTATTTGAGAAAGACTGATTAACCAGTCTCCCAATCAATCAGAGAGATTAACAGTGTTTTTAAATCATTTACATCATATCAGCATCAGCTTTGACAAGGTCGATATCACCATTATCTTTGTGAAATGATAACACATTTGACCACCAATCACTTTTCTACAGCTGCTCCTTATGCTAGTTTAAAGCATTGAAAATTACAATGATCAAGTATTCAGTCTTGCCACTTAGGCTGGTTTGCATGTGAATACCATAAAAAGACACCAAAATGAATTTCAGTCAATGTAAAGAATGTCAAAAAAGTCTTCACAGGAGCTTAAGGTTCAGTCTTTTTTTTTTTTCTCCAAACAACTATGAACTTTGATGTCGTATGCAAAAAACAACAACAGCACTGTGACACCAGTCTTACATATTAGCCATTGACTGGCTTCTCTCTCTTTATCAGTGTCTGCATTGACTCTCAAAAAACAATGGGCTCTATTCTCGTGCTTCGCCGGAGACGTGGCGCAGGCGCGGTGTAAGTCAGGTCCGCCGCGCCGACAAGGCGTTCCCAAGCTCAATTTGGTATTTTGGTGAACGGCGCAGCCCGGCGTAAGTATCCCCCCTCCCTAACTCAGCTCCTCCCAGCGGCATAAGTCGTAGGGAGGGAGGAGAGAGGGCGTGGAGTGAGTTTAACACAGCCGAGACCTGTATTGACCAATAACATCAGCTCCTCTCCTTGCCTTTAAATCCGCCACCGGCGAGGCGTATTACTATTTTTGTTAAGTAGTCAAAGAGATCAAGAGATGTCTGAAGACAGTAATGCCACATGATGGCGACAAAAGGCAGCCTCTCAACAAGTGTCGCTGTAAAAGCTGCAGAGGGCGTCCTTCACACTCTCTCATATAAGCACAGATGGATTTGGTGTGTGTAGGTTTGGACCCACTAGTAAGACAAACACCCTTTTCCACAAATAAAGACACTCACATAAAGTTGCATATATTCAAACCTCACGTGACAAAGGTGAGTTGTGCACAGAGATCACAACATAAACTCCAATAATGGCATTAAAATCGGAACCATCTGTGCGTAAATGACGCATCGCGCTCCGTGGCCTGGCTCTTTCTTTCATAGATGTTGGCATATAAAATAAATTTAGCAACTGCAGGTGCAGCAGGATGGGGAGAGGACACGGAGACATGTCCAGGTCGAGCTGTGCAAGAAATAAGAGGAAGAGGAAGAAAGAAAAGGAGGGAGACGAATTACATATCTTGTTCACTTCATGTGTGTCTATTTACTAGATATTTAATTTAATTTAATTAAATTTAATGCGGTTTCAGCTGTGTTGATTCGGTCAGGTTGAGTGTCCAAACGCGTGCCAAACACGCTCATCAGATCAGATATAGAGCAGAATATATCTATATAGATCTAAATGTATGTGCTGACTCAGATTATTAGTTGTTGATGATTACTTATTGCACTGAAATGTGCCTGACACTGTGGAAACCTGCCGGTGAGGCATCGGTGACGTATGCCGATACGCCGCCGGTCTACCAAAATACTACTAGACCAGCTGCGCTCTGCCTGCGCTGAAAGCTGACCAGGTTTGAATCAGCGAGCTTTCAGCACACTCTATACGCCACCGGCCAGCACGAAAATGTCACTGCGCCCGCTGATTCTGTCGACACCTCCCCCTACCATGCCACCACGCCCAGCTTGGTGGACCTTGGTGCGCCTCACTCCACGAAAATACCAAACTGGCTGCATGCCAGGCTCCGCCAGACGAAAATACCACTGTGCGGGGTCCGCCACCCTCCGCTGCCTCACCGGCGGACACGAAAATAGAGCCCAATATGCGTAGACCACTGGTTGTTTAAATTTGAATCTCTGCAAACTTGCTGTTCTGAAAGTAAGACATCATTCATAAAACAGTCCAAATGAAGCACAGTTTATCTTACACACTGATGATACAGCATCTGCGGCTCCACTATTAGCAGACACACCTTTTATCACAGAGCACTAATGGCTCTCAGTAAGATATTTACAGTGTAATGCTGCCATATGGTCATTCTGCATGCTGGACCTGTGCATTAGAACTGATGCCAACAAACATGCATCAGTGTATGGGCAAAAAGAGTCAGTCTTTAGCTCATTGACAGAAATAGGTGATGATGACATTCTTTCTGCTACATTAAAGACGTGGTCATATCCTGTATTATCATCATACTACACACCCCCCACTTTACACATCTATGATGATCAGCTGATATTGTTCTCAAACGCGTTGAATAATTAAGTTGATAACAAGCACCGTGTTGGCATGATCTCATCTTTTGTGAAACCTGGTTACTAAAAGATACCCTGGCTATGCTGATATGACCTGGCCTCTGGTGTTGGGTAACTGCCTATCTAGCCTGTCCACCATGACTCCCATTTCTTTTAACTACAGCTTTAAGAAGGAATGAAATTCTTGACATGTTCTTTTTTGTTTTTGTTTGTTTGTTTGTTTGTGTGTTTGTTTGTGTGTTTTTAGAAAGTTTTCCTTGTCCCTGATCAAATTAACCCTTTCTTTAAAACTGTGAAATCTCTATCCTCATAAGGCTTCTCAGCAGATGGAAACATGAAGGTCTCTAAATCCTCCTAGTAGACTTGAAAATGAAATGTAAAATTTACTTTCATCTCTAAACAGGACTTTGGTCCACTAAGCAAAAGTCCAGTTCTTAAGTCCAGGTGAGACTCTTTTTAAGTTGTCAGGAGGGTCTTAACAGCAGGAAAATGACACTTGTAGTCCATCTCCTAGATTCCTTTGTGTGTAGTGGCTCTTGATGCTCAGACTCCAGCCTTAGTTCCTTGTGAAGCTCCTCTAAATTCTTGAGGTTGCAGTTATCCCTGTTTTTTGGTCTCCTTTTCCTCCCTCACTTTTCTCTTCAGTCAACTTTCCATGAATCTGCTTCATACAGATTCTGTGAACAGACAGACTTTATAGCAGGGACCTCTTGTGGCTGACCCTCCTTGTGAATGCGGTCAGTGATGGTCTTCTGGACATCTGTCTAGTCAGCAGTCTTCTCCATGATTGTAGTTGTGTGTACTGAACCAAAGTGAGAGAATAAACAGGTGTTTGCAGGTGTTAAGAGTGACTAGAACTCTTTTAAGGCTGAAAGAACTGACAAGAAACTGGATTTTTCACTATATTCTTTACAGAAATTGGATTTTTAATCAGGTAATATCCAATACAAATGGGCACATGCACTGAGAATCCAACAAAAGAAGGAAAACAACATTGCTGAATTGATGTAAAGGCAAATACTAGGTACAATATGTCTTCGGTGAGAGATGTCTATGACAGTTGTGCCTTTGAGTGTAAAGCTGTCATTTAGCTCTGTGTCTGCTTCGCAGATGCCATGGTATGTATACCTTTATGATGTAATATTGTCCGTGTTTACTTCCAGAACAAAGTCTCTGAGCGTGAGCACGTCCTCTCAGACGTGTCTATTCACATCATGTTTGCTCCTCAGAGTAAACGTTTAACTGACATGCTCAGATGTCACAGATCATGAATGCCTCTTTCAATAGAAACACAATGACCTGAGGAAAACAATTGTCCCTTATCGTCTGCTTCCTCTCAGCTGCTTTCTGTGTGATCATTTTCTGTTTGGATCTGAATAGTTGGTCCTAAGTGACTGCTCAGTTCACTATGGTTGAGATTGGCTGATCTACTGGAGCACAGGAGCACAGAGCCCATTTTGTGTATCTGTTTTGTAAGTACTTTTTGTGATGTATGTATTACATAGCTCTTCTTCCTCTTCCTCAAAGTGTTTTTTTCAGCATTTGTTTGCTTTGGTTGCTGCTCAGAGGAGATGGGGTGTAGTACAAAAGTGACTCCTCAGCTGTGTCAGATCTCTGGATGAAGGTTGCTGAACTAAATGATTTCTAAACAAAGACAGCAAACACTGACTGTCCTCTAATGACTGCACCCCACCCCTGCTAATACTACAAAGATGACTTGGCATTTGAAGCTCTCAGCTAATGTCAACACAAACTCTGCTCTTCACCTTTGAAAAACTTTGCACAAAAGAATCTTAAACAATCGCAGAGCATTTATTCAGTGAAATTAAGACCATTTCGCTAGACGATTGAGTTTAAATCAAAGATTTGAGCCATGGCATGAAATTAAAACAGTCAATTTGCCACTTTTTGATATGTGATAATGGCAAACTAAACGTGCATTCACATGCTCATTGTAAATCTTTCCTCAGACTCTATTCAGCCTGTGGGTTCAAGTCAAAACATGGAAGTAACATGTGAGTGTTAAAGTAAACATGTTGGTTCTATTACAGGAAACATAACTTTTAGGTTGCATGCAAAAGAACCAATATGTACAGCTTAATGCCACATTAAAAGGAACATGATGCAATATAGATGATAGTAGGTTTTTAAAGCTCCTATAGGGAGTTTTTTATGTTTATGAAATAGACTGAAAACCACATAATTGTCTATATATTGTGATTATTTTTATGTCTGAAACTGATGAGAGGGGGTGGGTCTGATCAGAGCTAAAGGAAAAGTCCTGCTTTTACACTGTATGCACAATATGTTTATAATGAAACATTGGTGTGGCAGTTGAAAGTCCGCAGAATGAGATTTCATTAAAACTGTTCACAGAGGGGGCAACATGAAATATCCATCTACTTCCCTGTAGTGTTAGCATGTGGCTAATGGACTCAATGCTCCAACAGTCTACTTATCTGGTACAGTTGAATATATATTGCTATAAACGACAATACAAACCTGAGAAATATAAATATACTGTCGAATCCCAGTCTACTCACATGTTCCTGATTGCACGTGCATGGATGGCTTATAGGTGACAACTTTTTTCAGTGCAGTGGCACGTGTCCTTTTAGCAAGTCCACTAAATCTGCAAGATACATTAGACAGGTACACAGGTGTTTGTGCGCAGAACAGCAGGTGCACTGACTGGCTGTTCAGGTCACCTCAAACGCATTTCTCCTGAAGTCCTTTGTCACAGTATAATATATATGTTGTTTGTATCCAAACTATATTGTGTGCAAACTTTAGCCCCAATGATTGCTGTTGTAGCTAGAGCTGTGGGATAAATCAGTTAAATCTTATTAGTGGTTGTTGTGCCCCTCCCCCCTCATTCACTTGCAGCAGACACAATGACAATTATAACATGGCTGCTAGCGAGAGTGAAACTCATATTCCCATCGAAGGCTTTATCTCATCAACGGGTTTCAATTTACCATGTCAGACCTTGAACAAACACCATTATGGAGAGTCACATCTTTGTCATTTGTTGTTTTATTTTTAGGAGGAAAACAAAAATATATAGAGATTGTAAATAGAGTCACCTGAGACTGTACTTTTGGCCGTATCGCTCAGCCCTAACTGTACATAAGAATAGAGTGGACAAGTCAAACATCATCAGATGGAGGTGATTTAATCTGAATATCTTTGCACACATGACAATATTTTCTACACAGTGTAAAATCCAAAGGGGTGAACAGGTCCACTGGTGTTCTGAACCACAAACAGGAAATCACCCTTCTTGTCTTCACACCTAAAGTTCACTTTCTCCGAGTGACTTGACCGGTCTGTATCTTATAGTTTGTTTTTAACAGTTTGTAAACATGTCAAAACTTTGCACAGCTGCTGCTCAAAACTGTTGAAAAAGTTTTACTTCCTTTTGGATCAGTTATTCAATAAATTAAAATCTGATCCTGTCTGGACTCATTTCATGTAAACCGAAAAAAAAGTGTTTCCTGATTTTAATTTTGACACTTATAGTCTACAGCTAAAAAACACATCTCATAAAACAGTAATAGAAACTCAGCATACTTATCAGTGTAATCTGATACTTTTTTTGGATCAGGTTTAGAAAATATCCCCTTAATTTGAAATACTGAATTTTCTGATCTTTATGGGCTATTAGCCAAAATCATCAAAGCTAAAGCAAAAAACACTTTAAATATTTCATTTAACATCCAATGAATAGTTGTCAATCAAATAACATAACAAAGACCTCTTTATTTACAATACTCCATGTCTGAGCTGCTACTGTGTATTGAATATTAGTGGGAACAGTTTAAGATAAAAAAAAAAAAAGTTTCATCCTTTCTTTCCATAAAACCATAATGAAAACACTCTCTCATGAGGCTGTAAGGAGAGGTCAAAGGCACCAAACTGCTGTAACTTTCATCTGAATACAGGGGAAAAAAGAGCAGGAAAAGTTCATTTCTTTTTTTTCATCAGGGTGTACTTTGGTTTTAATGCTGTTCAGTCCCCGGGAGACAGGAATTTTAATCAATGCTCCGAGGATTTGTGCAAGCTGGAGGTAGAAATGAAAGAGAGTGATCAGCAGACTGAAAGTCCTCTTTCATTATATGGGACTGTAGTTTTCGTTGAATGTCACATATTGAAGTGTTTCTGACATGAAATTACCTTTGTCTCTGCAGAACGATGATTTCAACAGTCACGCCTTGACAGAGGGGGACAGCCTAAATGTAAGTGTTGCTCTTGACTGCTTGGGCATTTGCTTATTTATGAACACATCCTGTGCTGTTAAAATGAGACAGTTATTGTCTACTAAGGACTGATGTTTCAGAAGAATATCATGTTAAATGTGAGGACAGATAGTTTTATTTGAGGCAGCATGTCTGCAGTCAAAAGGACTCTTTAGTGGACTAATCCTGTTCATTTCTGCTGCAGCATTTTACATTTGTAGACACACAGTCCTGTCAAAGTTGAAATCCAGATTATTGTGGCTCAAAGGATATCCCGTGACATTAGTGCTCAGTGTGTGTCTTCCTGGTCTGCGTGGCAGGTCATGGTTGGGACCCTGAGCCGGGTGACTCCAGGTGACTGAGGGCATATTCTCTGAAAGAGTCTGTTTGGTTTGGCTGAGGGGCTTAATAGTGATTAAAAATCCCATGGCATAGCCAGGAAGCAGAGATGGCATAAAGCTACTTCAAGCTTTCCAGGCACTTTACTTTTCTCTCAGAAAATCTAGATATCTAGCAAAACAATAAAAATAGTGGTTTGAAATAAGATCTTAAAACTTACATAATAGGTAAAATCCAGGGTTTGCCAATCATGTCATACTGATACAAACAAGCAGAACCAGTGTCATGAGTTTGTGTTGCAATGTTGTGAAAACAGTTTTTATTCTTGTGATAGGCTTGCACAGTTACACAGTTCATGTTTTTCATCTATTACCAGGCCAAAAAGAGCTAACAAAACATGCATTTCAAACTTTGATCTCCATCTCTATCTGCTGTTCTTATCTCACTTAAGACTTTGTAATATTCATTTTTGTGATGAATATCACTAATTATTTATCAAATTTTGACAACTGATAATTTGAAGGACATTTTAAATTTAATAGGGGTTAAAGTATTGGTATTGTTTTATTCTGTGTGTCCAGAGTGAGATGGGAAATGAGGCCCCGAGTGTGACGGAGAACTCCAGAGAACCGTCTCGGTCTTTCCTGCTCACCATCAACCTGAAGGAAGGACGGAATCTGGTTGTCAGAGACCGCTGTGGTAAGAATCCGGCTTCTACCATCTATCAGGGTTTAGGAAAGTTTTCTCTATAGACAGACTTTGTGGTGTCTGCCTGTTATAAGGTTTAAGACAAGAAAAACACACCAGGAGTGTGTATTCATTGTTTTTGTATGCTGAAGGTGGCAGCTGCACTAGGGCTCTGATACAGTTCATAACATGTGGTCTGATGTAGAGATCTGTGATGCGTTTAGAGAGATGTTGGAGCTGAGTCAATGTTTGTGGTGGCTGGATGTACTTTTCCACCCAACTGAGTCAAACCCTGACCTCTGAGTTGATTTACCCTTGGATGAGTTTCTTGACCAGACCAGCTTATCTGAGTAATGGTTTGTTACATTTACCTTGGAGGTCAGATGTCAGGGCCGGAAATGACATCCAAAGTGGGTTGTGAGTTGAAGTTAAATTATGAAAGTAGTGGTTGATGTAATTACGCAAAACAAAACAAATTTGCCATTAATGCTACTAAAAGAACTGCTGTTTCATTGCTGATGCAAGGAGAAACCATCCCAGTGTACCTGAAGTTGCTGCTGGTTTCCTGATAAGAATTCTGACTTCAAGTGGCATTCAGGGTCACATTTATGGCAGGAATGTCGGAATTTACAACCTCTGAGATTAAATGGACTACACAGTCAGTTCATTCAGCTCTGAGAGGGTTACCTGAAGTTCAGCGTGTACACTGGGACTGTTAAAATGAACACATTTATTGAGCTCAAGTATGTGAAATCACCATAGCAACAGGCAACAAAAAGTCTTAGTGTAAGCCCAAAACCCACAGGATCTGTGTTGAGTGCATTCTGTCAGTGTCGCACGGTAAATACATTCCCATTGTAACCAAGGCAGCATATTCCACAGGGAGCCTCTCCTTAACCGGAAGTTAAGCACAAGCAGGATATAGTGAATACTGTGAATTTCAAAATAACACATCATATTTGGACTTGTGACTGTTTATTAGTTTGTGTAGATAAGAAGTACTTCCTAGTTATGGATTTACATGAACACATTGAACAACCCCATGGCCTGTCCCTGATCCATGCGGACCACAACAGGACTTTGAGCTGCTAATTATGTCTGAAGGTAACAACACAGCATAAAGAAACATAGTTTACTCTATTAAACACCAGTAAACCTGCAAAAACCCAAAATTGGAAATCATGTTGCTTTTTCACATACAGTAAAAGCTCAACAAAAGCTTAACTAGAGCTGGAAATCCTTGTGCAGTTACATGGCAAGTATGGGCATGTATTTAAAAAGAAAAGCAACACAGAGGGATAAGCAGGGTGGGAGAAAGTTACTGCAAATGCAATCATTTGTTATTTAATCACATTGATAAGATTACAGGTGAAAACTGGTGGAAAAGTATTGGACCTAGATTTTGTTTGTAGATTGAGATCCTCTTCAAGTGGCTAGTTTGAGAAGCTGAGAATGACATTGAAACAGAATAGATCTGAATCTGTTCATGTAAGAGCATGTCCATGATGAGTGATGTTGGTAAGATCATCCTGATACACAGCATGTGAAGAAAAACGATAACACTCCTGTAAGTATCCTGATATAACATCAAGTCAGGGTCTGAAAACCCTCTCCTCACATAAATGTGAGTCCCCTGTGGAGAAATGAAGCCTTCTTATATATAGGCTCCTTCATAAAAATACATGCCCATGTTCAAAATAAAATAATAAAAATAATATAAAGGATCATTATTGAGGGTGAGTAAATTATGGGCACTGATTGGTGCTTTTATCGGTATAGTTGCCTGTTCTTGACTCTGCATCTCAGACCGTATAGGTGGCACCTCGGGTGTTATTGTATTTATATGCAGTTCTCTTACTATCATCTTCTTAAGAACTAAGCACATAAACTCAAATAAACTTAACTCAGTTCATCACTCATTCATGTTTATCCCTCTCCTCATGAGCTGAAGTGCTACCACATTTATTAGTCATTTTACCCTCACATTATTTCCCACAACTTTGGTTTTAAGCAGTTTTAATCTGTTTATAACTCTTAATTTACCTTAAATCTGTGGCAAAATAACGAGGTAACTTAAAATATATCATACTCCTTATTTTCTCCTGAATTTTATTCATGATTTTTGCTCAGAAAGTGCTCTTAATCTACTCAAAAGAACTGTGTCCTCAGCCCATGTGTGTGTTTTATTGCCCAGTCCTCACTGTGTGTTTAGCCTTGGCTGGTAAATGACATCCAGGAGTGTGCGTGCGTGCGTGCGTGCGTGCGTGCGTGCGTGCGTGCGTGCGTGCGTGCGTGCGCGCATGCTTTCACTACACACCATGTTAATGATTCCAGGGACACCAGAGATGGCTGAGTTTCAGGTTTACTTCTGCAGTATAACAGCCAGGGCTGGATTCCTCACAGCATATAAGAACCTGTCTGAACCACACCCTGTATTCAGTACAGCAGGCTTTTCACTGCCAGTGTGCACTATTGTGATCACACTCACTCTCATCAGGCAGCGTATTTACACAAGCAGACTGTGGGAGGAGAGAGAGAAAAAATGAGAGGGAGGGTCAGCTCACTGGAGAGCTCTGTTTCTCAGCCTTATTGTTCTGACCAGACACTTTTCTTTAGTTTTCTAAGATGTGATCAGCTCTTCATTGTTTAGTTTGTTGTTGTATTTTTAAAAAAGGTCACCAAAGACAAACAAAAGGCAGAGGTAGGACAAGGCACCTGCCCACAGCAACAAAACCTCTAAAATAGTTTCCTGATACTATTGACCAACCAGCAAACTCCTCTAAGCCCCACCAGATGAGCTGAAAGCAACCTGGGCTTCAGTACCACCTCAGCAGTGCCAACAGCTGATTGCCTCTTTGTCACACTGCATTGATGGAGTTATTTGTGGTCAAGATGCCCCAACCAAGTAGAGTACATAAACAAACGTACTTCTCAGAAGCTAAACATTTCTGTATTTCAAATCATTTTATTAAAATGGATTTTAGTATATATTTTAGGTACCAGGTTTATGATTTTCTTGAGCTATGAGGCCCAAAATGTCAAAGCTTTAATAGAAATATTTCACATTACATCCAATGGATTAAAAAAATGAAAGTTTACCCTTGTGGATTAAGTTTTTTTTTTTTTTTTTTCTTTCTTTATTATACTCCTTTTTTATGTGCGGTACCTGTATCATAGGCTAGAAATTTAATGCTGTTATTGCAACACAAAACACAAAGGCAGAGGCAGCTTTGTTTACACTGGAAATAGATGTGTGTCGTGCTGCCCTCAGCTGGTGGACTGACAGAATAGCTTCATGTCATAAACTGTGCTTCCTCTAGACTTGGAGTGTAAAAACTGTGTCAGAGCAGCATCCCCCATCATTGATCAGACTCTGGACCCATGTCTTAATTTAACCCTCATCTGGTACAATCTCCTCTTTTCTTATCAATGTATGATGCAGCATATTAAGGTGTTAATAAACACACAAAGATCTGCCCTCAGCCTTCACAGTGGAAGCTAGACTCTGATTGGCTTGTGTTTCAGGAAGTTGTGGCCACATCAGTTGGGGAGGAAAAGAAACCACATCCTCAACACACACACTCGAGAGATGACACCATGAGATCACTGATCTTTTCATTTATTGTAAACCAGTCTGATAAAGTAACTTGTGACAGAAAAATGGAGACATGGTTGCTTAACTGGTTTCTGTTAGAGTCAGTGGTATAGACAGGTCGTCTAGAAACAGACGGAGTGGAGTTCTTGGTTACAACAAATTTGAACTACAACTTTCACCACAAAGGGGGGATTTTTAGGGGGGAAGTATAAAAACAAACGTGGGAAACTCTTGCTAATCTGTAATTTCTGGTCTATATATAGTCATTCAAGTCTGCTGTATATGATGTTCTAATGTCGGCAGCAGAAAGTACACCCGTTTGCTCCAAGAAAATGCTGTAATTAATCTAATGAGAAATAACAGGCTGTTGCTATGAACAAAAGATCAATCAGAATCAGTTAACTAACACGGTCATGTGATGATGTTTTGTATTATCTTTAGGCACCAGTGATCCTTATGTGAAGTTTAAACTGGAGGGGAAAACTTTCTACAAAAGCAAAGTGGTTTATAAAGACCTGAACCCGACATGGAACGAGACCTTTTCCCTGCCTGTGAAGGACCTGAGCCAGAAACTTTACATCAAGGTAACTTTTACCGGTCCCTGTAAGTTAGGTCTGGTTTTGATTGGAACCTTTTCATTTTTACTCATGACATCTGCAGTGTGATGTGGACATGTTTTCAGAGAAACTTCTTTAACTTTCTAAATGTGATGAATGCTTTTCTGGAAAACTCCGGACAATAACCGTTATCACACCTCAGGTCTGACACATGCATAAAGGGAGGGGTCATCAGCAGCTGAGTAAGATCTGCTGACACATGAATGATATATTTCATTCAACAACAACTTTAACACGTCTCCTCGAGTCAACTTTAGTTTCAGCCTCCTCCTCTTTCAGCTGAAACCTTAGAACCCCTTAACCGGCGTTCACACCAGAAGTGTGAGCAGTGTGGCCGCTGCAGGACAGATTCATTTTCATTTCGGCATTCATGTTTACGGATTTGAGCTTTCAGACAGCTGCATGTCTCACACTCACCTGTTTTTACTACAAGCCACATGTAGAAAACATCTCGGCCATGAAATCTAGTACATGGTAACACTTCCTTTTCAAAGTAAGAGCCAGGTTTTTGTGTGGTTTCTGCTGAGAGGCTCTCCTTGTTTCCACATAGTACTTTCATTCTAGATATCTGTCTGGGACTGTATTTGAAGTATTTGCGAACAGACTTGCATTCTCTGACAGACAGGACTCAGCGTGTGCACACAAAAAGTTTCATCTCTAGATCTGTTGCAGTAATCAAAGGAGTTCCCGAGGGTCAGTGTTGGGACCACTTTTATTTATTTATTATTTCAATTGTGATAAAAATGTGTCCCATGCAAACTTTAATTTTTAAGCTGAACACACTATGATATACTGCTCAGCATCCACTCCAGCCCCAGCTCCTGTACCTTTAACTCTATTGAACCATTTTTTTTATGGTTTTACATCTCAAAAAAAGCAGCTGGAGATAAGATTAAAATTTAAATTTGGCTTTTATTTTGGAATCAATCCTGCTTTTCTCTCAGTCTGAGAAGAATTCAGTCTTTGACATTTGATATGGATTCTAGTGATATGTTGTGCATGAACACCTCTGCTTAGAGTATGCATTCTCTGGACACTAGCACTGAGGTTCATCACTATTTTAAAGCTTCAATCATCACAGTTACTGAAACAGCAACAGCTTCTTTTTTGTCGATCTATCTTTGAGCTGCTTTCTTCACACTTCATACCTACTATTACTCAATGTAAGGACCTCTTCTTACAGTTAGGTCAAAACTGAAATGAGCAAAAAATTTACTTGGTTTACCCAAATTAAAACCACAAATTTACATTTCTTTACTTCTGAATTTCCCAAGTCAATGGTCTTCACTTGGGATGGATTTAAAAAGAGCTTGAGCTTAAATGAACCGGCTTAACTGGATATATTTAAGGTGATGTTGAATAACACAACAGGGCAGACACATCTGGCTATAGGTGGTCTGCTTGATGTACACATTACCTCAGATGATTGGGAAAAGGACTTGTTCGGTTGTTTTATTCATTACTCTTACTAATTTTACTGTTTTAATTCTACTGAAGTTAATATTTAAAAAACATCTAGTACAGAAGAAGTTTCCTGTAGTGTGATCTCCCTCTCCCTCTTTTGGCTCTCTCTCTTTCTCTCTCTTTCACTCTCTGCTCATGCTGTTGATTTTTTACCTGTGTAAATGAAGGTTCTGTTATAAAATTCAAATAAGGTGAATTTAGTGTAAACCCAACCCCGAAACTGGTCTAGCAGCAGAAACCAGGTATGGAAAACAGCCTGTGAAGTGAGTGTGAAGTATTTAGGCTGACCCTGTGTGAGCTTCCCAACTGTCTGAACGGTCTGTCTGCTCGATTGTATGTGCAACGCTGATATTTGTATTGTCTATATTGGTTATTGAACGCTGATGTGATTTAGTGCACCTTGCCGAAGACAAATTTCCCCTCGGGAAAATAAAGTGTATCTCATCTCATCTCATTTACATGACACTCTTTTCTGTAAAACATGGATCCCAATGATATTTATAAAGTAAAGGAATGTAAATATGTGGCTTTAATTTGGGTAAAACTTCTGAAGTTCACTGACAGCTGCAGCTCACACAGCCCACACGGACACACCTGCTGTGAGGACTTCATGGTGGTGTTAGAGCCAACACACCGACTGAGTAAAGCTTAGGTATTCAAGTTTGTTCCTAACTTTGATGATTGTTTTCAGTATCTGACTATTTTTTTCCACACTCATCACAGCAACAAATATGTGTGACAGTTGTAAGTTGAACCCACTCACCCTCTCTGTAATGACTCTGCTCTCCTAAACACTTTGGGCCTGATCTACTAAAGGTTTGCCTGTGCAAAAACACGTGCAAACTTGATAGCACACGCACACCTGATCTACTAACCGGATGCACCTAGGATTGCGTCTGTCAAATGAGCAAAACAGCATGCGCAATCGATTTAGTGTGTTTGACTTCATGAATATGCAGAATATATGTAGATCATCAGAATGTGCAAAATCCTGGGAGGAGCAGATGCAAATGGAATCATTTTGCACCCGCAGTGTGATCTATCAAACCTGGAACCGGATTGCGGTTGCTGTTTTGCTTCTATATTTAGAAAGTTTGAAAGGCATGTGCAAACTGTCTATTTGGGATCTTAGTAGATCAGGCCCTCTGTGTGTTAACAGCCTGTTGATATTTGACATGACAGGTGTACGACCGTGACCTGACAACTGATGACTTCATGGGCTCTGCCAACGTCACCCTGAGTGATCTGGAGATTGACAAGTACGTTTCTCAGAGTCAGTGTGTGGTATGTGTGCACACTGCAGGACTTCAATATAGCAGAAAGTTCAGGCACCAGTTCAGTGAGGTTTTGTACTCTTTGATCTTCTCTCATATACAGTGGTGCTGTACATAGTGACTTTAATCTGATGAAGAGCAGGTTTACTCGATGTTCCTCATCTGGTGAATTAAATTTCTGGTGTGTTGGAGCAGCTTATAGAAATGTTTATGAGGTGTTAAAAGGTGAGAGCATACTGCCTTATAAAGATGATTTATAACGTGTTATACAAAAACACTAACACTATGAAGGTGTAATTCATTATAAACCATACCTTCCTTATGTTTACTGATTATGACACTTCATAAACATTGCTGTAATTAATGCTTATAAACACTTGAAATGAGAGTTAGAGAGCCTAATAAATGTTTTTTGAAGGCTTTATGGTCGTGCTTATGATTTTTAAAATTTTTTTAATAAACCAACATAGTATGATAAAATATGTTATCCCCAACTTTTTCTTCTCTATTAGTGCACTATCTACCTCCACACACGCCGAAAGCCTCTGTTCATGCACCCAAAGAGATATGTATCTCTTCATTAGTTATTGTCACTCAGCTGTGGGGTTTATATTACAAACCAAGACTGAATAGTTAACGAAGATCATCCACAGAAAAAATTAACAAGAAAATTGCAACACAAGCTAATGACAGCTCAAGAATCCCCTGAAAGAGAGGGGGCAGGGCAGTGGTCCCCAGTCTCAGGTAATCCCATTTGTCACTTAACCTGGTTAGAAAAAAAAGGGAGGAGGACAGATACACAGTCAGGAACCATACAGTCTTTACATCATGTCCTGAACAAGGTCATGTTTTTGACAAAAGATACACCCGTCAGTCTTTTAACTGTTAAATGTATCAGACATTGAGAATACAGTGTATTTCTAAATCATCTTGACACTATCTTGTTACAGTGCTTACAGGCATTAAATTATGCGATTCAGGGTGCCAGCTTACCCCAGCAGTTAACCCGTGTACCCCATGTTGCCTACGGCTCCATTCCCACCTTGTCACATGTTATTCCCCTCTCTCTCAGTCCTGTGTCTGACTCTGTCTACTGCCCTGTCCTCTCAATACAGACATTAAAAGACCTAAAAAAAAAACAATAGAATCACTGTGATCACACAGAGGCATCAGTGGAAATCACGAGCTGTCTGTACCAGAACACCTGAGATCATGTGGCTGTGAAGTCCAGTACAGCAGCACTGTTAGTCAGAATAACCTGTTTCAAAGTGCAGCCACTGAGATAAGTTTCTCTCTTTGGCAAAATTATCTTTTTAATTGAAACTTAAATTTTGTCTTTCAGGGTCAATGAGATGTCTCTGCCCTTAGACGACCCCAACAGCCTGGAGGACGACATGGGGGTCGTGTTGGTGGACCTGAGTCTGTCACACAGAGACGGCGACAGCAAAATAGGCCATGTGTGGCAACCTCCCATATATATTTACTGCATGTTGTCTGGCAGTAGGGATACTTGTGCTGAATTGAATTGATCACACATTAGTGTTTTTACACACTGTTGTTGTCCATGTCATACTAACCACATTGTTGTTTTGTTCTGTTTTGCACCTAACATGCATGCTCCTGCTGACAGCGGTGGCCTCAAAAACAGAAACGAAGCCTTCGGGTAAGGCACAGTGGGGGGGAACAAGCCGGACAGACTTGAAGTGATGTTTTAAGGGTTGAACATTTCGGATCCATACCACAGAGAGACATCATTATACCTGCAGGACAGAAACAGGGATGAAGTCAATCACTTCTACCTCTAGCTTTTTAGACTGTTAGTACAGAAGCTGGTCTGAGAATTGTTGTTTCTTTACACAAGAGGGCAGCAGATTCCCACTTTGTGTGTGTCTTTAGATGGAAATATAACCTTAGAGGAAAAAAGATGCAGTTATTAATTTTGAGATTGATGATTATATGACATCAACGATAAGAAGTCTGTTTTTTTTTTTTTTTTAACAGACCTCATGAAGCAAAATCACAATCAGGATTAAGGTTTATTGTAAAGAAGTTCACACACACACTTGGATGGGGGGGGGGGGGATTTTGGTGCCAAAATGAAGAAGCAGGACATAATGAATAATTAATATAAGGAAACAATAAAAAAAATTTGAATTACATATTTTATATATATAATATAATGTACATATTTTTAAAGTATTAATGATAAGCTTGTACAGTTTGCACTGTAAAATAAGATGTTATAATAATATACTACAATTTATTTAATGAAATCACTTCTCTTTGGAAAAAAATAGCTTTTGAAGGGTTTTTCCTTTTTTAATAGATAGCAGATATAGGGTGGACTGTTTCAGACTCTTTGAATGAGCTGTAAAACTCGCAGGCAGCCGGTGGACTTGAATGTTGCTCTCTCATGTCAAGATTAAGTGGATTACAGTCGTTAAGTGTAGAAGAAAAAAGGGACCTGATTTTAGTTATCTGTCTCAGCTGAGCGAGACAGGACTGTGTAACTTTGGGGTCAAGGGAAATTACCAAGCTGGAGGTGATTTTATTTCTTTAAAATTATATTATTATTTGCCGTAGTTTGTCCTCATGGCTGAAACTAAACATATATTTTCTCTAGAAGTATTTTTGTTTTACAACAGAGAGACTCTGCAGCCTGAGCTTTGTATGTAAAAGAGCCAGCAAGATTCAATGTCTAATGTGCACATCATGACACAGAGCTGCGGCAAGTAACATTGCATTGGTTCATCTGGCCGCCTTTTTTGATGGTGCTCATGGGAAATGCAGTCTTTATTCTAGGAAAACACTACCAATTCTACCCAAAGGGTTCACCAAATCAGCACAAAAGAAAAACTCCTCACACTGCCCTCAGACTGGGATGAACACGAATCTGAAAAATCCCCCACTGATCAGCTACTTACAAATATGTCCACCCCTGACTGCTTTAAGGTTTAAAGTTTAAAGACTTAGACGCCAAAAGATCCTGATCATTCGCACCATGTAATCCTCTTTTGAATTCAGCTGTCCCATAGCAGAGAAGAAGAGAGGAGAATGCCTTTTTTCAAGACGACATCCAAATGAGACATATTTTGGATTTTTGTTGTCACTAAAACAGGATTTCCTCTACTTTAAACATCAACCCTTTCCAACATTCAGAGATGTTTGAAATACACCAACCAGACATAATGTTATGAACACCTAAACAACCTGATCCAACCCAACACTGCAGCTCTTCCCAAATTCTGCTCTTCAGATCATGATCATTGTTCTTTATGGTAACTGAAGCTGTTGTGATTATATTAAAAGATGTTCCCAATAATTTGCTCCTTTCATGTTTGATAATAAAGAGGACAAAATATCAGGAATACCTTTCAATATAATGAACTCCAGCGCACCCCTACTCACTGTGCCTTCACTATAAATGTAGAGTGCAGTAATCACCTCCAATCATGTCAACAAACGCTGACAATTCAGAAGCTTTCTGAGAGTAGACTTTGAGGTAGAGCTGCTGTATGGATTGCTTTACACCACCCAGGTGTTCATAATGTTAGGGCTTGTCTGTGTACATGAGTGGCAGTCTGAACACATGGCATTTTTTTTTTCATGGGATTTGATTACAATAACAGAACATTTAAAAATAGCTGTAGCCATGAGAGGAGTCTGGTGGTTGTGTTCTTCACCCACTGAGCAGCTGCTGGATGCATGCTTTGTTTTTGTTCTCATCCCATCTGTACTATGTCTCCTCTGTGGTGCACGAGTCTGTGAGTGTGAGCAGGTCAGCTCTATATGAAGGTGCTCAAACCCGCACATCTGGCATTTCTGTTCAATCCTGGGATTACTCCTGACACTCCTAGCCCTGTCTGCATGTGAAGAGATTGAGCAGATCTCTGTTGGGTTGTTGTTTGTGATACTGAACAGGTGTACCTAACAAAGTGGCCACTGAGTGCACGCTCACCTGCTACTTCAGATACTCCCCCTTCATGCTGTTTCTGAATCAAAAACTTGAATTTCTGCTTGTGCATGTGGCAGAACATCCTCAGACATGACATCAGAGTCAGTTTGATCTGCGTTAATTGAATCTGGGTTAAATTAACTCCCTACAGCGTGCCGTGTCTCCATGTAAGCTCGGCTAATTATCTTAGAATATGGCTGCCTATTATTGTAAATGGAAGAGAGACTCAGTTCTGCATTGTAGCCACTGCAAGCTTTAGCTATAATCTCTGAGTGAAATGAAGGAATAATTTTAAGCCCTTTTTTTCTGGAGAAGAGAGATAATGGTATTTCTGCTTTGCATTCTGCTTTGTCTGTTATAATGGCTAAAGCAGTGATATGCAGAGCATCCTTTTATTTGACTTTCAGCTTTATTTGGCATTTTTTATTGCTAAGTAAATATAAAGATATTGTTTTAGAGATATAAAGCAATCTAGTCCTTTAAACTAAAGTGTTTCACGTCCTGTTTTCTCAGTAAAAATCGATTTCTCTCCCCCCTCATTCCCCCCTCTCCCCTTTGTTTCTCGGCCCTCTCCTGCAGTCAGGAGGCTCGTCTCAGAGCTTTCGCCTGTCAGAGACACTGAGGAAGAGTCAGCTGTGGACGTCTGTGGTGTCAGTGACTCTGGTCGAGGGTCAGGAGCTGCCGCTGGATACGCTGGGGGGTCAGCTCTTTGTTCGCTTCAGACTGGGAGAGCAGAGATACAAAAGCAAGGTACTGACTGAAGGGAGAGGACTGACGTTATTCGCCCCCCCCTTGAATTCCGCTCTCGTATTTAATGCTGCTTCTTTTGCTCTCACTACTTCTTTTCTCTTCTGATGCAGTGTCTGTTTTTAGTTTTGAACTTCTCATTCTCATTTCCCCTCGACTTTCACAAAAACAAATCTGAAAAACTGGATGATTTTTTAAACCAGTGTCTTTACAGTACATACTTTTAGTACATAACCATCACAACACAGGGCTGTGTGGGTATTTGAATCAAATGAGCAACTAGGATTGCTAAAAGTAAGTCATAGGGAAATGGAGAGAAAAGGCAAAAATGATGAAGAGGGTCCCAGTACTTGCTTCTGTTTAATACTAGATGCTCAATCTAAATGGTAAAAAATGAAAATCATCCTTTTAGTGATTCAGTCGTATCTTCAGCTTTAGATTGATTACTGTGACATGCTGATGCCTGGCAGGTGGCGAAGACCCATGATAGTGGTTGGAGGAGTGAAGTGCTGGTTTGAAGTACACACAGACTCCAGTGGAAAGTTCAGTGACTCTTGTGTTAGTGTTTGACGTTTCCTCTTAACTTTCTTCCTCTACTCTGTTCATCCCGTACAGAAGGCAGCAGTCCACAGCTGCCGAGGGCTGGCTACTGTCTCAATTATATTAACCCCAGTTCAGATTGTGGTTCCATGCTTTGCCATAATTATGATTCTTCTAGAGTCTTAATCCTTATTCAAATAGTAATGGATATTTATTGAAACTGAAATAAGACTATCTTTATTGTTCTTTTTTCTTCATTTGTAAAAACAAAAGAAACTCTTTCTGATAAGAGGGATCACACAAGAAAAATTACAAACCAGGAATATTGAAATTCATGATAGAAACCTCCAACTAAAACACATTTATAATAACACATTATCAATACAAATCGTGCATTTAGCAAACCTAAGCACTGGGGACTCCTTACAGACAAAGAGGAGTAACCTCTTCACCAAAAACCTTCTCCTCCACTTTAACCTAGCTTGTCTTGTTGCTAAAGTGAGCAGAGTTTCTGCACAGCAAGGTCTTTAGTAGGAGGCAATCAAACAAAAATGTATTTGTAAAAATGATTTGCTTACCTTAACAAATGTGATCATGAGCTCAACTCTGTTTGGTACCTAAATGTGATGTTAAGACATTATTTGTCAGAAAAACTACTTTGGCGTGCACAAAAAAGGCCACCTCTGTCCACAAGGGGCGCAAAAATCAAGGATCAAGAGCCGAAGATTATGTGAAGTCTGTGTAGCAGTTGCATGAATAGAGAATTAAGTTTGGCTCCATTAACCAGCTGTGCTAAAACAACAAAAATAAATGAGACCCTTAAAAAAAAGTCAGATAAATAGAATGATGCCGAAACAATGACTACAGGTAAACTGAAAGGTGTGTAGACATGTTACAAAGTCCATTTAAAATGTTTCTTAAGTGCATTTGAAATATAAAAGTCATATTAAAATGTAACAAATCAAATATCTTAATTTTAAGTTCATCCCTGATTGTGTGTGTGCCTGAAATAATGACCCTCTGATATTATTGTCCGTACAGCTGGAGGGGAAAAGCTCCTTCTCATTCTCTTAAACTGGGTGATAAAAGTCTCTGATGATCTGGTCTGCTTCCTTTTTACACAACATGATGAGGATGTTCTTTTATAGGGTGGGCAGAGTAGTTTCACTGATGTGCACTTGATAATCCCCGTGTAGCACCTTCTTGTCCTTAGAGGATTCGTCCCCATGCAAAGCTCCAAGGGCACAAATCTACACAAGTTAAAAGTTCCTCACAAACACGTCATTTCTGAACAGAAACTTTGACAAAGCTAAAGCGGCTCAAATTCACCAGAGTCTCCTGCTTGTTGTCTTGAGGAAATCTTTCATTTTCTGGAGTTCCTGGGAATTTCAGAACAACGAGAATCAGGTTTTAATTTGAGGGTTCAATCTGTGTCAGTAGGCTTGGAAGTGAAACCACAATCAAAACTGCTGTTAACCAACTTATCGAATATAATTTCTAAATACGCCTTTGAAAGCTCAGAGTCTTCCCAGAAAACATTGCTTAATATTTAAGTATCCTCTGGCAGACCCAGAACTGTTGAGATAATAGTACTAGTGCTAGCCCTCAGTTTTGACTCAGGCAGCGTTTCTGTCTGAACTCTTGTTTCTGCGCTTTTGTTTGGAAAAAATGTTCAAGATGTTTTAGCCTGAATTTCTACAGGCCTGCTGTTCCTCAGACTGCAGAACCAAGAACATTTTCCACATATTTAATCCTTTTTTAATACTGAGTATGGAGAGACATGTATTTAATAAATCAGTGTAAAATGAGATAAATGGATTTCTGCAGTGTGACCTGAAATGTCTAGGCTGTAATCCGGCTCATCCTGGCAGCTGAAGGATGTTGATGCTCATTTTTCTGCACTGCTGGCTCTGTGGCTGCTGTCAGTGATGATTATGTTGTTATTCTGCAGCATCATCCATTAGACATCAAAGCTGCAGCCGCAGCATCATAATAAGCAGCATCGCCTCTTTTCTTTGTCTTTCCTTAAATGCAGGTTACATGCAGACACAGTCATTAATTGTCATGCCACTGCTAAGACTTGAAGCTGTTGTTTCACTTGTTTGTTACAAAAGAGAAAATCACAAACATGATTAAAACGACTCCAGATATGATCAGATAATTAGATTAAAATGATAAAACTGATTTACAGAATCACACAAATGTTAAGATGTTAATATTTGCTGGTGCCATCATCAGTGTGAAATTCTGTAAATTAGTCTGTAATTTTCTGTATTTCTTACTTTTTTCCAGAGTCACTGCAAAGTACCCAACCCTCAGTGGAGAGAGCGGTTCAGCTTTAACCAGTTTTTGGACAGTTCAGACATCCTAGAGGTGGAGCTAGTGTCCAAAGGAGGACGGAGGACAGAGGAGTGTGTGGGAATGTGAGTTTGTTGTAGTCCCTCTGCGTGTGTGTTGTTTATTGAGGATGTGTATCTGTACACACTTATGGTTCATGTTTGTACATTTTCTGTAAATAAATAAATATCTGTGACTTTAGCTGTACCTTCACATGTGCACCTTCATGAACGAGTAATGTTGTTGTGTGTCACATTAATTATGATATTAAAGCTCCTGTGAGGAGTTTTTTGACATCATTTCAGGAGCTTTAATATGCTTGCAGAGAAATCAGCCCCTACTCAACTAGGCATATTAAGATCCTAAGTAATGTGCAATATCCTCCATACTTGTTATGCATAAGCAGTAATCAGGGTCAGGTTTTTAGAGGAAAACCTTCACTTGATGGGTTAGTAATTGTAGAATACAGAATAAGGTGTTGATTGTTTTGTTCTTTGGTGACAGAAACAGATGCTTGAGAAATTGAAAATAGATTGTTCTTTTATGGGTAAGATTCCTTTTTCTTCTTCTTACACTCAGTCTAATAAGATGACTCCAACACCTCTGACCATTTCCAGAGGGACTAGAAGTGTAAATCAATCAATCAATTAGCTCTGTAAAAAAAGTGTTAAAAACACTGAGACTGATGCTATCAGCTGGAACACTGGCAGATCCGCAGCAGGATGTCTGCAGCAGTGATCCAGAGAAACCTACAAAATGATGGAGCTCAGAGATTCCCAGAAGAGACTTTGGTGATTTTAAAGGGACATGATGGTTCAGGGTTGATGACACACAGACGGAAGACTATCCCCAACAATCTGAACCTAGAGCATCAAATTAAGAGGGTGTGCCATGACTCTTGTCAACCTTTAACAGGAAGAAGTGATTGGTAGATGAAGCCAGGGTGCCAGGGCGGTACAAAAAAAAGCTCATTTAGCTTGAAACAGTCGGGTCGGCTCTAGATTTCACAAAAATAAAGGTAAAAATTGATATTTTGGAGAGTATTTATTTATCTTAGTTGTAAAGAAAGGGGGGCACAGTCTCGCCAGCTCGTTGAAACTGTCATTCTTGCTTGTGCATAGTGAATATTGGCTGATATTTACTGTGGCCTGGTTATAATGTGAAGCCCTTTATGTTTCTGTGCAGGTGTGAAGTGGACCTCACCAGGGTCCCTTTTGATCAGAGGCAGCTGTTCACACACACTCTGGACCAGGGAAGAGGACGCCTGGTCTTCCTGCTCACCCTGAACACGTGCAGTGGCGTCTCCATTTCTGACCTCGGCGCTGCGCCGCTCGACGAGCCTCGAGAGCAACAGAACCAGCTGGACAACTATGTCAGTCCCTCTACTCTGCTCTGTTTGCTCTACCTGTGCTACCATTATTCCCCCTCCTTCTGTACTTGCACAGCAGCAGAGTTGTTTTATCTGACAGTACACTTTGATTGTTATTAGATAACTCATTGACTTACTTTGAGTTCTAACAACTGACAGAGAGACATTTTCTCTCCTTTGTAGTAGACTAAGGTCAGTCCACTGTTTGGTGAACAATAACAACCTCAGGACATGATTAAAGGTACTATTCAGTGAAAAATCAGTGCAAACTTCCAGTCTGAAACTGCTAAAAGATGAAAGTGGAGCTTCAGGTTTGGAATTTTGATCTGTTCTTTGGGCCTTTGGCTCTGTGAACAGACTGCTGCAGCACCTTCAGTATAAAAGAGCTCAGAAATGCCAGTATCTATCTTTTACAACTGAGGGTCAGTAACAAAAATGTTCTCATCAGTACTGTGCTGAAGTTTTTACATCCATACTTTGATAGCAGCTAGGCAGCAATCTAGTGAAAAGCTCTGAGTGTGTTATCTAAAGGCACAGACAGAGCGTGGCTGTATTTTAATAGATGTTGCCTTGAGATTTTATGTGCTCTTAAAAGAGGTTGAACTTTGGTTACTGTAGTTTTGGGATGATTCAAACCCGATTTAGCCTTTAACAGATGGTTGATTATGAAATTAATATTTTATATTTCATAACCTCACAATCTTTTGAACTTTGGGGCCCCACCTCCATCTAAAGAGGAAATAAAAGATAATTTAATGTTTATTATTTAACAGTCTAATTATCAAATCAGTGAATCCACAGTATTTGAGATCTGTTCAACTCTTGACAGAGTTACACAAACCAAATACTTGATTTTATGTAAGTATTGATTTCAAATACATGGAGTAGTAATAATGGTGAAGGTAATAAAACCTGTGAGGGATGCATAAAAGAAATGATGAAAATAACAGTGAAAGTGAAATAAACTAGAGCTCAAAGTGAATACTGGGGAGATTTTAATGAGAAAACCAACAAAGTTTCAATTCAGAGGGGATCCATTTGGATTGGGTTGTTCAAATGAATTTTATAATTATTTGTGGTGTGGTAACTTTATCAGACATCAACTTTTTATCACAGTGGTCATAAGAATAAGAATAGGAATAACTTTATTGAATAAAGATAAATAAAAAATAACCTTATTTAACTACTTTATTTCATGGTGTAGCTGGACTGCTCTTGCTTAGAAAATGGTCAGAGAGCCTCTGTGAGTGTCCAGCCATCCAGAGCTTTAAGCTGGTGGCTTCAGACACACTGCTCCCTGTCTCCAGTCTGCAGGTCTCATAGAAAACATGAAATTATCAGGTGACTGTGTTTTGTGACTCCTGTGCTTTCAGTCTGTCTGCATCTGTCTGTATTTGGTGCTGAAAGGACTAATTAAGTCAAGAGTGTACTGACTGTGATAGAGGCCGAAGCAGAGACTCACACAGCAGGCAGGAAGAAGAAGCACAACTTCAGCTGCAAACAGAAAAAGCCTACACCTCTCTGCACGTCTGTGTGGAGCTGTGGACGTGTTAACTCATACTTTAGAGCAGACTTACTAAAAATACATTATTATTTTTTTCACCAACACACACACCCTCTTTCTCTCTTTTTCTCTATGTCTCTCTCTTTTACCTCTGGCAGCATGAGTTTGAAAATACTGTAGATCATATACAGTATAATACTGAAGATTTTTCTAGTTCAAATAACTGTCAAAAATGGATCTTCATTGTAAAGCAGGATGTTTTTTAATGTATCCAAGTTGTTGTGGAAAAGAGTGACGTGGGATTTGAGGGTCGAATGTTGAAATCATGTGTTGTTACACAGAATCTATCTGCTCCCGCTTTGTTTAATGGGATGATTCTGTGATTGCCTTTAAGGCCTTGTGAAGACAAGATGACTCTGTGTCTTTCCTTTTCTGCCACCATCCTCCAGAGTTTAAAAAGGTCCCTGAGAAACCTGCGTGATGTTGGTTTCCTTCAAATCAAAGTTCTGAAAGCTGGAGATCTGCTGGCTGCTGACTTAAATGGTCGGTTTCCTCACATCCTCAGATATGATCTTTTTTTTTTGTCTTTCCAGACAGAAGAAGCTCAGAGTTATGGTGTCTTTATTTGTTGTGATCTGCAGGGAAGAGTGATCCCTTCGTTGTGTTGGAATTAGGCAACGACAGACTGCAGACTCACACAGTTTACAAGAGCCTCTACCCTGAGTGGAACCAAGTCTTTACATTGTGAGTCTCACCCTTCCTTCAGCACATTTACAGCATTTGAGTAGTTAAAGCTTGATGTTAAAGAGTATCTGATCTCCCTGTTTGCCTCTACAGCCCTGTCAAAGATATTCATGATGTCCTGGAGGTGACGGTCTTTGATGAGGACGGAGACAAGGCGCCAGACTTTCTGGGAAAAGTTGCCATTCCCCTGCTCTCGGTACACACACCTCTCTCCTAGAGTCAGTGCAGAGAATACACTCATCTATTACCACTCCTAGTGTAAATTAAAGTGAAGAGGGCGGGTTGAGGACTTGCTAAGATGTAATCCAGCTTGACTGATGGTCAGGGTCATGGTTGAGTTCAGCACCTGATGCCCTCTCTGTCCCGCAGATCCGCAGGGGACAGCAGATCACCTACCCACTGAAGAAAGAGGACCTGGGCGGGCTGTCGAAAGGGAGCATCACTCTCGAGCTGGAGGTTATTTTTAACCCTGTGAGTAAAAGTTCAGCCTGAAAGGAGGACACGAGGGCATGACGACTGTGAAAGATAGGCCTGATTCTGTCGGCTTTTCATCACTTTATGATGCTCTTTTATTTTTATCAGGTCAGAGCAAGTATCAGGACGTTCCAGCCGAAGGAGGGGAGGTTCATGGAGGATAACCCCAAATTCTCCAAAAAGGTTTGACACAACTTAGTTGTTGCAAGTCCAACCCAGAAAATCTGAAATCCCAGTTACTTAGATCTACATAAAGAGAAATAGAAAAGCCTTTAGTCTTGCAGGAGCTAAAGCAAAAATAAGTGATCAATAAATGAGCCAGTTTGACTCATTTACTTGATGGACTTCGGTGGTAGGGTTGCCCAATATATCGGTATTGACAGTGACCATCTTTTTGGAAAAATGAAACTAGGACATCTGGCTCAAATGAGCATATAATAATTATGTGACTTAATTGCAGTAGTTCCTCATGCTGGTTGGCACACTTCATAAAACTCAGGAGAGACGGAAACGAGGCAGATGTTACTATTGGGCTAGCTTGTAGCCGCTCACTGAGAGGTGATTCAGCACTTGCAGATACTGAAATGAAAAGTTGGACTGTGAATCCAAAAAAGCACAATCGCTTTTGTCTTTTCAGGTTACTTATTAATGGAACATTTAAACTCTCTCTCTGTTCTTTTAATCCTTTTTATTCAGATACACAACTTACAAGATGCAGGAAGTAGCTGATATCTCAAAATAAAAGCATAGTCGGTAACACTATATGAACCTTCCTCTTAAAAAGTATCATAAGGCCATTTAAAAAGGCTAATAAATGCATCGATGAGGCTTCACAACATCCCTTCTGAGTGACTATAAGCATCAGTTTTTGGACAGGTTTAAAATGTGAGGAGAAAAAAAAGATTATAAGATGCTGGAGTTTGTAGCACCTGAGAAATTGTGATTTCAAAGTATTACTTTCACAATTAACCGATTAAAAATCACTTCAACTTAATTATGCGGAGTAATAGCAGGTTTATGGCTTATCAAAATGATGGCCCTAAAATCTGCACCGTTGAACATTTCAAGCAAACTAGATTAAAGGGTGCTGCACTTGTGACAACATTCCTCAGATGTTTGGATGATTAGAAATGTTAAAGTAGGAGGGGATAGAGAGGCTGTAAAACGGCTAAGTGTTTGTATTATCAGTTATGTTTTTGAAGTCAGCGTGAACATTCCTGCTCTGCTTTTTTCCTCAAAAGCATCGACTGCAGGGAGGAAAGTCTTTCCTCCGCCTGATTTTGTTGAATCGGGTTTTAATTGACCCCGACTGTGCCGAGTTCTTGTCTGCTGTTCTGCTACATTAGTTTGATATACAGTGTGCAGGACAGGGTGCGAGACAGGGTGCCTGACTGTCTGTGCTCCCCACAAAGACTCATTGTTGTCAGACAATACATTGCCCACTAACGCCGAAATTGGCTTACACACTGAGCGCTGGGATGGTAACGTGCAGCGTTTCGCTCTGTTTTAATGTTGAAAGTCTCAGTTGACAAAATCAGGTCAGATTACTGACATTTTCTGACCTGTCCATAATGGCTCCTTCCAAAACATACCAGCTACTCGTTTTATTTCACTCACTGACTGACTGGCTGGATATGAGTTCATTCCCTATAGAATGGAGTGCGCACATACATCATTAGGAACACTTTGATTCCCATTTTCACTATAAACTAATGTAATATTCATGTGTTTTGCATGTTTTTTAATCTGTATGTTTCAGGTTCTGGCCAGGAATGTGATGCGTGTTCAGACGCTGTACAGGGCGATCGTATCCACACTGCAGTACATCAAAAGCTGCTTCCAGTGGGAGAGCATTCAGAGGAGCCTGCTAGCCTTCCTGGTAATGTGTTTTAACTGCTTATCAACACACTATCTGCATTTCTCTCTGTTTTCCCTCCAAGCTGCGGAAGACAGGCGCGGTCTGGCCAGCCCCTGCTTGAACTCTCCCAGAGAGAATCTTAATCAATGCGGTGTTGGACTCAGCAGAAAACGCAGGCTTGGCCCGGCTCTTGTTGGAGTGGACGCTTTTTAGTGTTGCGTGTCTCATGGATGCAGAGTTAAGCCTCAGCTGGAGTGGGTACAGTCCCAGTGGAGACGAGATAGAGTCTATTTTTGTTCTACTTCCCTGACAACTCATTAACCCTCTGTCCAATCTGTACTCAGTTTGATTTAGACCCCATTATGCAGACAGAAGTCCAATTAAAAGCCTCTTCAGAGATAAGGCTTATTCTCCACCCAGCCATTGTTTAATACAAGTGTTAAGCAAGTGTGAAGACAGAAAGACAGGACAAGCCTCTCAGGCCTGATCCTGAAACTGCACAGAGGAGTGGGCGCTGATCTTTCTGACATCATTCTGTCTCAGATCCAGCTCCATTCAAACCAAACAGCCAGTTGTGCATTAACTATGCAGGCAATCAAGGTCATGAAGAGTTCCTTCAGTTTTTGCAGCCGGCATCCTGTAGATGGCACTAAAGTTTTGCTCAGCAGCTCGGCATAGGCAGCCTGGTGAACAGACACTGTATGCCAGCCAATAGCACAGTTTCTTCAATTTGCTGTGAAAAATGGGAGCTGCTGCATGGAGCTGTTATCTGAACAGAAGCTACCATTTAGCTCTGAGCAGTGGATTTAGATTTGTAATTTAGGAAAACTTGGACTAAGAGAAACTGAGCTGTCCAGGGTCAGCGTGTTTGAATCACAAACTGCTTTGTATGAACATATTCGAATCAGCCACAGCCCGCTGACGGCAAAATAAGATTCTTTAAATTAAAACAGAGAGAAAGCCCAAACTCCCCTGATCAATGTTATGGATAATATTGTTGTTTTGCCTGACAGCTCAGACACACTCACTCACAGTCCAGCTCAAATCACACAACAGGAACAAGCACACACACACACACGCACGCACGCACGCGCACACACACACACACACACACACACACACACACACACACACACACACACACACACACACACACACATCCTCCCACTGCATCCGAGCGTTTGAAAGACAGTACCATCTGTACTCATGTTTTCACACTTCCTGCCTTTTCAAGCCTCAGTGAGAAGAAATAAATGGCTGCTTAATATCGCCACATGAGAGTGATGAAGCAGAGCTTCACTCTACATGACAGGACAGAGAGACAGTCTACCTGCAACATCTGCCAGGTGTCACATACTTTCATTCAGAGCGCTTCACTCAGAGCATTTCACTTCAGACGCCTCCATTGTCACTGAGCTTCCCCACACCCTATAAGAAGAACCAGTGATCAAAACTTGAGGAGAAACTGATCATTTGGTGGTCTTAATGACTTTAATTCTTTGGCTGCAACTTTTGAAACTCTTTCCTTATGAATCCTGACCACGTAAAATAATATGATTTGATGAACACATCAGTGAAGCTTCATGGGAAAAGTTTTGATTGCACCCTGACCACTCTACCCACTGTCCTAATTCAGAGTGCATGATATCACTAAAGCTAAATGGGGGCTTGAAAAGTTAGCTATTAAAATATGAATACTTCTGAATATATATGTGCGGCCCATAATTTACGCCAAGATAGCTTACTTTATCATATCGGCTGTATGGAAGTACTCTGACCTGTTGGAAACAGCCAGCAAATAGCTGTGCTTCACAAATAGCTACTTGCAATGCTTGTGAAGCACAGGTGATGTGAGGAGGAGCAAACAACACTTCTTTAACACTTCCAGTATAACAGTGCATCTCAAGATCTGTCAGCCTGAGCAGCACCGAGAGTTTCTGAAAAAGCAAGAACAAAAAAAAAGGTCAGTGCCAGCAAAAACCTGTCAGCAGCATCCAGTGATTCAACAAAACAAAGAAATGAAGCAGCAGCCACAAAGGTACAAGAGAAGAATGAAGAAATCAGTGAACAACCAGCCTTTCAGCATGGTGGGAATTTCAGCCTTCTGCAGGCTGAGAGACTTCACCACAGACAGGAATGACTGTGTGTTTATGTGTATTTTGTAAACCTATATTGTAAAATTAAATTAAATTCTTTGTCCCGTTTCATGTCAGTTTCTGCAACAAACGGACTGTCATGAAAACAATAACAGGTTTATCAGAGTTAGGGAGGACATATTTTGATTTCTGAAAACCAAGACACTCTGCACGGCAATGAGATACTCTAATGATACTCCAAGTTTACTCAAAGACATTTTATAATTTCAATACATGAAAAGTATGCCTCCTCTGTATAGATAGAAAATTGTGATATTATCAAATTATATCTATAACCAAAGACATCAATTCAGATAGGCTCCTCAGAGGTTACTCAACATGATTATTATGACAAGTCTCAAAAAACAAAAAATAAAATAATGAAAGAAATAATGTCTCTTCTAGATTAGAAAAATAATAAATATAAAAACTCAGTATACCTCTGCTATATTAGCAATCCAACTTGAACAAAAATAGCACTCAGAAACTTACAAAAACAAAGTAACAAAAAAATATCTGTATCTTTAGTTTTCTTCTTCTTCATCCTAGTAGCCCAATGAAAAACAATCAAAACCAAGACATTTACTTTACAAAAAACTACCAGGATGTTAAAACAAGGCATGCCCTGGGAAATCATAACGTTTGGTCACCCTAATCCTTGTGCAGGAGGTATGTAGTTTTTAAACTAAAAAAGGTGTGTACATAAGAGTATTTTCCTAAATGACTTTGGAAATATTGCCATATTAGATATTGAGAATCTAATATCAAGCATCTCAACCCTAGTTATAATATCATAAGAATAATCAAAATAATTTAGGGAGGATTCAGAAAAAGAAGAATAATCTTATCGTTTATGTGCCGACTATCTGATTTTTCAGATAGTCTGTTAAAAGTACAGTTTATTAAAGATTTAGACTTCTCTGCAGCAGCAGGAGGTGTTACCTCTGCTTTTCTTAGAAGAATAAAGTTAATCCCACATTAACTGCATTAACACTGTTTGCATTAACACAAGCACAGACTTACAAACATGAACCAAAGTGATATATGCTTCTCCAGTGAGCCGTCATTTTGGAGAAGCAGGTTTTGTGCAGCTCACTGAAATTAGTTCCACTCGCCCTTTCGTCATTTATTTTGTTTCTTTATGGCTTGTAAACAAAAGCAGACTTTTTGCAACAATTCTTGTCCAGCTGGTGACTTTTATATTTTCTTAATAATTTCAAATAACAATTTTTTAGCAACACATTCTTATTGAATGAAATAAACAATTTCAGTAAGTTTACAACAGAAAAAGCATAATAACAAGGACAAAGTGAAACTTCAACATTTTAAAGCTTACCAAAAGAGTGTAGACTGAAGATACAGCTCATTTACACCAACACCTCATATCTCACATAAACATATTGATCCTAAAAAAAAACAACAAAAAAAGTGAATAATACATTATAAATAAAATCATTATTATCATTAAATATTTACATACTTTTATTCACTTCAGTTTTCTACAGTGTGCTGCATATTTATGTTTATATTTCAATGACTGTCCTTCATTTCTAACAACCTCTGGATACTTTGTGGAAATAATTCAATTTTGAATTTTTATAGACAGTGTATAATTTGTGTTTAATTGTAAAAAGTAGACAGTGTGTAAAAAGTATTGACTTCTAAAATCATGGCTTTAGTTTTGCTATTTTGGCTTGTACATGGTTACTGTGCTAATGTCACCTTTGTTTATCCTAAATATCTTTTTATTATACCTAAAATCAAAGTTTGGGGCGCTGTTCTCGATTTAAACCCAATTTATTCAAGTTTTCATGCAAGGAGAAATTTTACCAGCATCAGTCACTTCATTGTCTGAAGTCTCCATTTTATCCAAAAGTTGTTTACATTTTTCCCACAACAGAAAACAGACAAATCAGCTGCAAACATTAGGCACATTTAAATTATTAATATGCATTCTGAAAGGCAGTGGTCCAAGTAGGGAACCCTGTGACACACCTGAACAGTTTGAATTTATATTGGATTTGTCCCACAGATAACTTTCTCTGATTTCTTACTGATTCACGAGCAGCTGGTGAGGTTGAATTGTAAATACAACAGCGTAACTCAAACTTTAAGACAAAAACTGCTCGTTTCAGCACTTTCAGGGGGATTTGCTTTCAGAGCGGTGCTTCATATGGTTTGATCATTAGCCTACGTTTTTTACTTGAGTTAGAAAACTGGCTTGTCTGTTGTTAGTTTTTCCTTATTTGAGCCTTAACAGATGAATTGTCAGATCATTGTTCCTGCTGGTCTCAGTGATTGCTGTTGAGTAAAAGTAACACAGTGAAGGACTGAATGAAGTCAGTGGTTCCTGTGCTCTTGGATTACCGCTGTACCATGCAAACCCTTCCTCTGAGCATTAGTGTGGAAATCCTGCTGCACTCTGAAAATGTGCTACCCTCCAGTTCAGTAGCTCTCCCCCGAACATTAGGTAGCCTTTCATTTTCCTCTGTCTCTCTGATCTGGATTGTATTTCCAGAGCCCTTTTTTGCTGTCAAAGACTGTGTAATGCCTCTCAAGCTGAAATGGGCTGCAATTATCACTATCTTTATGGCCTGAGTATTCGTTTCCACCAAAGCGTGACTTGGCTTCCCCCTCCATCCCGGCTCTTGCAGTTCTGACAAAGTCCTTACTAGTAAAACATAACCCTTTCAGTGAGGACTTGGTTTCATCTCCCCTCCCAGGCCCCTATTTTGGCTTATGATAACACAGACAAGAGCATGCTTGGCTTTCTGCACATTAAGGCTGGTGCTGGTAGTGCTGGTGGGTTGGGGGGGGGTGTCTGCCATCTTTTATGTCAGTTGGTGCCTCAGAGGAGTGATGTCTTTACCAGATGTTCACTTCTATTTTTATTAGTGTATAAAAACCTGTACACCCTCTCCCCACGCCTTGTGGCTCGCTGCCATTTTGGCGGGCGCTGCTGCCTCTCTGACAGGATTATTTTATCGGTCCATTTAGAGACATCATAAGCCATCCTCCTTTATCCTCTTATCCTTTTTACCTGAGCCACACACAGGTGGAATGTGCATCACAAGTGCCATTATGGATGCTAATGACATATTCACACACGGCTCCCTGTGGCTGCGTGGTCGTCTTTAATGTACACGAGATGAGAAAGGCAGAGCAATTAGACCAACCTGCTTAATGCCACTGCATAAGCAGGGGGTGGAGGGCGAGCTGGCCCTGCACAGCGCACACAGCATAACCTTACAGCTTTGATAGTAGCGGGGTAGCCTTCATCAGCTTGACCAGTGCTCTTGCAATCAATAGCTTATTGGATCAACCTTTAGCAAGCAGGGATTCAGGATCTATTGGAAATGTCTCGATGAAGAGCACTTTGTTTCATCCTCTGGCCCCCCATGTGTCTGACCTCCCTGATATCTGATCTCTGACCTCCTCTGCCCGCAGGTGTTTGTGGTGACAGTGTGGTACTGGGAGTTCTACATGCTGCCCTTTTTCCTGGTCCTGCTCATCTCCTGGAACTACATGCAGATCCGGTCCGGTCGTGTCAGTCAAGATGTGGTGAGTCTGGGGGACCCTTACTGTCTATCCAAACCTCCACTGTCCCCTCCCTTTATTTTTTATCATAAAAACCATCCTCCTAAACCACACTATGCTCCCTGGATTAAAAGCTGGTTTGTTTCCATAGCAACCAGCTGCAACCTAGCTACATAATAATAAAAATAACCCGTAATACAGAAGCATAGAAAACTTACTGAATGGAATAATGCAACATATGATTACAGCCTAAGCTAATTTGCAGTTCTTGTCCTCGTCTAATGCTGCTTTCTTCTCTTAACTCCTCTTCCCATTATTGTCCTGAATTCTGCTTTTTTTTGCTGTAATTGGTTTGTTGGTCTCTTCTTGTTGTGACTGGTCAAATTAGAAAAAAGTTTTCTGCAAGGAAAAGTCATAGTTCAGTGGGTTTTTTTTCCCAGCTGTTCACCAGACAGAAAAAAAGATGTTGTTTCTTGTGCGAGCTCAGCGTGGAGCAGCAGCTGTATTTACAGACTTCAGCGATGGTAGTTCAACACAGACTGTAAGTTACAGCAAATTATATACACAGAGCAATGCCTAGACAGCAGTGTACTTTATTATACAGCGAAATCAGGTACAAGTGTGCCGTTATACAGCCATGATGAGCAGCAAGTAGCTTCTACTAATCCAATATATTCAAGCATATTCCTTATAAAAAAAATCTGTCCACAAAAAGACCTTGTCACACAAACAACTTGCAGTGAATTCATTATTAATCTGCCAATTATTTTTATAGGCAATCAATAAATCTTTGGTCTATAAATGTCAAAGAGCTGTAAAAAATAGCTCAGCCTAGTTTCTGAAAACCCAAAGCCATGTCTTCAAATTTCTTCTTTTGACTGATTTCCTGTCAACATTGACAGTAAAAAGCAGCAAGAGATCCCCAAACCTGCAGAGTTTTGAAATTTCTGCTGAAAAATGACGGAAATGTTTCATAAATTATCAAAATAGTTGGCAAGTAATTTTCCTCATCAACAACTTCATTAATTATCGCAGCTCCACTTTCCAGAGCCTGAGGCGACTTCCTCCAGTCCTCATTGTTTTGTCAGGTTTTGTTTTTTAAAGATCAACAGTTCACACTAAAAAAGATGTTACATTATCTATAATTAACCAGAACAGTGATTAAATCATTGAAATTATTATTTTAGCAAAAAAGTTTAATTTTTGTTGTTTTGAGCCATATGAGAGATGTTTTGATTGATAATGTCAGCATGAAAAAACCCTCAAAAACAAAGATATTAGTATTGAATATGCAGCAAGGGCCCGTAGTAACTGACCTCATGTCCTTTACAAGTGAACCAAGGCCAGCCTCCAGTTATTGACCAGAGCAATCGGATTTCCATCAACATGGAAAACAACTTAGCAGTAAGTTTCCAAAGAGCATGCACCAGCCCATAACATGGACCACCTCACATGCCTCTCTGCATGCTTTTGGGACTGGGGTACAAAGGCTGAACAGTCCTACTAACAGGCCCTCAACTTCAATATGAACAATCATACTTCTTCTCTGGTAGAGAGAATTTGATTTAAAGGCCTGCCTCTGACCTAAGCCTGCCTCATATAAAAACCCAATGAAGAGGTACTCTGAGGTATGTTTTTAAAGTTTATTGTAAAAAAAAAACAGAAAGTTTTTTCATGGCTGTGAAAGTGAACTGAATAGTATGTTGGTAAGCAACTTTTGTCATCTAAAAATTGTGCTGTATCTTAAACAGCGATCTGACAAATAGAGCAGTATAAGTGGCAAAGAGAAGTAGTGTAACAGTATTTTACCCAGAAGATGGTGCTCAAAGAAACAAATGACTGTTTCAGTGTACAGAGCATGCTGGATACCCTAACTGTGGTCAAACCGTGTCTCCTTTATAATGACCTTTCCCCCTCTTTTGGTTGTAATCATTTATTTTCAGGAAGCAGAGACATATTATTCAGTAAATAAATCTTGAGTGCTATTCTGACTGAAAAGGCTCTTCAGCTCAAGAAGACCAGAGACCAACAGTAGGGGGTCACGTCTGTGTAAACTGGTCTGTCAGGCTGAGTATCTTTGGTAGCTGCTGATAACAGTTCATATAACTGAAAGAGCTTCACGTCTGCAGAGAAATGCAATGGAGGAACATATTCTGAAATGAATACAGGGATTTTCCTAAGATACTAATTTACTTTTCCTCCTGACAGAAATTGAATTAAATGAAAGAATAAGAGCCAGTGGATTATACATAAGAATAAAGATGACAGAAATAAGACTGCAGTACATACAGATATTACATACATCCAAGCTTACTGACTTGTTGTGATTGGATACAGAAATATCTCATTTAGTTATTTCAAATTCAGATAAGTTGGTTTGAGGCAGCTAGGGCAATAACTTTTTTAACTCAGAGAACACGTTTATTTTTATTTTTTTACAGTGTATGTAAGTTTAACCAAACACAACATACATACAGCTTTATCTGAGTTTTCTGTCATTGATCTCCTGTTTAATATATGTGCGTATTTACACCGTGGAATGTAGCCATAAAGAAGAAGCTCAAGTATTTGATTGTCATGTTGGTGTTACTATGATTAAAGTATCAATAACTCACTGATCATATGATTGATTATGTTGCTGATTAGCGGGGATGAGGATGTTTAATGGTTTAGTCGACTTCATCCCTGTTTAATCCTTGAATCCTCTGTGAATAGAATAATATTGATTGTTGTTTTAAAAACTCAAGTGTGAGCTGTCTCACCTCTTAAGGAAAAGAGATCTGAGCTGTCAATCAGCTGTCCTGCGGCGTTTCTTCAGGCTGACCTGGAGGTCTCTACTGGTCTCTGCTCTTTGTCACATGATCACCACTTCATCCTGCTGGAGTCCTCGTCCTATGAGAGAGAGTTAGTAGTTTTACCGAATCACCTAAATGTCATAGTTTTAATGCCTTTCTGTTTGTATGTTTTTTGTTTTCCCCAGGACAATATGGATTTGGGAGATGAAGAGGAGGAGGATGAGAAGGTGTGTACCTGCTGTGTGTGTCAGCTCTTTGTATATTTCTGTATATAGTGATAAATAGAAAAGCAGTTAGCTTTATTTGCTCATGTTGACAAAAGACTCTGCGTCTGATCTGTGATTTTCTGTCCTAAAGCTCTTCATTCAGCTCTAAATCTTCTGATGCATTTTGATTCCCGCCAGCCTCCACTTGTATTTTTTGTAAACTTGCAGTTAGCGGAAGACATTTAGGGTTAATGAAGACCTCAGCAGCCCGTTCCCACTTGTCACAGCACATTCATATGCTAATGGGGGGGCGGGGGAAGGAGGTTCTGCTGCATTTGGGAAAGTCCCTGAGCTTAACACGCCATATAATACCATCAATATGGAACTAATGACAGCACTTAGACATGCCTTTTCAGAGCTCGTCTCAAAGTTTGTGTTCAAAGTGTTACAATGCTTTTAGGCAAGGAAATATTTCTTCACAATGACAGCCGTTTATGGCAGACGTTTTGAATGGTGTGCGTGGGCTTGATGTGAAGTGCTTCTCATAGTGGTTCCAGTGGGAACACGACCCTGAAATGGCTGAAGTGGTTAAATGCAGTGAGTAGGTTTGATGGATATTAGACCGGGATGAAAGTAAATTGTCTTACATGTGATTTTTGGGGGATTGATAGTCACTGTGCATCTGGAAAATGGCAGGTTTGATCCTCTCTGCAGCTCTTTTCCCAGGCTCGTCCTCCCACCGCCGCGTGGAAAAGAGCCAGAGATTCTCCGAGAAAAAGAGCAGCAAACATTTATCACAAAGATCCTGTAGTGACAAAAACCATGGCTTCAGCTATAAAAAAGCCCTTTATGACCGTCCTCACAGACCTCATCTCTCTCTTTAGTCCTCCTCCTCCTCCTCCACTCTGTGTTTGATGTGGACATGTGTCCGTGTCTCCATCTGAAGTCTCTGTTTACTTTGAAGCCGTCCGTCCCTCCTGGGAGCTGGACTAGCCTGAGAACAGTTGCTTTTTTCTTTCATAATGTAAAGTCCAGTCCCCATCTGAAGAGCTTTCACCCCAAAAAGTCAGCTTTTAAACTGTGTCCTGAAGTTTCTGCTTTTTCAGTTACATTTAGCAGAAACTGGCACAAATGTGAACCGAGCATATTTCACGATTTTTCTCAGAAACACTTTAAGAGGTTTTTATGAATAACACTTGCGGGAATCGAAACTGCGGCCTTGAGGATTTGTCGGATGTGTCTGGATGGATAAAGAGGAGCTGCTCTGTTATTGTATTGTGTAGCTGACAGAGACATGCCATTCTGTATTTGTGACATATTTATTTATTTTCATGCTTTTCTGTTTCAAATCAAACAAAAATAAAAAATTTACCTAAACTCAGTGTGAGTAGATCTTAAAATGAAAAACACGTTCATTGTTTTATTACAAAGTCTTTCCGGTTTTAGTTTTAGTGACCCACTTTATCATCAAGTCATTTGTGATTCTCACTTTTAAAGAAGCCACTCAGGATTACGTGTAAAATAACACAATAAACCAAGAACAAAACACCAATTTAAATCTGTGTTTATATGCTGAGCCACAAAAGTACTACCAGTTTGTTTCTCCAGTCCTTTCCACTGGTTTTACAGCTTAATCACCTTTTTAACTATGGTTTTATTTTATTAGTTTAATGCTATATCACACTTTGAACTTTTAGAGAAAACTAAGTGATATTTGATCAATCTTTAATAAGTTTTTATAAAAGAAGAGGAAAAATATTTTTACTTCTACTTTCTACTCAGTACATTTTCTCACCTCCTTTAACACACGTGGATTATATTCAACTTAATGTCTTGATTAATTTATTTCTTTCCACTGCAGGAGTCAGAGAGAAGAGGGCTGATGGAGAAAATCCACATGGTCCAAGAAACCATCATCACCCTTCAGACCCTGCTGGACGCGATCGCCTGTTTTGGGGAGAGGATTAAAAAGTGAGAATAAAAGATTCATAATGCGTCTCGCTGCAGTAAAATATTCATTTGTATTTCAGCTGGAGGACCTTGACTGTTTACAATCACAGAAGGAAAAAATTCTCACTTTTTTTATTGTCATGTAAAAGTTTACTTATGAGTTACTCTGGAGTATAGCAGGGCAGCATTTATCCTTGATCCTCAGTGAGTACTGTTGTATTAAATGTAAATCAACCCTAAACAAATACTCCTACTCCTCCTCCCCCTCATTAAAGCAGATTTTTGGTGTATTTGCGTTTTTCAGCACTTTTAACTGGTCCGTGCCGTTCCTGTCCGGCTTGGCTTTCCTGATCTTCGTCATAGCAACAATCATCACATACTACATCCCTGTACGCTACATAGTCTTATTATGGGGTGAGTCTGAACCTGTTTTTTTTCTTTTTATGTCCTCAGTTTTGTGTTTATTTCTGTTTGAACTGACCTTGTCTTATCGCATCATAAAACCCACGTTCATTATCTTTTACAAGTTGTTTTCACGTTTAAGAAAAAAAAAAGAAAATCCACCTCCTTTATTTCTTTGAGTTTTTTTTCCTCTTTGCAGATTATTGAAGTCACAGGAACGTGGATTTTCAGGCTGTCCTTTCATTGCAATAATACATGAATTAAAGCACAGCTCATTGTTCAGGGATTCTTGTCGGACTGTCTCGGGTGTAGGTTGTTGCTGTTTTTCCAGCCCTCAAAGTGAAAGTAAAACAAAAAAAAAGGCACACACAGACTGTGGTTCTCGAGGCAATATTTTCTTGGACAACATGAGTCTCCTCTTACTTGTTTGTGTGGAAACAAAGAGCGCAGCCACAGGAGACTAGTGCTAATGATATGTTGGTGTGAATCTCTGTTTTAGGTATCAATAAATTCACCAAGAAACTACGGAACCCGTACAGCATTGACAACAATGAAGTGCTTGATTTCCTGTCGAGGGTGCCTTCAGATGTGCAGAAGGTAAGCCCCGCCGGATCAGCCGGCCAGGAAGCCCGAAATCCCAGAGCCCTGCAGCTTTGAGTTTTACTACAACAACTCCCAGGCATTCGGCTCTCCTGTCTGTATAATTAGCTTCGTCTGTATAATTATGTAGCCCTGTATAATTTCTGTTGTGTTTTGGTCATGAGACATCCCTGGTGGAGGTCTGCTGTTCCCAGGATGAGACAGGAGACGCTGCTGCTTCTGCTGCGGCTGCTGGTGTCTCCAGCATGAACTCAGAAAGAGTGCAACATCACAAGCACACAAAAGAGTGTCAAAAGCAGAATCATTTACATCCATTTGGATGGAAAATAATCTGATTCTCTCTACAAAAGTCTGCAGGATTTTGCATCAGTGCTCCAAGATGAAAACCTCATGATAATAAAGCAGACACTTTTCTGTTAATCTGAGAAAAGGAAATCTACCGGCACCTCTCATATTTATTTCTCCTCTATTCATGGTCATCTGTGCAGCCACCTCTCCTTTCTTTATTCCCTCTCTCCTCTGTTGCCTCTCCTCCTCCTCCTCCTCCTCTTTCTCTGTCTCTGTCTGTCTCTCTCTAAGCTGTTTGACCCCGTTTGCCTCCTCCTTTGATGCCCTTGGGCCTCTGGGTGCAGTGACTCGCGCTCTCTCTCTAGTCTCTCTGCTGACCACTGTCTTTCTGTCCTCTCCGCTACATTCATCCTGCCCTGCTGAGGTTCTGCATTATCAACATGCACAATCTGAGAAATCATAGTTCTTCAGCAGCAGAAAATCTAAGAAAGTAGAGCCAGAATAACAAGCTTTCAAATATCAGTGGCTGGCAGCCTGACGCCTGTATACTTTAGACGCTTTCTGAGTGATGAGGTTGCTCTTTGTGTCTTGCAGGTTCAGTACAGCGAGATAAGAGGCAACAAGAAGAAGAAGATCTTGTAGACCATCGAGGGACAGCGTAGAAGCTGAACCTGCTGTCCGTTGCTGAAAAGTGTCTGCCGAGGACCTTCTGGAGGTCTGCAGAGTCTCAGTGCTCTGTAGCTTTGACTCATGACCCGCTGCAGAACCACTTCCATTGATCAGACCCCTAAACCAAAGAAGTACAGACTCACTGTACCACGATTTGATGCTGATTATTCTGGTGTTTTTTTTTTTTTTTGCGCTTTTCTGGAATTATGTGTAAGAGTTTCTCCAAAGAGTATGTGTTTATTTGTTTGTACAGATCATTTTTAAAGATGAACAATTAGAAGCTGCTTGATTTGATGATCTCTGCTCGAGGTTTGTCCTCCTGAAAGCAGCTGAAATATCAGGCTGAATATTACTGAATGTATATGTCTGACTACATCTACATGTTTTTATCATATTCACATTGATTTAGATCTCAAATTTTAACCTTCAGTAGTGAATATATAATCCATTATTTAAAAGAGCATCTGTTTTTTCAGGATCAGTGTCATTGTGGATCAGTTTTAAAGTGAGAATTATTGTCAGGCCATTTCCTAGAGACATTTTGCACTTGGGTCTTTTTCACACAGATCATACTGCCCATACACTGAAACATATCAAACAAGATTTTATGCATTATATTTCTATGTTTCTCATATTAGATCTACATTTGCTCAGACAGCATTGAAAGAGTCATTGAACTAAATGACAACACAGATTCATATGAACATGCAAAGAGAAGTGCCTGACATGAAAGTTCTTAGTTTCATACAAACGGGGCTCCCTCTGCCTCTTTGTAAATTTGATTCTCTGCTCGTGAGGTAAGGGTCCAGATCTGCGCACACCTCACTTTATTTATTAATGGCAATCACTGATGAAGACTTTTCGTCTCATTTCTAGCAGCAATAAATGCACTCGACCACACACTGAGTCTGTTTTTTCCTCCTTCTCTGTGTCTCCGCTCCATGAATTCCCCTGCACGCTGTATTCTCCCTCCTCTCTGTGCTGCAGGATTGTGGGCGTCTAACTGCACTTTTTCAGAGCCCCCTCTCTTCATTAGGCTTTCATGAAGCGAGACGAGGCTGTGCGAGACCTTGCCGGCACCCGGGCTCCCCGCTGTGTTGATGGCCCTTGGGCGTCGCCACTAGCAGGAGGACCTCCGCGACCTCCTCTCAGCTGCTGTGACGAGACGCCTGCAGCCAGCATCCTATCAAGCACAGCAGCCAGACGGACCTGCAGCAGCTCGCAGGCTGCACACTGCTCAGGAGCAGGAGGAGGTTTTTAAAACCAGCCACAAGCAACAACAGCACCAACCAATTTAGGGATTGGAGAATCGGAGTAGTTAAGATGTTGGCGCTCACAGTAATACCCGGGGATTTCTGCCTTTTAAGTCAGAACGCGTGGGCTCTCTTCTGCAGCCTCTGAAATGTGGAAAATCAGAGGGAAACTACTCTCAAATAGAATCACAGTCCCCTTAGTTGAGCATCAAATGATACCAAGTGTTTTGCTTAAGTTATAATGTTTGATTACTGAAAGCAGCAGATTCTTAGGATGTATATTTGATATCTATTAACACCAGGTTGTTGAAAACACCAAATGAATCACCTGTAAAGAGATGAACCTTATATACTTTAACTTTCCCATGAACATGCAGCACAAATAACTAATGTCCTACACAATGCTGCTGCTGCTGCATACACACTAATGTGATGATTTGTCAAATTGTCTGGAGGACAGAGGATGAGGAGAGTGTGGCAGACGATGACCCGTGTATCTCTTCATCTAGTTATAATGTTGACTTAGGTATTCAATATTAATAACCCGCTGTCAAGGACACGAGGAGGACATCTCAATTTGACACTTATAGGCTCAGCATGAATATGTAACAGCAGCGAGACGCGTCAAAATTACCAAGTAAAATCACAGTTCACACGTGGGGACTAATGTGAGTTGGCACACGCATCCTGATGAGCCGCAAATACAGCAGCTGATCGGTCTCTAAAGACTTGTTATAAGTCCAAACTGGACCTGAAATCTGCAGCTGTGTGCATGTGCACATTTGTTCATATGTGTGTGCAGTCAGACAGCGGAGCTGTTTTACAGTGAAGCTCTGCAGAGGCTGAGAATGTCCACTATTATCCGCTGTACTAACTGCACTAACTGATCGATAAGTGTACCTAGAATGGTTTAGATGTGTTTGTGTGTGAGCAGGAAGGGGTCTGCTGCTCAGGAGGTGACACAGTGTTTAAGTGTTTCCCAGCCTAAAACAGCAGCAGTAGCAGAACAGGTGTGTTTTCCTCCTGCCTCACTTGGTCTCAGTTTCTTCCACATTTCACCGTCAGACGGTTCCTGTTGTCAGAAACAGAGCAGGCGCTGAACTCTTATCATGAGTTGTATATTAATTTTCATGACAAAAGCTCATAGAGCGCAGCATAAAGGCCCAATTATAGTTAACCTTCATGCTGGAAGCTGATTGGATCCAAACAAAACACTCATCACTTCACAGAGAGCAGTAGAGTCAGTATCATATCTGCTCATTCTTTCAAAAATCTGTTTTCAAACATCCCCACTCATCAGAAGAGATGTATAATTATCATCAAATTGTTCTGATTACGAGAATAATCATCTACTCCCATCAGTGCTGTTAACCTTTCAATAGAAACAGTTAATCTGCTAATGTGCTTAATAAAGTGAAGCTCTTCAGTCGGCTGCATTTGAGTAAGAGTGAACTTTTCTTTCATTCAGGGCTCAAAAAAGTAATAAAAATATCTGCTCTCTCTCTCCTGGATGTGAATGGGAATAGCTGGCACTTTGTATAGCAGCTTTCCATGGTTGTATGAATGTGTCTATGTGAAAGGGTGATTGTGACATGAAGTAAACAAGAGTTTGTAAGTGCAGTCCACTTACTATTTGCCAATCTTTACAGTCAAACTTTATTTAGCGATACAGATCCTTTCATACACAAGGCGACACACACTGCTTTACATTAGACAGAAGAGAAGATACCAGTTTGAAACTACAAGAAACAGCACGCTGCATGAATATGCATATGCACATAATGCATGAACATGCAGATATCATTAGCAAATGTGTCCAAATTCGTGGAAAAATAAGAAAATGTCCAGCAGAGTTCTCACTTAAGCCAAAATCATCAGTTTATTTTTAGCTCATCTGCGTTCAACTACCTCACCCTGGACTTCAAACATTTCACTTCTTGCGTTTCGTTTCATCCTCATTCAACAATCATTGCTGAATATAATGAGCTTGATTGTGACCATGTGGACTGCTCACATGCCCCCGTTCCTCCCCACAGTGTTTACAATCCTTCTGGGAGTCTGGGTTCAGGTAAATCACAGGCGCAATGTGTTGGAGCTGGGCTGCTGCCCAGAGGCTGTGGGGCGACTGTGACGTCCCCGAGCTGACCAACATCAAAGCTCGGATCCAGAAGAGCCCGAGGCTACGAGGAGCCGACAGCTCTGACTGACAGAAGAGACACACAATGACTTCATTTCTTACAGAGGGAGGCCAGATCATCAATTCTAAGTTTGGCCTTTGTTTTATTATTTAAAAAAAAAAAGATCTACAGACTTCTGGAAAAGCAATTTAAATGTTTTATCTTAAAGAGCAGGGCTGGCAAAGATAAACATTTCAATTTTAATTTGGACATTAATTACTATAAAAAAGAATTAAAATGATCTCTCTGCACTGTTAAACTTCACTAGGCTGCATGAACTAGTTCCTGCTGCACATCTTTGAAAAGTGTCTTTGAAGCAGCTCAAGCTTAAGCATCTCAGACACAGTTTGGACACACTGAGTAGAAACCTTAATTAAACAGTAAATACTTTTTGATCATAGGTCTTAAAGCTTATTTGTCTGACTGTACTGTTAATTTGAGCTTATTATATTGAGTTTATATTCTGTCCCTGAATTGTATTATTTATTCTGCCATGTGCTGCTGACCTCTTAGCCAGGTCACCCTTGGAAAAGAGATCTCAATCTTCTTGTTTCTGTCTTGGCCCTGTCTCTTATTAAAAGGGTCCAATGTGCCCCAACAACCTCCCTATAAGTGAGAGTAGACCCAAAGCAACTCCAGGAGGTTTGAATGGAAATCTGAATTCTGGCTGACTGACTAGTCCACAGATAAAAAAGCATTAAAAACAGCCAAAAATGAGAACACTTTATTAATCATGGCTAAACACAGGATCACAGAGTATTTAGATAGATCATCTGTGCTCGTTTACATCTGGGTAGTGAAGCATTATTTCAGCAATTAAGTGAAACTACAGCTCTGGCTGGTGGCAGATGACTGTGGATGTCTTACTATCAGCTAACCCTGGTGTTACATTTAACATTTTCCCTGTTGAGGAATTGAATTGAAAGTCTTAATTAACTCTATGTTCTGTAATAAAAATGTCATACAATTTAAATATATAACTCCCTTGAATAGTATCATGATGTTTTTGCAGTGAGATTTAAAACACAAAGTCCAAACCCAACCTTGATTGGGGCATTGCAGCGTACCTGAACCTTAGCCCAGTAAACTCTGCATGAAAAGGGTGGTGAGCAGTGTTGCCACAGTTAATTTTAAAAGGGCAATTTGATCACTGATTACGGATTACTCCTTTAAAAAGTAACTAAGTTACTTTACTGATTACTTGATTTTTAAGTAACTAAGGTACTTTTTAAGTTACAGTAAATTCAGCAGCCTCAACAAATGAATGACAACCATTTTCTTTCCAACACTCACTTTATTGGAAGTGTTATTTTAACAGTTATGTTAGAAAATATGTTTGTTTTTTTTATTATTATTTTTTTAAATTTATTTTTAAATAAAGATAGTCTTTTTTGACTGACAATATAAACACTTTTTTAAATAAAATATTAAAAAAAGACAGTCTTAAAATAGTGGCTGCATTTCCAGCTTGAGAACGCGCATCTCTCTCCTCCCTCTATTGTTGTTTATGTTCCTTTTGCTGCGGCTGTTTCATGTGTGTGCACATGTATTACACATGAGTGGTCCTGGTGCTGAAAACATGACTTTTTGCCAACGAGACCTACGTCTGCCCAGACGAAAAAATCTTTTTTCAAGGAAAATGAGAAAAAAAAATACACACAATATCATGGACATGTAACTTAAATCTAATTATTGAATTAGGAACGCGTCAGATTTCTTGTTACTGAAAAAAGTGGATTTATGAGAGTAGCGTGTTACTAACGAAACTCGTAACTGGCATCACTGGTGGTGAGAGTTTTTGAGGGTGGTTTTTGCCCTCTCAGTGGCTCTGACATGATCAACATGACTGAGATCAGTCAGGTTAATGTCATGAAGCACTGTTTGGCAGTATTTCCTGTTTTTGTTAACATTGCTGGGGTTACTGAGCTACCAGATCATCAAAAGTCTCTGATTAGCTTTCTGCAGATGTCATCAGAGTGAGTGCCAAAGGTCAGTTTGTTTGTAAGGCTGTTCCAAAGCATTTACTGTCTCTACAGCTGATCCACCGATGAAAGTTCAAACCCTGACTGGAAAATCATTTCTTTAGTTTTGGAGACATGCAGTCATCACAGCTGCTGTTTAGGTGAAGCAACTCAAGGTGTATAAGATGGCATGAATCAGCACACAATTTGACTGGACCGAGTTTTTCCATCAGTCAAGCCCACATTTCTTATGTCATTCATCAGTCCTCCTCACACACTGCAGTGTCATTGTTTATAAGCCAAAAAAGCTTCCCAGTTTTTTCCTTTAAACACATTTAGAGCATAAACAATACAATTAAATTAGGCTGTTGTGTTTGTAGCCCTTCAGGATCAGTCATTTTGGCAGAATCACACTCTGTCTCTCATCTCTTGGATTTGTTTTGGACCTTGGAGCCTTTTTGAATTTTTTTGTCCTGTTTTAATCAAGTTTTACATGAGTCTGCCGTGCTAAGCTGCTAACCAGATTATCTGTGCACCTTTGTTTCTTATTCAATTATGTTACACCATTAGAGTAACAGAAATTTAAGGGATTTGTCTCTGTATATCAGATAGCAGACAGCTACTTCAAATTACTCATCTGGTGCGGTTATGACCACGTCAGTGTGGTAGCATCGATGGGAGGGAGAATATCTCACACAGTAAACTCATGCAGAGGCCAATGATCAGTCAGACATGAGCTTTCTATCTTGGAGATGAAGGTAACACTGTATTTTTCCCTACTCAAGGTGGAGGACAAGGATAAAGAGGTGAGTTGAGTTCCATGTGCAGAGATTTTATCCTTTTTTATCACCTCCAAGATGTGTAATCCTCAACTGTGTCCCAATCCAGGGGCTGCAGCCTTCAAAGGATCAGGCCAAACTGGATGGAGTTGGTGTACCCTTCACAGGATTACATGCTTACATCACTAACCTGACAAGACCTGGGAAAAGTAAGATACATTTGAACATCCTCCACATCTGTAGGAGCCTTTAAAAAGAGACCACCCTAAATGTACCACTGAGACACATTCAGTCCTCAAACACCGTCTCTGAAGGCTGTAGATCCTGAATTGGTACACAGCTCTAATTTAAACAATAAATAATAAAGTGCCTAACTAAACAGCAAATTTCAGCTAAGCTATCTGCCAGAGAACCTGGTGCTCAAAACACGCATAGTTCATCATACCAAGGAGGGGAGCCGCTCAAGCCAAATGGCCACAACTTAAGTTAAAATCACCAACTTCAATTTAGGTCTTCAGATCATTTTCAAAGAGGAGAGAGAAGATTAACATCAGTGATGCAAGATTTACAAAATGAAACATTTAAATGAGCAACAGAGGCAGAAGAGTCTGAAGTTTGCTTGGACTTTATTACAGAAACCAGAAAAGATTAACTCTAAAACATCAGCTTTGGAGCTCAGCATCCGTAGAGCAGGTTGATCCTCCTGATGTCCCAGTAGGACATGCCCCTCCTCTGGCCGATCTGGACCTTGGGGTCTGGGATGGGGGTGATGGAGTCTCTCCCGTTGATGGAGAAGGCTGTTCTTCCATAGTGCATGATGGAGGAGTAGTCGTAGGGAGTGTTGAGGTTGTTGGTGGACTGCCTGTAGAAGTTGTAGGACATCTGTGAGTTGATGTTCTGCCAGTTGATCCGGACGTAGCGGTCTCTGTCACTCCTGGTCTGTTCGTGCTGGAAGCCCAGAGCGTGGTTGATCTCGTGCTGGATGATGCCATGGTAGAGGCAGCCCCGCCTGTTGAGAGAGAGCACCTGTCTGCCTCCCTGTCTGCCCAGAGAGGAGAAACACCCAGCTCTGCTCTCGATGCTGATGTGGTCGTACTGGTTGGTACGGGGGACGAAGCGGATGCAGGTTCTGCTGTGGTACACCTTCATGGCGTAGTCCATCATCCGCCTCTCCCTCCTGGTGAACTGGCCACTCACGGTGAAGGGGATCATCACCAGGCCGTTGGAGGCTTTCTTCCACAGGCACTTCTGGTACCAGCACTTGATGGCGTTTCTGGTTCGGGGAGCCAGCAGGTCTCCTTCCAGCAGGATCTCATCCGTGGCATTGTTAGAGGTCAGGATCCTGGTGGTGATGTCCACATTGTCCAGGACTTCTTCTTCTATGTCTATGTCTTCTTCCACATCTTTGTCTACTTGTGCTTCTTCTCCATTGTCTGTGCTTCCTTCCTCCTGGAGAGAAAGTGCCTGAGAGAGGCCGAGCAGGAGAAGCAGCAGCAGGCTGGCAGAGGGACTCATCTTCAGGGTGTCTCTGGAGGCTGTGGAGCTTCTGTGGAGAGCTGCTGTGGAGAGAGACTCCTTGAAGCTGCTTGATGGTGGACTCTGGTCAGTCCACGCTCTTTATACTCTCTTCTACAGGTGTGTCTGCAGGAGGATTATGGGTTGGGGTCCTCTTTGTTAGGCCAAAATAAATCTGCTGAGGGAGGACTCCACAGACAAACCCACTCTCTAAACATTGGATCTAATCTCTGTCCACTTTGTCCTCTTTTTGCTCTCTTTGGCTTTGCTGGTGTTGTGTTTCTTTGTTTAACAGCTTATGCCAACCTTCAATGATAAATCTTACAGGCTCAAATGAGAATAATGTGACCTAAATACAGTTTCCTCACTCTCTGATGACCTGGGTAATTGAAATCCCCGGTGCACCTCTTATGACAAGCTGTTAAAGTTGTAGCAGAAGCTGCGTGTCCCTCTGTGAGGATGATAGACGGCCTATTGAAACTCCTGCATATGTAGAGGATGCTAATAGGCTCCTGAGGGACGTGTTGCTGTGGCCATGCTCAAGAGGGTCCTCTGATAATGTAAAAAAAGAAAAAGAGTATGAAACAGTCAGTGCTATTGTACGAAACCATCATGGCTGCCTGTCCATCAAGGACATTTGTTTACCAATGCAGACAGGCTCATTTATTATATATGTTCCTTTGAATGAGTTTGTTTAAGTTTGATCACACATAATGCAACTATGACTGTTTTCTACTTTTCTCTATTTTATTTTATTTTTAAACTTTAACCAGAAAATAGATTTTTTTTTATTTCAGAGCAGATCCTTTCATGTTCCCTCGATGAACAAACAAACACACATCCAGCCTTGTGTGGTTGTTTATTGGTGTTAAACTGTAAAATAATGATCCAGTGTGTGCTCTTGTCTCAGGAAAATATGGACTCTGGATTTGTTCAATTTAATTATCACATATAAGCCCACTACACCTTCCTTGAATCCTGGCTTCATATTAAGTGTAAAGATGAATTGTGAAAAGAATGTGTGTTTTCTCTCAAGCCCCCTCCCCTCCCTCAATCTCATCAGCCACCGTGATTAAGGTTTGGCATTGGGGATTGTGCTGTCTTTTTGGAGAGATATTTCAGCTGCATTTCTGACACTCTGAAAGGATAGGAAGATAAAGGAGGCGTCGGGGAAAAAACTCCTTCCCGTTGTGTGAGTCCTAGAGAGGGCCTTGAACCCTGCCATTCACGCCTTTCTCTCCATCAGCTGAGTCTAATTGCCAGAGAGGACAGGAGACCCCGGGCCCGATCGTTCCTTATCCTCTTTAGCGCTTTCAGGCCAGTGAAAGGCGAGCTTCTGCTTTTGATCTTTTCTCTGATTCCCTTTTTCTTCTCTGTCATCCCTACCATCCTCTCCTCAGGAGTGACACCAGCTCCTTTCACTGCCTGCCCCCGTCTCCATCTGCCCAAAATAATGACCAAGGCCCAGGCTTTATTAAGCAGAGGTGGAGAAGGGAGGTCAGCACCGCAAGAGGGAGAGGGAGGTCTGGATGGGGACTCCAAACTTGTCTAAGGAGGGGTGCCCCTTTTCCAAATCTACTCCGTAGCCTCTCGGATTCATCCCTTACAGTTTTCGTGGCCTTAGCCTGCAGAAAGCCCATTCTTCAGCGGGCCGTGGACTTGAAGGCTCGTCCTTTCCCAGAGACGCTGCTACAATAAGACCCCGGGCTGCTTGAGACAATGGCGCCTGTGTGATCTCGCAGCCAGACTCGGGATGAGACGATGCCTTGCTTGCCAGTCCCATGGGAGGGTGGACCCAGTGGTCATTGTTGACAGCTAATGGACAGCATCTTTCCACTGGCAGGCCCCCCTGCAGACTGTGTCACTTTAGGTTGCTTAATAACAACACTCTGGCCGGACTGACGAAGGAATTCTATCGAGAACAGCAGTTTGTTTGCAGATGAAAATCATTCCCCTCACAAATCTGAAAAGCTAACACTGGGGGGTGATTGGATGAATGCAGCAGGCAAGCAAAGACAGCATTCAGCGAGGAAATTCAATATAACTTATGAAAAGAGAAGCTGGTCGTATGTCTGAAAAGACCAGAGCTGGAATCGCTTCATTCAGCAGGAACATCCAAATTACTGCATTTGTTTTACTACAGCCAGAGCAGATTGGAGTGTTGTCATGCATATTAGTTCACAATTCAATGTTGAACATGTATGTAAGTTGAAAATGAAGACTGTGAGTTTGAACTGAATCTGTTTTGGTTGTAAGAATGTCTGATAAGCCATTTCTCTGTTCACTGCTCGGTGCTCCCATACAGAGGAAGATCATGCGATCCAAGTAAAGGTACAAACAAAACTGTTTAAACCTTTATCTTTGCCAGTGTGTACTTTTTAAGCTGTATTTCATTTATTGACACGCGCACTTTCACTGCACAAGTGCTCTTTTAACATGATTGAGGCTGCGCTCAGGGATACTAACAGTGCTGCGGACTGTTTTGTTGTCCTTGGTGCATTTTCGTGATTAACACAGAGAGGCTGTGAGCTAAAAAGGAGAAATAACAACTCTGAAAGGATTCTCTGCTTCATGCGGCCAAACTCCCCATATAGGTAGAAAAAAAAGCTACATTCATGTTCATGTTTACCAATCAGCATCAGCATTCACTTTCTTAATGCACCAAAAATTTGGTTTTAGTTGTAAACATGGGCATAATGGCGGAGGGAAAAGTGGGAATAACTGCACAAAGGAGGGAGGAGCCTCAAGCAGGGTTGTTGCAATTCATCAGTACTGACTCTAAAATAGTGACATGCTTAAGATAAACTCACAGTTATACCATCATTGGTCTGCAGTAGAGGGCCTTGGCTCTTTACCTGCCATAAAACACATGGAGGACCTAGCTAGCTGTAGCAGCCCTCCAAAATATGCTTGAACTCTAGAGTTCATGTTACAAGATCAAACTTAAAAATTGTTTCCTTTGACTATTTTCAATTGGTTTCATAACTTGCTACGTTTTTAAAATATGAGAAATAAAGCAGCCTAAAGCAAGATGGTAACTAAACTAAACTAAAAGCATTAATAACAAAAGTTTTTTTTGGCAGTCTCTTTTCTAACAAGGTGTCTGTCACAGGGCCTGTGATGCAAAAGAAAACCTTGAACATAATGAGAAATGGATGATGGTATTCGTGATTCACTTGAGTTTGCTGGAAAAAAGATCATGAGGGACTGTGTTGCCTTATCATTGTCCTGTTATTTCTAATGTGACAGACTCTTAATTTTTTTCCTTTAAAAACATTGTGATATCATTGTCATGAGGTTTTTTTTTTAGCTCGATAGGAATTAGGCAAAAGGACAGTACTGTTAAAATCCTTGCCTAAAATGTAAAAATAGATTCTAATTTCTGTTTTTCATTTCTCTTTAAACAGTCGAAACTTAAAGAAGTGAGCTGGATAAAAGGTGGTTCTTAAAGTTGCAGCATGTAGTATTTGTGGTGTTTAGCTAAACAGATTTGATAGAAATGGTATATAATGTTCCTAATAAGGCTGTCACTAAATCTAATTTTCACCTCGTGGTTATCATGACCATTTATTATCACATTATCAGTATTATCATATTTATGGAAAATTTGACATTTAAAACCTCACAGTGAGTAAAATTTAAGAAAGGCAAGACAAGAGTGGAGCGACAAAACTAAATATATGTTCAGAAATATTACCTAAATTTGATCAATAAATACATTGAACTGATATGTGATCCTATTCATCTAATTATGTTCATATGTACTATCCATTTACAGCATTGGCTGTTTGACAGAAACTTCTTTTAAGCGGACATTGACTGATAAAACAATTTTTGGTTGTTTATTTTGAAAGTTTTTCTGTCTCACGTTTAGGTTGCTTTATGTCCTTCATTGTTAATGCTTTTATTTTGAAGTATGAAATACTTCTTTTAGATTGTAAGTGCTGGAAACTTATAAAAACAGCTGTGGCGAACAGTGGTGTGAATGTTCAATCAATCAATGTTGCATTTACGAAAAATCATCTAATTTGTGTTTTTTAAAGTGCTGAGTCATCTCTTTAGGGAGCTGCTTCACAGGCCTCTTCATCATCTCTCTTTGCTTTATGGCAGTGGCAGACAGCATAAAAGACTTTAACTTTGACCTCATGCTATTACCATTTGCTTTTTTTCAGCCTGAATATTTGAAGCCGCAAAATGCCGGATATATACTTAATAAAATCACTTTAATAATAATCAGACAGCAGCCAGTCTATCCCCCTCCAAAGTCACAATTGCGGCACAGATTTGTTTTGACTTGAGGGGGCCCATTGGGTTGCCAAGACCAGTAATCATGACTAACCAATGGGTGTTTTCAGTGATATAGTCAGACAAGCAAGTTTGGATACTGCATATCACTAGCCGACAGGTAAGTCATAAGCAGCAGGATTTCTTATTTAACATGGCTGCAAGTAATGATGAGCATTGTATCAAGACACAGCAATAATACTATTTACACACATGGCTGGCAAAGCAACAATGGGCTCTCAACAACATGAGCAGATAGCTAATCACTAGAACATGAACATGGGGAACTGGGCCAACAGCTGTTTGCTGATGTCATAATGAAACAACTCCAAGTGTATGACTACATTTCCCTTCATTTAGGAGTGAGATTACAGTACACATCAAAGAAACATTTACACAATGAAGAACTCATTAACTGACATTTTCCAAGCAGAGTTTCAGCCCCTCCTGAAGCTTTAATGTCAACCCGTATGCGTGTCAATGTCAGGAAGAAGGGTTTGGGGGATACAGTGCTCATCAATGTTTTGTGGACTGCAGTAAAAAGCTAGGTGTCAGAACTGCGTATTGCACCTTTGATATTTTAATAAATTGTCATGACTCTTACCGTCATGACTGGAAGAGTATATTGTGACAGCCCTATCTCCTACTTTTGTTTAAATAACTGTTTAATCACTTGAATATAAGAGTCATTTTGTTTTTGTAAACTTATAAAACCCAATTCCAATGAAGTTGGAAATTTGTGATAAACGTAAATAAAAACAGAATAAAATGATTTGCAAATCCTTTTCAACCTATATTCAATTGAATACACTACAAAGACAAGATATTTAAGTTTCAAACTCAAACTTTTTTTTTTTTTTTGTTGCAAATAATAATTAACTCAGAATTTAATGGCTGCAACACGTGCCAAAGTAGTTGGGACAGGGGCATGTTTACCATTGTGTTACATCACTTCTCCTTTTAACAACACTCAATAAATGTTTGGGAACTGAGGAGACTAATTGTTGAAGCTTTGAAGGTGGAATTCTTTCCCATTCTTGCTTGATGTACAGCTTCAGCTGTTCAACAGTCCGGGGTCTCTGTTGTTGTATTTTACGCTTCATAATGCACCACACATTTTCAATGGGAGACAGGTCTGGACTGCAGGCAGGCCAGTCGAGTACCCGCATTCTTTTACCACAGAGCCACGCTGTTGTAACACGTGCAGAATGTGGCTTGGCATTGTCTTGCTGAAATAAGCAGGGGCATCCATGAAAAAGATGTTGCTTGGATGGCAGCATATGTCACTCCAAAACCTGTATGTACCTTTCAGCATTAATGTTGCCTTCACAGATGTGTAAATTACCCATGTCTTGGGCACTAATGCACCCCCATACCATCACAGGTGCTGGCTTTTGAACTTTGCGTCGATAATAGTCCAGATGGTTCCTTTCCTCTTTGGCCCGGAGGACATGACGTCCACTATTTTCAGAAACAATTTGAAATGTGGACTCGTCAGACCACAGAACACTTTTCCACTTTACATCAGTCCATCTTAGATGAGCTTGGGCCCAGAGAAGCTGGCGGCGTTTCTGGATGTTGTTAATAAATGGCTTTTGCTTTGCATAGTAGAGTTTTAACTTGTACTTACAGATGTAGCGACGAACTGTCTTTACTAACAGGGGTTTTCTGAAGTGTTCCTGAGCCCATGTGGTGATATCCTTTACACATTGATGTTGGTTTTTGATACAGTGCCATCTGAGGGATCGAAGGTCACAGGCATTCAGTGTTGGTTTCTGGCCGTGCTGCTTACGTGCAGTGATTTCTCCAGATTCTCTGAACCTTTTGATGATATTATGGACCGTAGATGTTGAAATCCCTAAATTCCTTGCAATTGTTCTCTGAGAAACGTTGATCTTAAACTGTTCTTAATCTGCTCATGCAGTTTTTCACTTTTTGGGGAAGCTGCTTTTATACCCAATCATGGCACCCACCTGTTCCCAATTTGCCTGCTCACCTGTGGGATGTTCCAAATAGGTGTTTGATGAGCATTCCTCAAATTTATCAGTATTTTTTGCCACCTTTCCCAGCTTCTTTGTCACATGTTGCTGCCATCAGATTCTAAAGTTAATGATTATTTGCAATAAAATAAAAAATAAAGTTTATGAGTTTGAACATTAAATATCTTGTTGTTGTAGTGTATTCAATTGAATATAGGTTGAAAAGGATTTGCAAATCATTGCATTCCCTTTTTATTTACGTTTATCACAATTGCCCAACTTTAAAGGAATTGGGCTTTGTAGAATAAGTCTCTTATGTAAATATGTAAAAAGCAGAGAAGAGTGACAGAGAAAATACAGTTAAATATTTCTATCTGTTTCTGACAAAGAAAACTGAGCATAACTCTCACAGTATGAAAACAGTTTGGAGTTTATATCAGCGATTCAGAGTGATTTCACTCTGTATTCAAATGATTTCAATAGGGGTTTTGAAGCTGAGTCTGCTCATGCTCTAAGGACA